TAAAAAAGGAGGAGATTAAATTCTTTATAATATAATAAACCTTTAAAATGGAAGACTTATAGGAGGAAAAGAACTATAAGGTAATTAAAACACTTAAAATACTTATATTCCTTAAAAATAAATTGTTAATAATAGAAGAACGGAACTTTAAGGAATATATATAACCCTTTATTATAGAATACCTGGATATAAAAGTATTAAATATCTTACTTATAGAAGACATTTATTAAAACCCTAAATATAAAGAGCTATATACCTTAATAATAAAAGAATAGGAGGACTATATTTACTTTAACCTTATTGGAAAGAAATAAATAAATAGTAATATTTTAAAGTATAAATTAATAAATAAAATAATAAAAAGAATAAAATTATTAAAAATTATATAAATTATTATAAATATATATTTAATCTATTTAAAAAGATATATTATCCTAATATATTATTATATTAAATATTACTCTTTATGGAAAGCATTATAGTGGATTTATAAATTAAGGGTTAAATAACTATTAAATAAAGCTACCTTTAGTTTAAAAAAATGGGTAGCGCTGGTAGTCCAACTAAAGTGGGTAAGATGGAACGTAATACAATTAGGGGAATATTTAAATTTCTACATTAAATACCTTAAACTATAGGGCTAAATTATATAAGATAAAGTATATAAGCTCCTATTATAACTAGTTATTAATAATATAATATTATTAAACCTTAAAAAGTAAAGGTTAAATAAAGTAAGTAAATATAGGAATAGGTTTAAGAAATTATATAAATAAAAAGGATTAAACGTATAATATAATAAATTAGTAAAAGGAAATAATATATTAGTAAAATAGGATAAAATACTTATAGTATATTAAGGAAAATGGATAAAATTAAAGGAATATAAATAAAAAGAGAAAAATAAACTAATAGGAATCAGGCTCTTTAATACTTTAATGGTATACCTTAAAAGGCTATTTCCTATAAAATATAGCGGATTAGGGTAATACCTTTTTACTTCTTCGGATAATTGGATATTATAAAATAGGTTTAAACCTTATTATTTTAAGCATAAGGTAGTGCAGCTATAGCTAATTATATATTAATAGGCTTAAAAAGTATAGTTTATAATAATAAAATTAAAGTCTTAAAATAATTTAACCAATTATTATTAAACGCTTTAAAGGTTAATAAGTTAATAGGTAATTAATTAACCAACTTACTTAACCTAATTTAACCTAGCTTAGCTCTACTTACCCTTATAATTAATCTTATAATAACCTTATATTATAAAGGCTTACCTTTACCTTTAACTATTAATAATAATATATATTTTATAATTTATATTATAAAATTAATATTTTTAAATTCCTTATAATTAGCGTTATTAATTTATATTAATTTTATTATAATGTTAATAATTTTAAATAATTGTAAGCTATAAAGAGGTTTACCGGCTTATTTATTTTAAGCTTTAAGGTGTTAAGCTATTAGTTAAATGTTTTAACTTAAAACCCTTAAGCACCTTATATAATATATATTATATTTAAGGGTATAAACTAACCATTTTTATACTTTTTAAACTTCTAGCTATTTATTAAGCTAACTTTTAAGCTGTAGAGTTATTTACGTAGCTTTTTTAAACTTAAAGTTATCTATATAGCTTCCTTTAAGCCTAGGTACAACTATCCCCACCATTATTTCTACCACCACTTCTACCACCACTTCCCCACACATTTTATTAACCTTATACTTAATTAATTAATAATACTATATATAATGCAATTAATATTATAAAACTTAAATTTTTAAAATCAATATATTAAAGGCTATATATATATATAACTTTTATTAACTTTTAAAAGATTTATTATATATATTACATTTTACTTAAATTATTAATTCCTTATTTAATTATAGTTATAATCCTATAATTAACCTACCTTATTTATTAATAATATTATATATAATATAATTAATATTATAAAACTTAAATTTTTAAAATCAATTTATTAAAAGCTTTATATATATATAACTTTTATAAGTTTTTAAAAGATTTAATATATAAGTTAAATTTTTATTTAAATTATTCATTTTTTATTTAATTATAGTTATAATCCTATAACCACCCACTTTATCCATTAATAATACCACCTTTAATATAATTAATATTATAAAACTTATATTTTTAAAATCAACGTATTAAAGGCTATATATATATATAACTTTTATTAATTTTTAAAAAAATTTTTATTAATATTAAATTTTTAATATAGCAACTATTTTATTATATTACCTCTTTTAATATTATTCCTATTATTAGCCTAATAGCTATAATATTACTATATAGCATCGAAAGCATTTCCTTAAAGCTAGATGTTTTATTACCTTTAGGTAATTAAGACCTTTTTATATATATTTATTAATATTATAAAGGTGATGGATAATAAGTTAAACTATTTTAATTATTTATTTATAAAGTATTAATTTTACCATTTATACTATTAATACTTATTAATAATATTATTATTAATTATTAATTTTTAATACTTTACTTATTTTATAATATACACTTTTTTAATAGCTAGGATAGGCTAATTTAAAAGTATATATTTTTTAAATATATCTTTAAAAACTTTAATACCCTTTATATTATTTTAAAAGAACACTAACCCCTTTTTTATTTATAAAAACTTATTCTTTATTTTTAATTATTTAATAACCTATTCCTTTAAACAATATATATATTTAATAAACTTTTTAATTAAGCTTTTATAATTAATCTTTTACTTTAAGTAATTTATATTAAAGCTAACTATAAGCTATAATTAATAATATTATATATAAAGGAAGCTCTTTATTATTAATATATTAATTATTAAAGAATTAATATCTATATAGCCTAACTTTTAATTAAGCTTATTTAATTGTTTAATAAGGTTTATATTAATAATTATAGGGTAGGAATACTTTATAATAAAGGTAAAGGTCTATAACCTTATAGAAACTGGTTTTTTTATATATTTTATATTATCCTTACTTATATTAAGGATAAGGGGAGCAACTTTAATAAGGGAAGATAATTATTTAATGGCCTACTTACCAGCTTTAAATAATTTAATTGCTTAATTAAAGTTAGGGTTATTAATAGAAATAATTATTAAGCCTTTATTAATTAAGAAATTATATAACTTTAACTATACCCTTATAACTTTTATCTTTTATAGTATTAATATATAGTATATAATAATATCCAGCTTAAAAATGTTGCTTATTTAAGTATAGGGCGTTTATTAAATACCCTTTTTCCCCATACTTCTAAATATAATATAATAGTAGGTTTAAATGTTAACTAATACTATTATAAATAGGTAGTTAATATTATAGTTATTTATCTTTTAATATATAGTTTAAAAAAAGTTATATAATTTATATTAAATTATATATTAAAACTTAAGCTTAATCCTATTTAATATTATAAATCTATTTATAGCTTTAACCTTTTTACTTTTTAACCTTTAGCTTTTTTTTATAATATTTTTATAAATATTATTATATAATTCCTTTAATTAAAATAAAAAGGTTTTATACTTCCCCTTTTATAGTTCTTTATTAAAGATAAGGTTTTAAATATAGGATAATTAGATTTGGAACTTTTTAGCTGTATTTTAATATAGCGTGGCTTTTTAGAAAATGCCCGCTATAGTTTCGTTAGGCTGCTTTAATATACGTAGGATTTTTACAACCCGGTTTACCGGTAGGAGGTCTAGCATACCATCTTCACCTATAGTAATAACGTTTAGCTCTCCATTTATATTATCTTTACCATAAGGTGTTAGGTTTATAGGTGTTAGGTCTATAGGTATCAGGTCTATAGGTGTCAGGTCTATAGGTATTAGGTCTGTAGGTATCAGGTCTAGGGGTGTCAGGTTTAGGGATATCTAGTTCGAATTTACCTTTAGCATTGTTACCCCCTTAATAACCTTTAAAATAGGTAGAAGGCAGCCTTTTTTGCTTTATAATATACTTTTCCAAAGTATCGTTTTATTATATACCTACCTATAAGGGATTATATATAAATAAGAGCAATAATAATAATATATAGCTATAGCTATAATAAATCTAATACTTTATTAATAAATTTTAAATAAATGTTTTATATTTCTATAGCTATATATATATATAATGTTTTATAAGTTATAAATTAAAATAGATTGCTTAATATTAATAGTTTAAGTAAATAACACTTAAGGTAAATATTACTTAAGGTAATAAAGTAGTAATTAATCTTATTTATTTAAAAACCTTTTATTATTAAATCTCTTTTATTATTAAACCTTTCTTTTTATTAAAGATATTCCTATACCTATTTAATATACCTTTTAATATTTATATTATACTTAAGTTTAAAGCTTTTATTAGTTTAAATATTAAAAAAGTTTTATTTATTTTTAATATATTTAATATAATAAAATTTAAAATATAATTAAAGTTTATAAAGGGTAATAAAATTAACGTAGCTATATCTTTAACTTTAATTACATTTAATTAATACTTAAATAAAAACAATAACGTTTAAAAAATGTTAAAATATATATTTAAGGTAATAACTTTAAATAACTTATTTAAAACTTATATTACAAAATACTATATATTACTTTATGTTAAAATAATAAGGGACCTTATAAAGTAATATTTAAATATAAGTTTTTTAATTATCCTTATTTTTATTTATAATTAAACTAATTAAATAATATATATTCCTTAATATTAATTTCTTTTTTAATAATAATAATAATAATAATAATAAAAGTAAAAAAGGCGGAAAGATACCTTAGCGCCTTACTATTATGCTTATTATGCCTATATTATTGCAGTTAAAGAGGAAGCGTAGGTTTAATGATGATGCCGAATAGGGTAGAAAAAGTAGCTAAAACGCCGTTATACCTTTACGCCTACGGAAACAACGGGAAATATAATACTTAAAGCTTCGATGAAGAATATCTAGGCCGTTATAGCTGGTTTAAGAAATCGACTGGTATTGGCTATAAAAGTGGTAATAGCTGGGATCTGTTGTATTAAGCCGTAATATGACTTTACCTTCTAAATCAGCTCCTAAAACAGCTCCCGAGACACACTCCCGCAACATGTCTCCAGAGCTAAGATCCTTCCAAAAATGGCAATTCAAGTATCCAGCGTGCTGTAAACATGATCCTCCCACCGCCCTCCTCCTTACCATCTCCTCGAACTCCAGTCCCACTGCACTGCCACACGAAGTCGTAGCGGATGGCGCGATGTGGCATATCCGGGATATGCGTGCCACGAACTAAATGTTTCTGCGCATCCTCCGGGGTGTAGAACCCCCAGTGCAAACAAGCGTGGTTCTCACAATCACCGTTCCAGCTCTCAGCAATGTCGATCTCACCCTCATGCGGCCATACAGAAGGTTCACGCGGCAAGAGCCAAAATGCAGGCCATATCCCTTCAGCACAGGGGAGGCTAAGCCAGGCGGTAACGCAACCGTCACGGCGGCCAAGAGTCGCTCTGCTCACGAGCCGCGCCGACATGTATCGCGCTTCCGGGTCCGGATGATGCGATTGAGAGAGCGCACGAATAACAAGCTTGCCATCTGGCGTGTAGAAACTATTCGAGCTGTCTGATGTGTAGTTCTCAAGCTCGTTGTTACCCCATCCCCACGGATCACCATGCCCGAGTCTGTGATCAAATTCGTGGGATACCGGTATTCCCGGGCTGAATGTCGGGCGCCAGTAGACTCTGGGGCCGCCTGACTCGGCAGACGGGCTAGCAGGTGGTTTTGAATGTGATGGAATGGGGGGCGGGCCGCCGGGGCGGGTGTTATAGTTTGGTTGAGGAGGATGAGCTGGCTGTTGCCAAGACTGTCCTGGGGGTGGAGGAGGGGTTTGCCAGTGCGTTGGGGCAGGTTGCTGCCATTGCCACTGACCCTGAGGTTGATGTTGAGGTTGATACGGATATGGTTGTTGGCCAGGGTAGTACTGTTGCGGAGAAGCTCCGTAGCCTTGCTGCGGCTTGTTTTGGCCGATTGGCAGGAGGTTATGTTTCCTGTTCAGCTCCTCAGCCTTCTCCTTAAGCTGATTAAGAAACGACATGCTCAGGTACAAGGATCTGTAGAATGAGATGGAATGCTTCACTTCCAAACCATTGGGCCATATGAATCTCACAAAAGCGCCGCGGTATTTGAGATAAAGAAATGCTAGACTGCCAAGTCATTGAAGTCATCGTCACGGACGTAGAGGGGTCGGTTGCATCGGGATGCACAGTGCGGGCCGTACTGTCAATTCAAGTAATTTACCATAAATCACACGGTCGAGAAAGTCTAACCTAGGGACTTCTACTACAAGATTGAGGCGAGTCATTCTCTATCGATCGAATAGCCCGAGTTCAAGGCAACAATTGCACGGTCAAGACCCACGGAATAGAGGTTTCCCTTCTTTGTTTGCAATTATTATCCGCCAATCGATGGCTATGAGAAAGACATATCGCCTGTGCTTGACTGGCGAGGAAATCTACTTTCGATGGGCTCAAGCCCCTCAGACAAGATCTCATCCAGAGTCAATGTATTTATTGCCTGTTGCTTCATAGATCTTCACAAGCCGCCACATATATATGCTTGTTTACGATATCATGTGTTTGCCGTACCATTGTATATTGAGGCATGATTCTGTCTTACCTGGAAAGATTTTTATTTTTATTATTATTTTTTTTTTGTTTTGGACAGGAGCGGAGTTAGGGAGGGCAATACTGCAACTGGACTGTTACGCCGATATGAGAGGGAGAGAGGAGGGGCTCGGTCGGGGGAGGGGCTTCATAGACCGGTGGCTTGACATACCTACCTATTTGCTACTAAAGAATGCAGGTAGATAGATGCTCGTGATGTGAGACAGCAACTTAAGAGTGGCTACATCTAGAATCGCTACCATCTTGATAAATATCCTGCTCTTGGTACCCCTACCGACCCTCCCTGCACACGTAGCCATTCTGCCGAGACAAATAGCCTCCTTTTTGCTGTTTCCTTGACTTGCATCGGTCGAGCTATAAGAATGCTTGAGTGCGACGTAAGACAGCATTATTGAATATTCTTTGTAGCAGGGACGTCTTCGTGTGAGGGCGCGGTGCGTGGTTTGTTTAGTTGCGAATCAAAAAAATGATTACTTAGGTAATAGACACTAGCTACGCTCCATATCATCCATGTTTTGATAGGCTAAGGCTACTCGGGCCCAAGTAGTAAGATGGCCCTCACTCTGTTAACCCCGAAGCTCAAGTCCTGCCTCTCACTCCTCTTACTCATGGCTTCACCGAGTCTGTCTGCGCAGACGGCACCCAAGATATCGCAGCTGTACCAGTTCACTTACCCCACTGCCGTCGAAAATCTGATCTCTCTTCCCAACGGCTGTCTTCTCCTAAGCACCTCAGCTGATGCCGACCTCTGGTATATCGATCCCGAGGCTCTTTTCCCAGCGGCACAAAATGTGATCACGCTGTCGGGGAGCGTCAAGCTAACGGGTATTGCCGCGCTCGGCGACAACTTCTACGCAGTTGCCGGCGCCGCTCCGAACCCCCCGGGAAGCCACATGCAAATCTATGTCATTAACGTAGAGACAGAAGGCCAAGTGAGCGCCAAAGTGGACCACGTCGTGAAAGTCCCGGGGACAGGAGACATTAGTGGGATGGCAGCGCTGCCGAGTAATCCACGCACGATTTTAAGCGCCGATGCTGTCGGTGGTCGAATTCTGCGTGTCAACACTAGCGACAATACTGTCAGTGTCGCGTTTGAACATGCAACGCTGAAACCGAACGACGAAAAAAACGCGACCGCAAAGGGCGTCAAGGGACTTAAAATCCGCGGTGATCATCTCTACTTTACCAACTCGGCGCAGAAGCTTTTTGGCCGCTTTCCTATCAGTGCGGACGGAGCTAATATTGGCGACGTCGAGATTTTGGCTCGTCTAGACGAGACACACGGTAATGATGCGTCGTATGATGACTTCAGCTTCGATAGGGAAGGAAATGCTTTCGTTGCAGTGCATCCATCATCGATTCACAAGGTTGCACCCGGCGGCGCACAGTTGGTGTTTGCTGGAGGGATGAATTCAACGATGCTGGAGCCTACATCGACCATTCTATCCAACAGCGGAAATGCCATCTACGTTTCCACGGCCGGAAAGGATACAGGGTATCCCATATCCGGGGGCCAAGTTCTTAGGGTGCAGGTTGGAACATTGTACAATGCCTGAGGGGTACCTACGTATCCTGACCTAAGCTAGATGATAAACACATCCCTTGATTCGAGATTATGGTCTGGATGTATATTGATATTGTATTTGAGAATGAAGAGCCAAACTCTTATCATGACGAGCGGGATTCATTACATATACAACTGCAGTAGTGGATAGGTCAGACAGCTCGTTAAAAGCAAGGTATCTCGCAAAGAGGCTCCCTTTGGGGCACTCTTCTTTTGAGGTCCTTTAGCCAACCCTTGTCTTCAGCAACCAAAGACGCCAAGAGCCTACAAAGAAATTGTCCACAATAGATTAACTCATCTATATAAGGATATCATAGCCCGAGGTTCTGAATAGATGACTATATTTCTGCTGGCCCAGATTCAGTAATATCACGGCAGTGCCTGATTAAACCCCCTAGGATCAAGCGACGAAGTGATCTCCACTAACTGAGTTATCCAGATGACGGCAACCCAATCCAGTGAAGTGGAATTGACAGGGGATGAAGTACACAATATACAGTTCAAGCTATCTGATACGGATTCACAGAATTTAACGTCTCAGAGCGGAGAAATGGGGCAAGTAGAACCTGAAGACGTGGAGGTAGAGGGAGTGGTTATACCGGCCGACCTAAGAATTGACGTCAAATCGACACAAACTCGACAAAATTCTGACGAGTATGAGCCTCCTGATTTTCTTAGTGAGACAAAGCCTAGAGAGGTCGACACCATGGACGTCAAAGCAGCAGAACTAAAATTGGTCAAAGCTGAAGCCCAAGTCAGAAAGACGGAATCAAAACATTCAAAGGCGAAGGAGATTATGAAAAATAAGACGCTACCGTTTGACCCAGCCAAGATCAAGGCAGCGATGGCAGCCAAATCGAAAGCAACAAAACCGGCGAAGGCAAAGCCAACGGGAAGCAAGCCAACAGGCGTAAGAAAGTCAGCTAACATAAAGCCAGCAATGATGATGACAGCAGGAAGCAAATCAACAGTCGTGAAGAAACAAAAAGACATGAAGTTAGCGGCGACGATTCCAACAGCAAACAAGTCAATAGTGCCAAAGAAGCCAACTGACATGAAGCCCGCAAAGGTAATATCAACAACAAGCAGACCAACGGTCTTGAAGAAGTCAACCGACATAAAGCCATCGAAGCGCATTAAAGAGGCCTCTCTAGAAGACATGCTCGCAGGTACTCGGCAATGGATCGTAAAGCCGAATCAATGGATGATTCGGAATCCGGACACAGGTTGCTGGGGGATTTCCGCGCGGAACCGCGAGGGGGAGCGGACCGAGCTAACAGTCGCTCACACAGTGCATTGCGAATGTCTGGACGTGCGGCTGATGCATATATGCAAGCATGCCGAAAGACTGGTGAAGAAACGCCGGCTCGCGCGACGGTCTCGCGACGCCTTTGTCATCGCTACCAAGATTCGGCTGGAGCTGCCTCAGCCCATCCCTAAAGAGATCCGATTCCCGAGGGTGAGAACGCAGAAGATCGAACGTTGGGAAGAGGAGATAGATGAGGAGAAGGAGAGAGGAATGGTCGTCGAGATACATAACCAGCAACTGCTTGTTGAGAAATGGAAGAGTTTGAAGGCATACAAGCAGAGACGTATTTGGAAGGATTGGTGAGCGCTCGTTATTTCATACCGACTGGTCGGTGTACTTCCTTTGCATCTCTTTCGTAGTGTTTTCTGACTATAGGGAAATTGCGCATTATAGATATAAATAACTATTCTTCTTGTTCAATTTGCACGGACTTAAGAGTCGTAATTCGCCCATTTTCTTATTCTCAGTCTCCCCCTTATAGCCAAAGGCACACCTCTAGTGTGCGAGCAAATGTGATATCTAGTAGTTATGCTGATCTGGCAGAAAACGTCTCAGAAACTCTCGGAACGGGCGCCTGGGGAAATCAAATTGATAAGGGGCGTAGGCTAGCATATCAATGTGAAGAACGACTGGCTCTTCTGAGACAGAAGCGTAGTAATCACATCTACCTATCCTATGAAGAAATGTTCGAATCATACCGGCCACGTGTATAGACTGTACTCTCGCCGTCATGCATAAGTGTAACCCCTACTAAGACATTCCAGGTATGGCTTTTCTTCAACCGAATAGGTTCTCAATGAAGAGATTCGCCACTAGCGTGCTGTTGTGCGTTAGTTACACCGGCAGTTTGTTGCCGATCCGGGAAATACTTCGTAGAATAGCCTTGGGCCCCATTAACGATGGAGATTTAGTTGCTTTAGAAAACCGGCATATTCGAGTAGACGAAGATGCTCTCCTCGAGAATGGTGTGACAGTAACCGCCACCAACGACGGTAAGGTGTAAGTACTGTTTGACGATGGTTTTCGTAGGATCAAACCCCATCAGTTGGGAGCGCTCGCGTTGCAATGCGTTCCACAAGTATCGGGAAAAACCTACATATGTCGATTCGCTTCCCGCGAATCTGCCATTGCCTCCTGGATCGAGGCATGTTACGCTCAATGGCAGTCGGACATTTTGCAGGTCAGCACGCGACGACGTACAGGAGGGATGCATGCATGCATGAAGCAAGAAGATGCCGTGGCAACCTGTCGAAATCCTAGCGATACCCGCAAAAGCAGTAAACATTGATGTTCACACCGTCTAGACCAGCATAGAAAAATCTACATTGATGCTGTGCACTATGAAAACGGGTTTTGTGACCATTCAAACGACTGAGTCCTCTTGATGTAGGGTTGACCCACGTTTACTTGAGGCTCAATGGAAATAAATCTAGAATGAGGTCTAGATATTTTGAAGCCCATACATAGTAGGTATTCGTTCACATTGGATGTGTTGCAATCACAACTCAGCTTTTCCGTAGTACGTCGTGTAGGTAGTGCTTCGTGTACTCTATACTATGTGCCAAATAGCCTCGGTAAGATTTGAAGACCATGCTCATCGTTCAAGGGAAAAAAAAAAATCAGATACATCCCTCAACAAGGTTAGCTCCATTCTAGAAGAAATTGAAGGTACTTTGATACCCGGTAGAACGTAACGTTCCAATTCCTGAAGCTCCGTTGGGCTAAAGCGTTGGATTCTAGAACGCCGATGTCTGGGATTGGTACCTTTCGTAGGCCGTTCTAGAAATCCAGCAAGACAACCTTCGCGCATGAGAGGCTTGTACTTTAATATTTGAGCAGACTGGTTGGCGTCACAAGATCGATTACGGCCTGTTCGTTGGCAGTAACAGTCGCGAACGATGTCATGTGTATCGCTAGTCATAGCTGGCGCCTGATACTTTCCCCATGCTTATAGATAGTGAAAAGGGACTTGGTAGCGTTGTAGAGCCAACTGCGTTTTGAAACGAACGTTTCTAGAAAACGTAGGGGATTGAGAGAATTAAGAAACCGAAAGAGAGTATACAATAACAGTGTGTTCGGGTGTTATTATATTGACATATCGTGCGCCATGATTCGTGCATATGCATGCATTACTTATCCGAAGCTGTGTTTCGATAAACGGCTCATATGTTAGCTCTAGAGCCAAATGTTACGATGCTCGGAATGGTGGATGAACCGCCTGGAGGAGAATCGCGATAAGGACCGTCGTTAACATGGCACGATAGTCATAGATTTGCTCATAGTCAACGAATAAGATGGAATGCGAGAGAACATCGTGGTATGCAAACATTCCTTTACCCCCTTTGTCGGTTTCTGCGCTACCTGCTGGGTTTGGTGGGCCAAACAGGCCGTTCGAGACCCGACGATGAATAATGATGATGATGTGAGTACCAGGCTGCGAACGCGTGCGGAGAGGTATCGGTGTTGCATATTACCGATGCGTCTGGACTAAGTCCTCCGGTCCATCTCGCTGTGGGAGAATACTAGGTCAGAGCTACATGTCAGAGCGGCCATCAGTTATTTTACTGATTGAAGCCTCGAGTTTTCTCTGCTGGGTGCTGTGTCGTGTGGAGTCGAGTCATCTTCCAGCGCATGTTCTCGAACGAACATTTCCCCACAGACTTACCACCAGACCGGGAAAAGAAGATTGAATGTGCTGCCACCCTGGGCGTTTCATCTTGCATTAGCCATCACATAGGAGCGAAGATCCTTTGTGATCATCTATCAGTACCTACCTAGTACATCATCGGCGTGCTGCAATCTCGATCCCACGGCAGAGTTGGTGATTGGCTGAAGTTCAAGCCAGCGTCGATGCCAAAGTGCTAGGTAGGTAGTGATATGCATATACGTACCTACAAAGGTACCTATGGTAGATACATAGGCTCTGATAGGCCATACGAACGGTATCTATGTCGGAGCTCTACGTGAAATATCGTGTTATGATTTATCTACAGCATTTGCGAGGGAAGGGATTACAGTAGCCATCTGTACATGTAGGGCGTCTAGCCTGCGATCTCGATGATACGCAATCTAGTGTACGCCAATGGTACGCACATGATAGCAAAAGCTGCGCGTCGCGTCTCGCTCTTTCAATAACCCGACCGAAATGGGCACATGCCTACATGTTGATACTTATTAGATAGTACAAAGTACCTAGTCTATGTTGCGATTACACGTGGTAAAGAAGGACTCCAGCCCTTTCGGCGGGGGGTCCGGCTTTGGGGTTTGGCTTGATTCATTCGCATGTCTGCGGAGACGTTAGATAGATAGGTACTTGATTAATAAGACAGATTTTCTACAGGTATTATTATTATAATATTCTATGGAGAGGCAATGGGAGACTCGACAGAACGTTCTAAATACCAGCCGGTCGAGCCGGTCGTGGACTCCCCCACCAACAGCACAACCCTAACAGGACCCTTAAGTGAAAATCGTTGATTTTCGTCTCCGCTCAGGAATCGGCTTGCCTTAGTGTGGTAATGCTTCTCAGCAAGGTACAGCTTCGCCAAACGGCGCGTGGCGATCATCCGGGGAACGCTCGGGTCAGCACGTTCGGGAAGGAAGTAAAGGTTTGGTATGCCTACAGTAGTGGTGGCCGTCTGTATCGCGAGTGACTCGAGTATGATTGCTTGCGAGAAAGACCGCCTGACCAAGCAGGCATGTACAGCAGCAGCATGTGTGTCCGATGTGTGCAAACTCTCCGAGGTTTCACCTCGTACATAGTAAGTACTTACACATGGGGTATTTTCGCGATTCCTAGAGACGAGTGATCATTACCGTATTCGGTCTGCTGTACAGCTTGGATCAAAGTTTGGCTGGCGCATCGTGATTCTCTCGCCATCGTACAATAGCTCCCGAGGCTCCTGACTCTGACTGCAAGACCGTCAAACACCACTAGGTAGGCATAACATGGGAGGTAGGCCTTCACGCTGCCAATTCAATCACTACTGCGGCACTACTGGCAGGTAAGTACCGTATGTGTACGTGTACAGGAGGATGCATGCATACGCGTAGCAAAACTGAACGAACGAACCTGACGTGTCTACCGCATGTCGTGGCAGGTTAAATGTATGAGGTGTAGATAGAAAGGTCGCCGAGTTACGCGCGTGCCTGCTTGTTGAGACTGGTTTCATCTTGAGTAGACTACCTACTTTCATTCTGAATACAGAAACTGGCAACATGCTAATAACAATTGGCACGTCTTGGCACATTGCTTTTCTGCGATTACATGCACGTGTAAGTAGACTTACCTACGAAGTAGTCACACCTACCTACAACTATCTCTCATAACAGAGATATGTACGATATATGTACGATAGATTGGAGATGTGTTCTTCGACCTTCTCCTCGTCAGGCCTTAAGCATTTGTATCATGCCTTATACGTTTATATATAAAGACTCTATATACTGTAGATGTCAAACGAGCGTATACATGTAGCGTACGAAGCAAGTAGAGAAGTGAACCAGACAGGGATGGAAGGACGCCTCTACAACTAGGCACCCGTTTAAATGGGTGGGATGAGGGATGCGGATCTTGGTGTTGCGTACCCCTCTTACATGGGATTGATGAGAAGTCGATACCCAGGTCAGTATGCAGCACCCGCCCTCTGCTCTCTCCTCTACTTACTACGTACTAGTATGGCTAATAGGTTGGCCACGAGTCTAGATCTCAACTCTCAGGCCTTAGTTCCAAATAGGTAGCGGGTTGACCAATAAGCAGCAGCATTCCCTCGAGCGATACTGTGCTAGGTAAGCTAGTTCGGCTGGAAAAGCTCCTTAAAGCTGCGAGGAATCGAGCCCCAATGGCCCAAATCAAATCGCTCGTCAAGTGATGACGGTTAGGTACGACTCTGGTACGACCTATGTAAGAAGAGTTGCCCAACAATCATTACCGCATGGGTCGCTTTCTCCAGACTCCCGGTCCTCGTAGACTAATGTATAAGTACGGTAGGCTGTAATTGGTGTAGGTATTTGGTTAAAAATGCAGCCCTGGGGGGATCGCTGTGTTAACTCTTGATTAGACTAAGGAGGCAAGCCACGTTGGGATCTCGATCCACGGGCTGATGTCCACATTTTATTTTGAATAAGTAAAGGGAGCGTGTCCTCCGTCTGTACGTAGTATGACAAGGCATTCCCAGGACTTTGGATAACACATACGAATAAGACACTCGAAAATTATTGCGCCGACTAGCTCCGCCTCCTTGTCGAGTCACTTTTTGCTGGCGAGTCCAGTTTTTTCAAAGGGCATTTTTCCCTTCGACAATATTCCTTGCCCAACCTCGACGCTAGTACCTTGTGAATTACAGGGCATCTGTACCGCGGTACAGATATTCACTATTTTTTCTACATTGTTGTGTATTTCAGACAGGAACCAAAGAGGAAAGAAAGAAAAAAAAGGCCGCAGGCGGAATCGCGAGAATTCAATAGACTGTTACCATATTACACCGAAGCGCTGTCCGAGTCCAACTCACAACACCGGGGATTGCCCGAAGATACCGCCATTGTCTGTCTATGTACCTACCTAGTATAGCCTCAGCTTGCCTCGCTCGCCTGGCTTTGTTGTACCTATCTTAGCACTCTCGCGGCCCTATCAAGCCAGCAAAAAGAAACGCGACGAATCTTAGCTCATTGGTGTTCGACATCTAGCAATCAAAATCCCCTGTCTTCCAAAATCGCAAAACCGAGGCTGCGCTATATTTCTTTCACTGCACTACCACTGCATCCACAAGCTCCCTCCTCTCTGTGCTCTGCATACCTAGGTATCTACGTACATACTACCTAGGCACACAGAGTACCTACCTGCTTACCTACTTGTTTACAGAAGAGGTGCGCTGTGTGTGTGTACAGGGTCGCATTCTGCAAGAACCTACCTACCTACTACTACATCATCCAATTGTCCTCGGCCGCCCGGTTCTGTCCCAGCCCAACATATCGATTCTGCAGCGCGGTACCGTCAGGCCCAATAACAGCGGTGGTTTTCAGCAAATTTCTCGGCATTCGCCCCCACTGAACATCGGTGCCGCCCCGCCCGTTGCTGCCCAGAAGCCCAGACAGAGTGCTTCCTGTTTCGGTAGCCTGCACCTTACCGCATCTGCACTACGCTGCGGAAAGGTTCAGTGACCTAATAGCCGACAGGGGTGCCCGGTCCCGCCTGTGACACACTAGGTACGTACTGTACGCTAGGTAGAACACTGGGCATCTGACAGTCGCTACCTACATACCTAGGTACCTCCTATAGGTACCTCCTGTAGGTACAGTAGACGGTTCATAAAGACGGGCCGCATCCTGCTCGTTTCAAACGTGGGTATTTTGTTTGCTTCCCACGAACCACCACGACCACCACCACGACAACAACTAACAGTAACGCACAGCAGCGGCGGTACTGGCAGTAAAGAAGCGCACCTCGAGTTTGGAGTTTGCCGCGACAGCTCCCTCCTGGCTGTGTCTTACCAACAACACAAGCGCCCTAAGGCAAACGAACTCTCTGACACCTCTTGATCTTTGATGTCATTCCTCATATTGGCCAATCCCTTCGCTATGTCTACTACGTCTCGTCCTGCCGCCACAAAATATTCAAGCGCCTCATCCACGTCTTCGACCGACTCCGACACCTCCTTCAGACTCAGCATGGATACTCGACCGGTTGCTTCGGTTGAGGTGCTACGTTGCCTCCGATGTCACCGCCATGTGGAAACAACCTCAACCGATGACCTCGCCTCCACCGGTATGATCCGCGTGGGTTTCAATCTTTACTACTGCACAAAATGTGCCACTGCGGTTGGCTACAAATGAGGCGCCCATAGCTTCTACTACATTGCTTGCTCATGAAGGTTCACTCCTGGTTGACGAGCACCACCGTAGGCTGTTCGATGAGAATCATATCAACCTTGCCCGATTACGACGCATAATGAATGCGTTATTCAGGGGTGGGCACAATATGCTATACTGTTCTCGGGGTTGGGGAATATCGCTATTGTCGCCCACGAGAAGTAATCCACTACTCGATACTCGTATACGGAGATAGCAGTGAACTTATTCCCCCTATACCATCGAGTAAGGATAAAGGTCTGGACCCAAGTCGATAGGAAGAACTGGCTGCATAATCCGATTTACAGCATATTCCCAGCAGCTTGGGTCTCGAACCATCTGCTTGGATTCAGCCACGGTCTCTCGGCATGGCCCTGATCGTCGGTTGTATGAATTGTTTCCCCAAGGCAACGATTACCAATTTCCAAATTCATCACTAGGGATCTACACCACGTTCCCGGCCGAATGTTACGCGGAGCTGCACTGTGGCTTGCTAGAACATTGACTAGCTGAGTCCTACCGTACATCAATTGGTAGCGATTACGAGAGAGCTAGTTCTACATCTACCTATTTAACACATGCTTGCGATATGAAGCTCAAACATAGCACGGCCCTGCCACAACAGCATTCGCTCGTCATCAGCCCGCTTCAAGACGTTAAGAGCTGCCCCTGCAGTACGCTCGCGCGCCTCCCCCCTTTCACCCATCCCACCTCCATCCTCTCTTGTCTCCTTCATAGCTACCAGCTGGCTGGAAATCAATATTATGGCTTGTAATGGCTTTCTTTTCTCCCTCCCCCCCAGCGGAACGCGCGGCCACGACTCAACCGCCGCGACAACTTTTCAAGGCTTCAGCTCAAATGAAGTGGAGCAAACTAGCGAGGGCATTACTATGTACATGTTCAGCATACAGTGCGTACCTTGCGCCAGCCTATCCCCACTATTCGCAGGATCTAGCGGCGTGTCCGTTACCCGTAGCTGCAATGACAGGACTTGGCTTAAACCTTGATGGTGCGACAATGGTCGGCTGTGTATTCACCTTGGTTCCAATTAAAATCTGTTTTCATAGGAGTTACGTTGGAATATACCCCCAATTTGTCGGTCTGCAGATGCGTTGATAGATCAGATACCACTATCCAATTCATTGAATTCCATTTCAACAATCGCGTCCCTTGTTTCTTGATGTGTTGTTACATGACATGTTGGCCCCCAGCTGGAACCGTGTGAAGAACTAGACACGACCTGCACGATGCTCGTAATAGTCGGCCTAATCAAGCCGTATGCCGCAACCCTTGTCATTATCCAACGTCATTTGGGTATATAATTATAGCTAACCCTCGACAAGCTCCACCAATCAAGCCTCTTCGGTACTGCGGCCTTAGATGCGACTGTCGTAATTGACCGTTTTCGGACACGTTAGAGGCCGTTGAAAGCCAGGCGGTGGGAAGAGGATCGGCCGGCATTCTTGTCTTTCTCTCTCTCGATACACGATTGAGCTATAAAAATCCTCGCTACAATTTCTTATACACACATATTTTCTGTAAGAAAACATATGTACACACAGAAACCGCAAGTTACTATTGCGCACGTTCTAGCTCATGCTTCCGGTGTGGGCAGGTGAGAAATGGAAACTCTCTCGGGGCTATCGGAGCGAAGGTGGGTTTGGGGCCGGTGTGAAGCGCCAAGGGAGATCGAGGTTAGCGAAAGAAGCAGACACGCACACAACCTTAGTACTACCTATACAGCATACCTAGCACATGCGCGCAGCGCACACGGGCCTCCCCATCCGACGGGAGTAGGTAGTATCACGACATATCGGCGATGTGAGGTGAATAAACTCCCGAAATAAGACAGTCGCTACGCTACGTACTGTATCTGTGTGAGTAGGTGTGTATGTATGTGGGTGAAGCAAAGACAATGATAGGTGTATGATTTGACCCTCGATTAGGGGCCCGATTAGAGTTTCAATCAGAGCACGCACACCTGGGAGGAGATAAGAGGTATCTTAGGTAGGTTGGTAATAGGTTGGAGAATTTACCCAGGGCTTTGGGGGCTTGCGAGGTGCATACTGCGCGCTGCAACCGCATCATCATAATACCTTGTTGACGGGCCAGTTGGGAATAGAGACACAACTCGCTCTTGTGTTGTGCCCAGTTCTGTCTGTCCAATCCCGGCCCGTCCCAGCCTGTCCCCTTTGCCCGTAAAGGGTAGATGTGTAGTGGTTGCTATAGAATAGATACCTTCGTAGTAATACGTTGTGGGCGGTGTCATGATGTTGTATTGATGCGTGGCAGTGGTGGTATGTATGCCTTTCTCTCCCTCTCTCTTTATTTGCTACATTAGCTATTACTATTGTTACCCAGTTCGGTATTAAGCCTCCCTCCCTCGACCACGTTAACCTTTTGTCTCCCTGGGTGGTGAAGTCGTGTTGCAGTATAGCGCCACGCATGAGCAGCGTAGCGTACAGCAGACTAGTATGTAATTGTTATTCGGCTACGCAGGATAATGCAGCCCAACCCTGAAATTGAACCCTGAAGTTGCAGTGTTCCTTGCTTGTGCTTCACTCTCTTTGCTTTAGGTCGTGTCTTGTCATGTCTTGTCTGGCCTCGGCAGGCGGCTTGTAACGTTTCGCTATCGAGGTTCCTTGATTTGAATCGCTACCTCTTCTTTGTTTGAATCTATATTTATTTCTGAAAAGGGGCTCAGACGTGGCCACAACAACACAAATTGAATATATGCATTGCATGTGATTTACACGAGTATTGCTTGTTTCAGAAATAGAGATTCATGTCTCGAGACAAGTACATTTCAGAAAGGCATTAGTAGATGGAAACTAAAAAGACATGCCCTGATAAAACTGGGAAGTTAGACCGAGAGCTGAAGAGTGACATGACGGTTTAAAGGGTAGGTAGGTAGGTCAATACTTAATTATTCCATGTCTATGGCGTACGGTATATACCTACTGTTAGCTCCTAGACCCACTATACATTAGTAAGGCAAGCTTAAGTAGTGAAGGCCATTTTAAGTACGAAGTACCTAGGTAAATATGTATGGGCGTAGCCAACTGTTCTCGGAATAGCTTCATTCGAGCATTGGGTGAATACGAGGAGACAATTTTCTTGTGTTGTTTTTTCCTATTGAATTATAGCTAGCGAGCAATCACAGCCTGAATTGGTATGCTCACTGTGTACCTAAACTGCAGCCCCCAATCCTTCGACGAAAGACCCTATCGGGCGATCAGGGTCCGAATGGGGATCCTGTGGGAGTGTACACCATGAGGAGGTAGGTGAAGTAAGTATTGGTCTGGGGTGTCTGCCGCCAGCACTGCACGACGACATCATCGTGCGTACCATTAGCCTTCCCGTCGCTATGTACTGCTGCATGCTTGTGCATCGCAGGCTTGTTTATCCTGCTGCACGTCGCATTTGTGATGAAGCGTACAGGCACAGAACAGTAGGTGGGCACGTATGATGCCTCGCTCGATCACGTCACCACCCCCGTTGCCCTCCTCTACGAAGTATACCCCTCACAGAATGTTATGCGAGGACAAACAGACAATTCAAGAGCTTACTATACAGTGAAACACAAAGCCACAACCGCCAACAGATATGACGCTAAATCTAGTACGGTATCCCCTGAGGTGGAAAAAAATCTATAGAATTAGAAAGCGCTAAATCAAAGTAAGAGAATTGTTGAAAACAGGGGGGTTCTGCAAGCACTGTTGGGGTATGATGCTAGTACCTAGTAACACAAGCATTGGAAAATGAGTGAATAGTAGGTATCTGGGTATTGGTTTATTTTCCCCAAGCACCGTATCATGGTTTAATCTATAACCGCGATCCCCGCAAATTGTGCAAGGTCGCTCATGTCTGGCTGCCGTGTCGTGGGGGGTTGACACGGTATCACAAGATAACGTCTATGGCGTAAGAGGTAAGCCTTAGGTGCTACCTGGGGTTTGGAGGAAACGATCGGGTAATTATCACGCGGGCAGGCAGGTAGGTAGATCTTGGGTCCGACCCAAAAGTGAGAGAATATGTACAAGAAGAAAGTGAGGTTATTCACAATCCCGCGCTCGGCATGTTCCATTCGCTGATTAGTTCTCGCTGGGACCGGAGACCACCCCGTGGTCGATCGCGACTATACCTTTCCAGGCAAATTGCCTATATTGACATCTGATAAAGAACGGCTTGCAACGGCGTATTATTATGCTCGCAATATTAGGCCCCGGCGAGTTGTTTCACAGCATGCCCTCCCAATGATATCATCACTTCCGTCGCCTTACTTCCTACCAAAAACATTTAGTGCCGACCTCCCTCCCACCGACTTTTCACGCGCTGCAGGTTTCGCATTACCAGATTACATGGGATGTGCTATGTCCGTTTTGTTTCTGGTCATGGCAAGCGCTGGTAAGACCGCAGCCATGTAAGCTACTGATAATTGTCGTGACCTGACCTGACCTGACCTCGCCCAGAAAAGGAAAGATCTGAGTAATCTATCTGCCGGCGATTTCTCAAGCCGGAATGTGGCTACAGTATGCGGAGTGTCGTAAGATGCTCAGGCACTTACCAGGTAGTCATCAGCCCGACACCACTCGCTTAAAATAAGATCTAGGCACTGATGCCCTCCTACTTATTGACACCCAGTCCACGTTGATACCTGTCACGATCTCGATGATCAGGCACGGCCATGGTAACACAGCATGGGTGGTGCGGTGTCAGACGAGAAAAGGCGCAGATCTGATGATAAACTGGTTCCCAGGTGTTGAGCGACAAATACAATTGATCCAGGAAGACTTACTTACAGCAACAACACGCTACCTAGGTAGGTTTTTCATACACCGGGTACCGACCGGGACAGACGGGAGCTTGATGGTGTCCACTCACCATTCACCTTCGGGGGAAGGGTCGCGCGACCAGGGAAAAGCCAGCGCCGGTAAGCACAAAGCACCAGCAAAATTTTACCCGAAAGGGATAAAATAATAGGCGATTCTCACTCAGCATATGGAGAAGACTGGAAGCGAGCGCGGTGTGCCCGAAACAGATGTATGAAATCACTCATTCTAAATGCGTATGCGTTCTACCACTGGCTAAAAGCGAGTGCACGCATGTCGATTGACCCTATACGAAGTTCATTTAGCCTACCAGAGTCACACAGAAGCTCAAGCCCCAAATTTTCCGAGCAAAGCGCCGCGAGACCCGACTATTCGGTTCTCTCGGGCTCGGCATGGGAAAGGATATCCGAGACGACGATATTGACTCGCCAATTTTCTGACCGGCTTACCTTGTAACTTAATGAGTCAGTCCATCATTCAGCACCGGCTACGGTATCCCTAGGCCCAATATTACAACGCAGTATAAGAGCCAAGACACTCTTACTTGATTGACCTCGCGGCCTATTACTCGATAAGGGCACAAGCATTGATGTACTGCTTCGACATTTGATAGTAAGATCGTAAGCAATAGACCACCAGCACCTGAAAAGATCTGCATTTGAAGCACCTATATCAGAAACTACTATGACAGAGAGCGCCCGACTGATTATTTGGAAACCCAGATACTAGGTAGAGACTGACAATACCCTTATCAGAGTCTCGGATCTTTTGGGTTCACATTATTCTATTGTAGGAGTTCGGGTAGGTAGGTATATTGGTTAGTCCGCAATTGCATGAGTAGATATGCTGGAATTATAAGCTAAGGGTGGCTGTCTCGGGGTTTGCACCGGAAAGCTCGGCATCATGCCAGGAGAGATTTGAGCAAAGAGAAATGGCCGCATCGCAATACTGCGCTACTAATAAACCGCCTGTGTTGTGGCATAACTAGGCAACCGGAAGGAGACCTTGTATCCGGTGTTCCTGGGCAAGTGGAAGAACGGGCGGTCTGTGTCGGGCGTCCGCAGCGCTGCTGGTAGCGAAGTTGAAGAGCTAGTATCAGGACATTGAGTCAATAAGATCATTATCGTCATTGTCATAATTAGCCAAATTCTATCGGTCACCTTTGCCGTCCAAAGGCCTGGCCGAGTGCCTCAGCTCCGTATGAGATACTGACCTTCCAACACCGCAGTTCCTGGCATAAGCAATGTTGCGGCACATCGTATTTGTTAGTAGTAATTTGACCAGGTCGCGTCTGGTTTTAAGTGAAAAGAACTCTCATGAGCCGCGCATTGTGTCAATAGTATCTAAGAGTCCTCCATCTTTATGTCGTCGCCGTTTGCCTTGCCCAAATTCTTCAACAAATAGCTGCGCTTGAAATACTCATTTGGATGTACAATAGTCTCGAGTTGTGCTGAAGTCATGATGCTTTCCTCCTTGGCCTTCTTAATCTCATTCTTATGAACATGCTCAAAAACCCTGTTTCCACAGATTAGCAAAAAAGACACCCTAGAGCAAGATTATGGATCGCACCGATTGCAGGCCATGTGAAACTTTTGGCTCTCCTTGTCCTCTTTGACACCGTTGAGAACAGATCTATCTGTGATACCTACACCCTGTAGGAGTGCTGTGAGGTTTTCAAGACTGAAATGGCGGTATGGGCAGCCGTGCGCTTCACCAGGACCAGGCGGATGCTCTGTTAGAATCTTCTGGCACGAGAAAGGAGAGTAACCACCACCGCGCCGATTCGAGTCACCACCAACGTCACCATATGAGTGTCGTACATTATATCTGTACTCTTTGTTGAAGGTGTCATCTGTAATTTTATGAAAAGCACTCCTCCAAAAAATCAAACACTCTTCCAAGTTCAGACCAATCCCTTTCAAGAATAACGTGTACTGCAAACGGCCAAAATGCTTCAGGTGTGCGTCTCGTCTCAAAGATCTGTGTAGATTTTGCATGCACAGAGGGAAATGTGCCGAAAGGCTGTCGATGTTCCGGGCCGAGATATCAGCACCAGCAACCGACGATGTCGAACTTGTGTAGGAAGCGTCTGGAGTGATGAAGTTCTTGGATAGATGGTCCAGTATAGGCGTAAGTCGGTCGTCTTCGTCGAGCCGCGGCAAAGCTCGAGCTGTTAACTAAATCCAAGTCAATCGAGATGTCCAAGGCTAAATCAAGGGGGTGTAGGAGTACTTCTAATGCACGATCCAGTCGCTTTGTAAACTCTGCTACCACCATGCTTGACTGTTCCTTTGAAGGCACATAAGCTTTGCCAGCTCTCATGAACACCCGCCGAGACTCAACCAGATCCGGCACTCTTTCCCAGTCCACTTTAATCCACGTCTCCTCCTCGGAGCCTTTTTTGAAACCTGTGATAGCGGCCAGCTCATCTCGATATTTGTTGCATTCGTCCTCTGTCACTTGTTCACAGTCCAGGTTGATATCCTTTATAAAGGCATCCTTCTCGCGGTAGCCTTCATCATTTAATCGAAGGCGGAACAGCATCGTCTCCACGCGGCTGAACCTCCGGCGCAAATCCTCGGTCGACGCAAAGGCTAGTCGTAAAATAAAGTGGCTGTAGTGATCTTTCTGGCGCTCCTCGAAGAGCTTTGAAGAGGACGAGGTGTTCGGCTGAAGGAGGAGATACTTTTCAAGCAAGGGCTTCATGTGTGAAGCCGTTTCGGCCAAGGACTTGTTGCGAAACGAGCATGCTTCGAGTTCGGCGAGCACTTGCAGGTCGGTCAGTAGCAGAACGGGGCGCCATCTCGGAAAGGAAGACCTACCTTTTAATCTATCAATGGCCCACTGTTCAAATTGCTCCAGAGTAATGTCTGCGGTTGGAGGCGTGGCATAAAAGTTAAGGCGATGATGATATTCCGTCGCCTGATAAGTCGGGTCGGCAAACTGTTTCTTGCGGTGGTCTGCAAGAGCCCGTCGCTTGATGTCGGGGCGATTGAAATCCTGTCGAAGCATCTCGGCAACGATGTTGAGATCAGAATTTTGATACTAACGTTTGAAACGGTAGATTTGGATTTGGTATGCACTACTTAGTATGAGCAGTAGTATGCACACCATGTATTTCATAAATTCAGGCTCGCGACGCGGTCTGCTGGAAAAAACACGCGTCGTAGACTACGGTACTACCTACTATACCTACACGCGTTAATTGATTGCCCCGCTGTACGCACATACCTAGGAGTAGGTACAGTACGGTAGCACAGTAAACCTACCTAGCTAGCCAGCTTGTGGCGCTGGCATATGTTCATAAAGCCCCTAAACCCCACAAGCCTATGGTAGTGTGCAGCGACTAACTACGACCAAGTACTTGCATGCCTACATACATACCGGTAGTTCTGATAGCAGTACCTAATGTACATACCGAGGTCGAGGTCATATATACCCATCACCTTTTATGCTGGTCTACTATGCCAAGCCTGATGTATATTTACGACCGAAACCTACGTACAGACTGCCTACCTATGTACCTAAGTAAGGTATCTAAATAAGTACCTAAGTGGGTATCCCGATGGGTAGTGGGAAGCATATGTCCAGTGCCCGCCTCTTTGCCATCAGGCAGTCAAATTATTCCTCTTCACCTTCGTTTTTCAGCTTCATCTCCCCATGCTAACTGGCCCACAGACGGCAAGAAGAGGCTTGGAGGGAGCATGAACAGAAGAAGAAAAGACACTGGTAGAGCCAAAAGCCTCGTGAGGTCGTCATTAATTGCGCACTATAGTTGCCTCTTGGGAATCTAGTGTACGCTACAGCTTGGATCTGTCACGCCTCCCCGCTTTTAGAGGCAATAAAATGTATGTCGTATGCCACTCGCTGGCAACGGAGCCCGATGGTCTGTTGAAGGCGATGTCGCTATTGAGAGATCTACGCCATCTGTCTCTCTGCCCGTTATCGATCACACGCTTCTAAGTAAGCAGCTGTTGTTGGCGTCTACCTGCCTACATGCGAGACATGTACAGTAGCCTATGTACGCATGGAGCCAGTGTCGAAATCTGTAGACCTACACCAGATGCAGTTAGATGTGCAAGGAAGGCGAGGAGAAACAGGGACGAGAGCCGGGGCAGAGGCTGATGCAAGGCCCATATCCCGCGAACTATGCAGCCTCACCAAAGCCAACATCGATCGCTGGTGGGCTCACTGGTGGCCCGTGGACCGTGGCGGAGATGGCCTTCATTCCTGGTCAGAGCCTGGTGTAGGCTATTCCATGGTTGTTCTTCAAGGGCTTCCAGAAAGTGTTACCCATCTGGCCACCTTCATTCAAGATCGAGTACCTATCTCGACAGCAAGGCGCCTTACTTTCTTCCGCCTATGACCGCATGTCAAAGCTTACCCGATAAGAATCCTGCGCTAGGGGGCACGTGTGCACACGGGTCTTATATTCGGATCACTGCCTCCCATCTGCTCCCACCTTCGCTACGATACGCTAGAATAAGCATACTGCCTGGGATGACCTAGGGATTTCCTGGTCGCCCCTCGGCAGCAGCCAATCGACACAATAGTCTTCTGCATGCTTTCAGCTGCCTCAAACCTCACCAACGTGGTTTTCAGCCCGCATGTTCACGCTAAAAGGGTCAGTGCAGCTGACTTCTTCCTCCATTGGGTCAACCCCTGCTCACCCACCAGAACCCACCCAATCAGCGGCAACTTGAACAGATCCTGGGGCGCTGTCTATCTCCGCTTTTTGTTGCTTTGTATCAAGTGTGCTTCAACTCATAACCTGAAGTAGATAGCATTCTGCTTCGTGGCTAGCTCACGAGATGGCAAATACACAGCCGCCCTGGTTTTTAAATTGTCTAAACCGGTCGCAAAATGCTCGTCCCATCCGCGGTGCCGCATCATTCAAGTCCTGTTAGCCGCTACTGTCATGCCAACCGAAGCTGGAGAATCGTCGTCTTCCAAAAGATATGCGGCTCCCGAGGACTGGGCCAATCTTCAGGATGTCATCGTGCGACTTTATGTGGAGGAGAACAAAACGCTAGAAGAGGTCAGGCAGCATATGGAAGAAAATCATGATTTCATCGCAACGTATGACAAGCTCCTAGCCCGCCCAGCAGTAGGGGGTTTTTGCTGACATCCTAACTCTCCAAAGCATATCCATGTACAAAAGACAGCTCGCGTCTTGGAACGCATTCAAGAATCTGCGTTTCGACGAGGTCTTACAAATCCTTCGCTTGAAGAGACAGCGGGAGGCAGAGCATAACAGAGGCTCCGATTTTTTTGTAAGAGACCGGAAAGTGGAGATTGACAGTCTTCAGATATATATATCCCGAAACCCGTCGCTCTACTCAAAGTTGGAATCCGGCGAAGAGCCCCACTCAGATGCAGTCCGGGATGTCAGCTGTCGCACGCCTGCTCCGTTGGAATCACCTTCAGACTCTCCAGAAAAGCAAAACAATCTTGTCCAAGAGAAGGCGCCAGAAGCCATGCTGGGGCCGAGAAGCGGACTTCACACCAGTTTAATACAGCTTCTTCGCACTTATATATCTGAGGGCTTTCATTCGGGTACATGGGTCCGATCTGCTAGTTATTGCTGGAGCTTCAAGGGCCATCGAGGCCCCGCGGAGTTGTTGAAGTCTGTATTAGACAGGTGTATGACGGCAGCGTTATCCGTGGGTCGGCAGGTTGAACCTGCTGCCATTCGGCACGCACTTGACTCTCCGTTTAGTCTGCTGATTCGAGTTTTCAAGAACCCTCCACCAGAGATGATACCCAGGATACTCTGTGTTGCGACACGTTTAGAACTTATTGGTCGAGGGGAAATACAGGGCATCCTATTACAGTTCTGCTCAGATCTTGCTAGAGCTTTATATGGACCAGACCATTCTCTCTCTAACTTTTGGCAAACCCTTATTGAAGTACCACATGCTGAACGAAGTAGGGCCATCGTTGCTGTACTTGCAGAATGCGTTTCTGAATTTGAAGAACACCTTGGTGCTGGCCATACGCTGTCGACAGAAATATACTTGCTGTACTTCGATGCAGTTGAGAGACAGAAAGACCCGAAGACGCAAGCTGAGAGTATCGAATTCCGGCTATCTAAACTCGATGAGCAAAATACCGACCGCTCTGTATTAGCAATGCTAAAATTCGAACATGCATTAGCGACATGCAAAGCGGATCTTGCTGATGGCAAACCAGACAAGGCAGACAATGTCTTGTCTCAGTTGGACGCTACGACTCTTTCTCCCCGGGATAACTCATTCCGGTGCGTTTGGCTTGGGTACATTCGATGGATGAGGGGGGAAACTACTGCAGCTGAAAAGGCATACAAGGACTCGGTCCAGGCGGCAAAGCTGACCGGGTCTCGGGATTGCGTCTGTGAGGCTCTTTTCCAGCTAGAAACGTTCTACCTACACATTCAAGAACCACTTCAAGCCGAGGGAGTACGGGCGGAGAGGCTTAATGCTCTTCGTAAACTGGGCGCTATCGCTTGGGTGGACCAGGGCACCACGTTGGGAAAGGACTCAGAAACTAGTTCGAAGGTGACTATTATCCGCATAGGTTCCGATGCGAGCAGCGAGACATGGGATGCATCTGCTTCGACTATTATGATAGAATATCACGATATATATAACCAAGTAGCTACTGGCGGTTAGGGCATAGAGTACTCATAATTAGAAATGCTGTCAATTTGAATATATTATCTCATCATCTCGCTATTTCTTGCAACCATACAAGGTCTGGAGTTTAAAGAACTCCGGTGGTACACTGCGCTATTTACCATGTTTCTTTCCAATATCAATATTCCCTATCCGCTGTCGATGATTTGTATTTTTTTTTTCCTAACTCTTTTTTCGGTCCTGCCTACCAATCCATTTGTGCCAAAGCCACTTCAGGTCGGGAAATATCACACTCAAAAGCCAACTCATTATTTTGGAGCCTTGTGCCTCCTGTGGCTCTTCAATTTTTTCTTGGATATTCCACCGCTATGCGCAGGTTTAATCAATCCAGCGCTTCGAGCAGGTTCAGTTTTCTTCGCCTCAGAAGGTCCAGCCGTCTCCTCATCAATTTCAGATTCTTCCTCCTCTTCTTCTTCCTCCTCCTCCTCCTTCTCCTCCTCCTCTTCATTTCTCATTCCCAAGAAGTCCTTCAGTTGTGAATCAAGTGCTAGTACTCTCATGGTCGCTTCATCAGTCCATTCTGCAGGTAACGTAAAGCGTTTAATTTCTTGCTTCTCTTCCGTATTGCTTGATTCCCCTTCCATGGCCTGAACATTAATAGGAGGAAGAGATAGGTCCCCTTCCATGGCCTGAACATTAATAGGAGGAAGAGATAGGTCAGTATGTGCCTTCTCTAGGCATTCTTCAAGAAACGCGACAACCTTCTCTCGCTTGGCATTCGGATTCTGACGTCGACCACCTGGGGGCATGGCGGTGGTGTGACAGTTAGGAGATGGTTCACTTTGTGTAGGCTGTCTATACATAGCATCGTTGTAGTGGTGTGGAAGTGGTTCACTTCGTGTAGACCGTCCATGTATAGCAATGTTGTAGTAGTATGGAGATGGTTCAATTTGGGGTACCGTCTCTCCGGTGGTAGTATCGTCTGCAGTCTCCTTGCCCTTTCCCTTGTCGGGTTTCGTTTGTGCTGCCCCAGATAGGAGTTGCGCTATGAAACCTAAGGCTGTATGTCACAAGTGTCAGCATTGATTCACTACCGTCGGCATACAATTGTATCAGGGAAAAACAAAGGGGGAAACGGGAGTAGAAAGGGCTACATTGCTAGATACTGTCCAAACAAGAACGAAGATTGGACTGATATATGAAACATGTACGCCGGGAATCAACTCACACACCTCGCGCGTGTAGCGCCTTAATGCATGTATACATTGACTGAGAGATGATCCGTCGGGAAGTAGTACGTGATCACGGGGAACTGACCCCTCATCATCAAATATGGTACACAAGTTAAAATCTTTTTCAAAGGAGTCGCCCAACCCAATCTTCGCAACAACCTTCGGATCGCCGTCGCGTGTCGTGGGTTCTTCAAGGCCGTACATAACGACCCGCTCACCCGGCCCGTCTGGATGAATGGTGATCTCGAAACAAAGCCCTAACGCGTGGAATACATGCTGGCAAGCTGAGTCGGAAAGAATGCGCAACGTGTAGTGCGAAACCTTCAACCAATTTCCAGGGTCATCCATGGCTGCAGTGAGACGTGAACCCCTAGGCTTTTTGTTCGAAAAGTGAAGATGGTGACAGTAGGGATATGGAGATAAGGTAGACCGGACTGAGACTGAAATTTCCAAGTGCCGATTTATCGAATGCCTTCGACTGTTATTGATATCAAGTATAGGGCAAGACAGAATGTGATGATGGATGTATGATATAGGTGTAGCAGCATGTTTGCTGGGTAAGAAATATGAGAAAACACCCCATGACTAGGACTGTCACATCAATCCAAAGGCAACAGCCTCTAGGTAAGTGGTTAGAAAGTACTACCTACCGATAGAGGAACCACGTATATTCAATCCTTCGACAGCTGCTCTCCGGTATCGTGAACTCGTAGCTGCTAGAACACCCAACCCATACATCTCTTTCCATTGAGAAAGGACACATGCGTCATGGCAATTACATAGGCAGGAGCGCCCAACCACGTCCAGTAGGGTAGTGGCCACGCGTATGTCCTTGGTTTGTAAGTGATCCGCAGTGATAATGCCAACCACGATTGGGATACAGCAGTGAAGAGGATAACAGCACTGTCCATTGCTTGATGGGTAGCGCTGAGGTACAGCTTAGCAGTAGGTATATGTCTGCGCAATCTATGTATCTATTCTATTTAAAATAGGAGAATTGTGATCATGTATGAGTAGTCCCAAGTTATATACTGTGAGTTCCACGCATGGGGATGCTACAACAAGAAACTGTAGAGCTGTGCCCTCACAAAGGTGCATTTGTATGTTTTCGAGAATAGATGTCTCGCTCTGAATCAAGATGGGGGCCGCCACTCCACACCAAGTCTAGGGTATAATGCTCGCCTTCTAGGCAAGGACAATTGAGAATTGGTTTGCGCCCCGGGGTTACGAAGAGACGAAGCCATCATAGTTCTCGGCGTAATCCTGAGGCAATATCCAATACCAGCTGAACTTGTGCTCCGCGCTAGCAGCTCTATACCACAATCAAGACAGCTTTGGATTATATTGATGAGTTAAAGTATGCAATTGTGGTGGCCACGCAAATCTTTCCGGGGGCCTTTTCAGCTGCGCTGGATCGTTGGCGTGGCGTCCATCACACAGCGCCGGCCTCGAGGTAGAACGCAGGAGCCCACTAGGACCCTTGAATATGGTTTTGTACCGTGTCAGCTCCCTTTCGCATTAGTTGGCGACGCCGACGTGATACTTCCTTTTCAAGGCTGAAATTCAAGGAAAGCTAGCACCAATCGTTTCATTGCGGAAAGCGCCACAGCTTCAGCCTCTCTACTACGCTATACCCTAGCCCAAGGAAGTCGCAGAGTGTGACCCAAGTCTGCGCCTGGGTATGCGAATCGTATGAAAAAACATCCAATTCGAGGAGTTGGGAAGCGCCCGCGCCAGCGCCCTCCTTGCTGGCAAAGAAAGTTCGGATTGAATCTACATCATCGGACCGCACATCCTTCCCCGCTGGTCGTTCCTGTGAGAATAATGCCAGCCAGGATTGGGAGTCGGCGGCGAAAGTTGGCAAAATAAACCTCGCTTCCGGGTTATCGCGCGATATGTTTTTGTACGCTGTCCCTTGCGATAGGATAGTGTAGGCGCCGGGATCTGTACTGAGATCTACACCGTTGGCGCCCGTGGTGGATCCGGAGTAGCTATACCCGAGAGTATCGAGCGCCGAAGACATGGCAATCAGGGCAGGGTCACTGGGCATGAGAATATAGACTGCGGGTGATGTAGCCTGTACGACTATCAGACTCGCCAGCGACGTCGGGAGGCTGGAGAATGCCCTCATTATCGACTCTCGTATCGAGGGACGTTCGGATATGGTTTGGTAGATATCGTAGTGCGGACAAATGACCAAGGTAGAATCGGTCACCAGAGAGTCGTCAGAGGAAACGGGGAAAGATTGTCGTCTAGGTCTGCGAGAACGAGCTGAAATGAAAATACCTAGGTCGAGAGTCTCGACCCTTTTTATTATGTACCGTACTTGCCTTACCCATCGTCCTACCATTCACTAGGTTACATACTAGGTAAGTAGGTAGATATCAGATCGAACACTAGCATGGTTGATCTTTGACGATCAGGGGCCGGACCCCCTTACTTACTACGTACACACATCAACGTACCGGTACTGTACATGGAGTACCGTATACCTACACAGTTAGTTGAGATTAGCAGGGGCATCTCACCCTGGTCTGCTAATAGTGCTTGGAGTCTGAACCGCCTCAATCTATTAGGAGCTGAATGGCGCCATCAAACGGTAAGCAGTCTCTGCTATGCTTGTCTGGTAGGATGAGGCCTCAATATGCAACTCAGAGCGCGAAGGTAGGCAGGTACTGTATCCAGAGGATCAATGTCACAGGCAGAAATACAAATAAGCCAAAGCGATTTTCGCATTAATAGGTGGACCGAGCGGTCAAGAAGATTGTGTAAAACAAGCGCGGGACACCCTGTCTCGGCCCTGTTCTAGGCCCCAACTTTAGAAAATGGGGTTCTACCCCTTTCTTGGCGTCCCTAGCAGCATCTCCAATGCAGACCCGGCAAATGCTCCAGCTGCGCCTCATTCGCCGTTTGGGAAAGTGTACTCCCCTGGCGTTCTTAAATGTGAGATAATATATAATATGGTAATACCTTAACTACCTACACATTTGAGACAATGCCACCAGCTCCATGATCTTCAATACTTTAGGGAAGATAGAAAAGAAAAGATAGAAAAGGCTCATTTTGAAACAGGCGGATGCGGCTCGGTTCCATACATGCACAATCAGTACTAATCCGCGGTGCTACTAGGTACTCCGTAACTAACTACATATGTAGTACTTGCCTACTGTTGGAAGCGTACATGTATGCACATGTGTGAGCGTATATGGATAGGTATTTCTAGATGAAATCCTGGACTAGAAATTGCAGCCAGGACGTACATAGTAGACATGCAATGTGTAGACAAGAATACCGTAGGTAGCGCACATAGTCCCCTATCCATGAACACCACATTAGGATTCTAAACCATGCGATAGATACTGAGAGCTATCATGATGCAGCACCGCCTTGTTATACGTCAGCCAATAATGCGCACTAACATGCAGATGGTTATTGTTCGGTTTCGTGACCGACTGTCGCAGTCGACATGGCGTAGATGATCCATCGGATTCATGGACCTGGATCTTAGGTATGTATGTCAGGATATGATTGAAGCAGGTTGCGATTCTTAATGCGAAAACGGCCGCATCTGGAACTCCTCATCTTTCTCTGGCTGTCGTTCCAAGGGCACGCTTACGAATCTAGGCTCAATGTACCACGCAGGGTCGCCTTGATATTTCTGGCCATTGACCTGCCCTTCATCAGTTTTGACGTGCGTAACACTGAATCCATTGCCGAGCCATCGCAGCATGTTCGCTCCCGGTCCATCAAGGCTCTCCCACTCATAGTCTTCCCAGCGAGGAGCGCGGAGTGCCTCAATCGCATGCAGCGTGCTGCCTGGCCAGAGCCCGATGATCCTGTCTCCATTGCCGCCCTCGCTCTTATACCAGCTGTTGCAGTTATCCGTGTAAACGGTGTTTTTGAAGTATTCGTGACAGTAGTCGCGCCAATCGCGCACTCGCTCAGGCCGAACCGTCATAGTCGCGTAATCCTCTTTCTGTAGCTTGCGGATGCATTTCACGATATAGTCACCTTCAGCTTCGAGAATGGAGGTGAGTGACCCGGATCCGATCGCTGAGTTAGGGCCGAGCATCATGAAATAGTTGGGGAAGGAGTCCACGGCTAGTGATAAGTAGGCTTCTGGGAATGGAGTGAAGCGCTCCTCAAGCGTGAGGCCACCCTGTCCCGTGATTGCAAACGGTGGCCCCTTTGAGGTCTGGAACCCCGTTGCGCAGACGATGGCGTCGACGGAGATCGTACGCCCAGACTCGAGTTTTACACCTTTTGAGGTTATGGCAGCAATTTTGTCAGTGATGAAGTCTACGCTGCTCTCACTGAGTGCTTCTAGATACCCCGGACCCGGGGTCGCCCGTCGACAGCCGATGCCAAAAGATGGAATCAGGAATTCTGCAATCTCTGGCTTCAGCGAAAGTCTTTTCTGCATTGCCTCGCGGAACAATACTATGCCTCCGCGTTGCATATCAGAGTCTCGAATTGAGATCTCGTGGACCGTGTTTCCGTCGACCTCAATCTCTTTCCGGAACTTAAACAGTTTATCGGGATTCTGTGCAAACTCTTGACGCTGTTCGAGTGAAACTGTAGCATGTTAAATCTGCATTCGTAGAGTAGGCAATAACAGCTTACAATCTAATTCCTTCGGGTTCAATCCTAGCTTTTCCATGACAACTTCAAGACTCGTCAGTAGGTGAACGTAGACAGCAGCCTCGTAGTCTGAAACCTAGCTCACCATCACCAAAGGGATTTGTGATCCAAGTTTTGCTTCTGACAAAGCATGAAAGTTGAGTTCCCTCAACCTTCTGAAGGCTAGGCACAATTTGTATGGCGCTAGATCCATTGCCTATAACCCCAATTCGCTTATTCTTAAAATCGTAGCTATTTCAATCGTCAGTTGATTCTTCGAAGTTGATCAGTACAGCAGCGACGCCGGGGAAGGATTGACTCGTACTCTTGATTCCAGGCTGCTGAATGCATAATTTTCCCTGTAAAGTCTCGTAACCCGGGGATGTTGGGCCAAGATGGATTGCTAAGGCTACCTCGAGCCACAACTAACACATCGGCATCGTCCTGGAAGACCTCTCCTGAGTCTACTTTTCGTACGCTCAGAACCCTAGTGGAGTTTCAGCTTCGTACCATTCTTCCCATATATGTTCCTTCTAAACCTCTCCTTTACAACCTACCATTTCTTTGCTTTGTTGTCCCATGTGCAAGATACCACCTCATGCAAGAGCTTTATGAACCTCATTGCACCGAAAGTTTTTGCCGTGTCCTGGAGGTAGTCGCATATCTCGCTCCCGGGCGCATAAAATGAAGACCAATTCGGATTGGGATTAAACGTATACTGGTACGAGTGAGCCGGGATGTCACAAGCAACGCCTGCGAACGTAAGTAAAACGCATATTACACACGAATCGGAGAAAACGAGTCTAGTGTTAACAAGCTCACATACCTGGGTATTTATTGACCCACCACGTACCACCAGCTTGTTCGTTTTTCTCATAAATCTGTAACTCGACATTTCGGAGCCGTTGTGGTATTCGAATTCCAAGATAGATCCCGGAATAACCCGCGCCAATCACACGAACTTTCAAACGACGATGGCCGTCTAATGGTTCACCTTTAAGCTCAAAAGGGCTCACATATTTGGCACCATCTATATCGGGATTCTGTGTTTTGGCAGTTGACATCTCGTAGTTCTTTGACCTGGGAAAAGATAATATGTATGGATGACTCAGCACGTTATATGCTCAGGCATGGAAATAAGGTCGGCGTCCAGGCAAGCAAGACACGTGGTTGTTTGATAGTAACCCTAGGCTCAACGTTTACCTCACTAGGTCCCAGGACTACGGAATGTACGATTTGTTTTAAAGGCCATTTTCATTCCGAGAAATTGGCCCGTCTAGTTAGTAATTACTCATATGCCCAGAAGCCAGATGACACCACGCTTACTGATGTGGGACGGTGAGGCTTTCCACCCTTCCCCGCACATTTGCAATCCCGGCACTTGATATTTGCTGGGAGGAAAAGCTTTAGCATGATGCTGCAACAACAAGCGGGGAGATGACCTGGATCGTTTGTCGCCACATATCCAGTTTGAGCCAATTCCTTTGGTAGTTCTAATGCTTTGCTATACCGAAGGGTCCGTCCATGCCAGGACGAATCGTCAAAGAGGCTTTGGAAATTCCGCTGCGGAGTCGAGGATAGTTGAAGAATGCATTTCATTCTCCGATGGAGAAAAAAAATCGGCAGGGTTGAAGCTAACCCGGATAAGCCATCCTGGATTGGAGGCTAAAGAGATAAGGAGTCGTCTTGAACCTGAGGTGATAATTAAAGTATTCTAGAACCACCACAAACGTGGGTCTAGAGTTTTAACATCCTTAAATCGGTTTGAATAATAACCATGATATACAGAAGCCAAGATAAGGTGCTTATGATTAATTACCACCAACCTTGTCAGAAATGTCACTGTTGTCATGATAAGAGTGGAAGGCAAGACGATGGTGTCTAAGTCTCAAAGGTAACATAGGTAGGCCTACACATAGGTCATATTATAGAGCCTCTGTACTACAGGAGGTTCCCCTACCCGTTTTGAACCACGTGCGGTCTTCGCCCGTTTCCAGGCACGGTAGCGATTGGTAATAAGGTAGCGAAAAGTACAATCCATCCGATTTATAGCCATGCGCTTTCGTAGTATTTTCCCGCCTACTACGACAACACGGGAGTGTAACGTTGTATTAGCTGTGGTATAGCTAAGCATCCGTCACATTGTTGGTTAGAAGTTGGGTGAAGCGAAGGACTCGGCAATACGGTCGAGATGGCTGGCACCTGAACCGGCCTTGCATGGAATCCGACGGTGCTGGCTCTTGCGGTTGTTCGACGGGGTCTCCGAGCTAAGAGGCGGAGAATATGGGGATATGTGTGATGTTTGGCTTCACTGATAGCCGGGACAGAGGGCGTGGGAACCGATACCCCCGACGGCACGGCAGGACACCAAGCTGGCCACGGTGCTCGGTACCTCCCGGTACCCGCCTCTTCACGTGCGACGGCGGGGAAAGAGGAGCAGAGATGGGGTAAGATGGGTTTCTGGGCTTCCATCCAATCGAGCTCGAGCAATCGAGACCGTGATGTCTGAAGCTGGATTCAGTGGCCCGACGCGTCGAGGCGGCGGAGCAAGAGACGGCGCAGGGGACGGGAAGTGAATGATGACATCAGCCTGTCTGCCAAGGAATTGAGCTACAGCCTCAGTTATACCGCTCATTATCTCTAATATAGACGACTGTGGCGGCCGCTCGTTTTCGATTGGATTGCAGCGAGATCATCAGAGTAAAAGCCTCTGCATCTGCGCTGATGACGAGGGCTGAGTGGGGGTTCCGCGATAGGGACATCATCTATCTGGTTACCTAGACTACCTACCCAAGTACTTTTGCAGATATGATTCGGGTCGCTGATGGTCTATGTGCCTATCTACAATACTTAGAGGTAGGGAGGGATATATGATATTCTCAGAGCACTGATTAAGTATGCGTGAGTGAGACTCTTCAACTTGCCTACCTTCAAGGGACGACAAGTGACTGCCTAAGGTACCCCAACCGCTACATCACCTAATAGGTATACTTCTTTGTTTCTATTGCTGGCCATATACCACATGCACATAATCTACCAGTGCTTGAAGCAATTGCCCTTTGGCATCTCCACTGAAAACGGCTGACTCTGTCGCCCCGAACCCCGGAACCGATATTACCCATCAGATATCCGATTTGTAGTACAGCAGTGCTTCGGTAGAATCTTTCAGTGATAAATACTCTGGGATAGGCCTAGGTACTTATAAATACTAAAGCAAGTAGCACCGTAGCCATGTCTCATGGAACACCTAACAGTATCTACATATTACTTAGGCAAGTGAAAGGCAGGTACCTACCTGGGTTGGAGGCATGAAATGACTGGCCATGTTCCTGTCATGTTCAATCCTGGTGTAAACGAGTTAACGTTACAGTTCTTATGAGATACACAATACATATGTACCTCGATATACCCTGAAGGGAGCCATTCGTTTGGTAGCCAACCATCAGTTTTGCTTTGGGTCGTCTGGTGGAGCCCAGATACACAGTATCAGCTTTCATCGAAGATACCTAGCGAGCCTACTTATAGTATGTACCTAGGTAGTTGGTAGGTACTTTGAGGCTTGCATGGGATTAAGTACATGAGGCACTTACCTACATCTACATGTACCTACGGTACCTTAGTACTAACCTTACCTGGTTTATTAACTGTGTAACCTACATGTCCGCCTCTACAGTTACCTACCGGTTATCCTGATGGTATGTACCTGCCTGTAAGGTAGCTACCTAGCTACTACCTACTTAGCAGTAACCTACTAGAAACCGGGCTACTGCCGCCTAAGAACGAACCACCTACCGTACCGCAACACCACCTTCACCCACTCACCAACATATCCATCGCCAGCTGGTCTGTGAGAATCCCAGACCCTCTGTTATTCACTATCTAGCTAACGGACTGCTTGTCCTCCCCGGCCATTGTTGAAGCTGCTCCCCTTTCTTGCTGTTCATGAACTATTAGGCAGGTGGTTTGGCCAGGGATTCAACCGTCCTCTTGTTCAAAGACATTGGTTCCAGACGATAGATACCTTGGGAAACCTCTCCATCCCTTGCCCTGGCTTGGTCGCGGCCGGCGCAGCAACGCCCTTCTTCCTACATCTCCTAGTACTTACCTAGTCCTTGCTTCCTAGGTGATCTGTTCCTCCCGCGAACATTCGTCAGCAGTCGAGACTACCGAGTCACCATTGTTGTCGACCCCCATCAAGTGCCAACCGTCCCCTCCTCGTCCCACTTACTCAGCAGCCAGTACTTAGCTGATCCCGCGTCCGTCCCTCGGGTCGGGCCTGCTGTTCTTCCAATATGACAGCAGATCCACCTCGCAACCTTCCAGATGATGTTCCGGATGATGTTTTCGTAGATCGCAGCGACAGCCCGGGACCCCATCTCGCTCGAACCTCTCACCAGCATATTTCGCTTCCCTTGGTTGACTTACACGAGTTGAACCGTCAAAGCGTAGAATCCAACCGCGCATTGTATAGTACCGGTGCGTCTTCACCAGCCACCCGCGGCGATGACATCGTGATAAAATCCTCGCCCGCTCATGGTCAGATCCATTTCGAAGCGCATACAACATCTCCTTCTCCTCCTATATCAGTAAACACCTCCGGAGAGACCTCCGACCCGGCGAACAAATACTCCCCATTGCCATCCGGGCACAAAACCAGCTCTCTACTCGTTTCGACTAATATGCCACCTGCCTCACCTCGTCGGTCCGACAGCCTCAAAGAGCGTAACAGCCGCCTATCCTCAGCGCAACAAAATCCTGCCTTGCAGAGGAAAACGTCAAACTCGAACCTACAGCCCGTTTCGCGGACTCCGAGTTGGAAACAGCACTTTAGTAAGGGTATAAGCTCTACTACGAGCTCTGCTTGCCCGAGCCCTGTGATATCTGCTTTGGGCGACGTTACACCCCTCCCTTCCCCTCTACTGTCTAGTGATTCGCCTGGCCCCTGGAGACGACTCGTTTCCCCTATACCTTCGAGGGAATTGACTGTGCCAACTATCATGCCTGATTCCGTCTTCGTCACGAAGAGTGGCGAGTCTGTGGCTACTGCTCTCGAGAACCAAAACAAGAGAAAAGTCTACGCAGGCCTTCAAGTTGGACATGCAGCAGAGCACAGCAGCGGCAAGCACGAACATACTCGGAATCGGAGCATCAGCGAATATATACCGGATCCCAAGGGTATTCCGAAACGACAGAATACTGTTTCTACTGGCAAGGTGGACGAGAGAATTCGCGAGGATCCTGCAGGGCTACGGAGAGAGCCGCGGCTTTCTGAAGCTAGAGGGCTCGCTTTACCTGCGACCCCGCCAACACCTCCCCCAAGTGAATCTTCATTAAGTAATGATACTTCGGGTTCAAAGAGACCGGCATACGAGTATTTCGAAGCGCGCGGTAGAAAAGATCAAAAGTTAAGACGATGGCGAGGAATTGAAGACCTTGGCGAAGGTACATTCAGTAGGGTAGTCCTGGCGACGAACAAGCTCGAGAAAGATATCAACAGAGAGAACAGGGCCCCTATAACGGTCTCCCAATTGGATCGGAAAAAATTAGTTGCCATAAAAATCTGCGAACACGGACCGAAAGGCGGTGCCTCTGAAGACAGAATCGAGATGAGCTTAAAACGAGAGCTTGACATAATGCGGTCGATCGACCATCCATCCTTGGTGCATTTAAAGGCTTGGAGTATCGAACCGACAAGAGCATTGCTGGTCTTGAATTATTCTCCCGGGGGCGACCTTTTCGATGTTGCCTCCAACTACCGGGATTCCCTCAAAGCCCCGATTCTGCGGCGAATATTTTCGGAGGTTGTGGGGGCGGTCGGGTATCTCCACGAACGTAGAATTGTTCACCGTGATATCAAGCTCGAGAGTATGTGATTCTTGCTTCCAAGTCACATGAGAGGCCAGCGGCGCTTCTCTCCAAAGCATTGTTTTACATGCTAACATCGGACAGATGTTCTCGTAAATATCACACCAGCAGAGCTGATTAGCCCCACCCAGGATTGGACCACGTATCCGTATCCAGTAATAACCTTGACAGACCTGGGACTTTCCCGGCGCGTAGCTGACGACGAGAAACTGGAAACTCGTTGTGGATCCGATGACTATGCTGCACCAGAAGTTATTCTGGGCCAGCCCTATGACGGCCGGGCCACCGATGCTTGGTCTTTGGGTGTGCTCTTATATGCTCTCATCGAGTCAAGACTGCCATTTGACCCGCCACCCGGCGCCAATGATTACCAGAGAATGCGAAGCAGGACCAGTCATCGCATCGCTCGTGTGGAATGGAGTTGGGTCAAGTATGTGGGTGAAGATGGTGATCATGACGCCAATATAGCCTTGTTCGAAAAAGATGGGCTAAAAGGAGCTATGGAGATTACCGAAGGCTTATTGAGACGCGCTCGGAGCCGCTGGCCCATGGCACAGGTGATTGAGCATGACTGGGTTCGCGAGGCGATAAAGGTAGATGGTGGACTTAGGTTTCCAGAAGAGGAAGAAGGACAAGAAGTCTTATGACACCGGCGAAAGTGACATGGTAGGAGATGGATATGGCTGGGGCTAAGGCTGGCAGGATGTTAAGCATGAAGAGGTCTGCTGAGGTTGCCACACAGCACTGCAGCTTTACTACGTTTCGAACCTATTGAAGTATGATACGATGTTGTTTCGGAGCATTGTTCGGGCTTTCACATCTTGCTGAGCTTTATGGGACATGACTTAAGACGAAGAAGTGTCTGGCGGAGTCTTTGACATTCAGACTGCCCTTTACTTGAAGTCTACATCCTACACACTTACATAATTAGAATGTGGAATTCTTATCACAACAACTTTGTAAATACTTTTTCAGCTGTGAGGGCGCGCAGGTGGAGAACGTTATTCGTCTTATGGTCGATGGGCTAATGTTATGGGCATTGTGGAAAAGGCGCGTGAATTGGAAACCATAACGGCTTATCAATGTTAGACCAATATCTTGACTACATAGGCACACTAATAGGCTTTTTACACGTATCCACGATTCTCAGACAAACCAGCATTGCCGGAAGAGGCCTCCAGTTGAAAATGGGAAGCTCCCCTTTCATCAACACCACATCTCTTTGCCTGATCCTGAAAAACAATGTAAAGCGGTATCTTGCTAGCACAGATGAAGACCTTCGACACCTACTTGTGTTGGAGGTAGATACTTGATATACCACTTATATTATTGTACTGTACAGCCCACTTCAGAGTGAGTCAGTCCTAAATCCTCGTAACACCTTACTCTATCCAGGAATCTATGTGCTTAGTCGCTTTGGATAGTCTTCTTTAAGGGGGTTAGCATTTTTTAAAGGCTCGTCGACGAATTACACTAGCGGCCTACCGAGTACTAAGTATGTAAGTTACTATGAGTGGATGCGTTGTTTTATTAATAGAAGTGCAGGGGTGCCTGTACTGGGTGCCAACCTGAGGTACGACTGAAAATCAGTCATCTACCTAGATACCTGCTTAGTAGAGGCCGTATTGTGTGACAGATTACTTTTGTTGTTAGGCGTCTTGCGCAGCAAGCATAGATCTGGTGCAATATCTAATACCAGGACAATCTAACCTCGTCTTTCTGAAGGACCACCAAGTCGAGCCTTGTTGAAGGGCAGATAAGCAGTAAACTAGTCTCCTAGCCTACCCTGTAAGGGCCCAGTAGTTTTTTCTCCCTCTTTATGAGAGCGCAACAGTGCAATCATATTTCTCCTTTCCGTTCTCTCTGAGATTATTTCAGACGTAATAGAAGGAGGATGTTAGAAGACACTCCCCAACCGAAGCCCTTCAGGGCGATCATCGTCGGTGGCGGCCTGCTGGGCTTAACAGCAGCGCATATCTTTGCTAAGACGGATATGGACTATGTGGTGCTTGAACAGCATCATGACTTGATGCCGAAGATCGGGTCGTTGCTCTCGCTGATGCCCCATACCTTTCGTGTACTTGACCAGGTTAGTTCTCTGGAGTTATATTCTTACCCTTTAGGCAGCTTTCGGGCCTCATTACTCCTGCATACTCCCGAAACATGAGCTGAACCCCTTCTCTCTCCGGCAATTGCTGACTCTAGCGTGTGTAATTAGCTGGATGCGCTGGATGCTGTCTCGTCCGTAGTGACGCGCGTTGACCAAAACGTCTTCATGTCTGCCGATGATGCAACTATTTGGAAGGCCGAGAAGCTGGCTCAACTGATCGAGACCAAGTGAGTTTCCTACGATTCGTCGCATACAAATTCAAAGCAAGGATGCTGATATAGGGGATACTAAAAGTCACGGGCACGGCGTTCGTATCGTGCATCGGCCACACTACGTGGAGGCGCTGTACAAAAGCTTGCCCGAATCGGCCAAGGCACGCATCCATGTACGGAAGCGCGTTGTACGTATAGATGTCACCGATGACGGCGTAACGGTGCACTGCGCAGACGGCAGCGTCGAGCACGGCTCGATAGTAATCGGGGCGGACGGTGTACATAGCCGCACGCGCCAAACTATGCAGTCTCTCGCAGCGGGCCTGCCGGCAGACACGGAGCAGCCGAGCCCATTCATAACGACGTATCGCCTGCTATTCGGTAACCTTCCGCCGCTGCAGGGTCTCGAGTCTGGCACGAATTATGAGTGCGCCGCAACCGGGGTGTCGACTCAGATCTTGACCGGCACGAAGCAGGCGTGGCTCGCTATCTATGAGAAAATCGAGACGCCAACCTCAAAACGTCTGCGCTGGACCGAGGACGACAAGCAGGAAATCCTGAAAAAAAGGGGCCATCTTTATGTGGCACCAGGATATACCCTCAATGACGTCTATTACCGCTGCAGCGGTGCCGTTGGTCTGATAAACCTCGAAGAAGGCCTCCTGGATACGTGGGCCTGGAAGCGCATAGTGCTGGTCGGTGACGCGGTGCGCAAGCTCGAGCCGCACGCCGGACTAGGCTATAATTCGGGGGTGTCGGACCTCGTGGAACTCGCCAACAGACTCCAGAGGCTCACACGAGAGAAGACTACATCGTCGTCTCCAATCAGGACGGCGGATCTCGAAGACGTGTTCCACGCATACCAGGCCCAGCGCATGGAGGACACCCCGACCATCATTTCCATGTCGGAGAAAAGGGCGCGAATGTGCGCATGGCTTACGACGAAAGACTGGTTTATGGCGCGTATCATATTCCCTTGGTTGCCGCTCGGCGAGTGGAGTGTCAAGAGCATCCTCGGGCCCGTGATCAGTCGCGCGCCGGTGCTGGACTGGCTCAACGAGAAACACTTGCCTGCGAGGGCTACGCCGTATGTGCACCACCCCAAGTTGGTGACGAAAAAGATCGTGAACTATAATGACACGCCTGCGCCGTCTACATCTAGACTGCCGCTTCTGACTGGGACGATTGTGCTCGCGGCAGTGGTGACGGTTGGGTTCCGGCTTCACAGGAGGCTATGAGCGCAGTTCTTGCATATAGAGAGAGAAATGATGCGCGTGTGAAGCTTTTAGTAACAGGAGTTAGGTTCTGAGCTGCACGGGTCAACCAGGGATACTGTATATTGAAGATAGATGTGAGACATTCTAGACATTGGATATAGACATAGATTTGGGGGCACTATCACCACTTTCGACTCATTTCGTCATTTCTTATTTCAATTTTATCACCTACCTCGAGTCTTTTGAGCATCCTATACCTAGTCCACTAACACCAGAGAGAAACCACATAATTGAAGGACTATCAATCCCTTATCATCCCTCGCCGAGACGGTCTCGACCTCAACCACCCATCACAGTAAGCGTGTGTACGTAGCGAATCTTGCCTTTCTCAACCCGAAATTCGTGGCTATCGGGAACCGTAGCAAAGTCAATAAACACATCAACTGCTCCGATTGTTTCATCAATCACGTAGCGACGGTTCACCAGTTTCACACCTAGGTGACTATTAGCCTCAATAATAGGGAGATATGACGTAGCTTTCTCCTGACTATGAGAAAACCGGACGGGGAGAAAGAGAGATAGGTAGCGGGCTTAACTCACCATTGGGAATTCCTACATCGCACCTATCATTAGCAGAACCACTACCCGTATACATACCGCCCTCGAGGCGGGCGCAGGGTGTGCCCCAGGGAACCTTGACGGTCTTGTTGTTGAATATATCAGCATAGGCATCGGCGGCAGCCTTAATAGTCTCGCGAGAATCGCGCTGGTCCTCGGGAATGACGTCCCACTTCTCCCGCGACGCCCACTACAGTTCGCTGGAGTCAGCAAATCACTCTTTCATGTGATACAGGTGCGAGTTTGAGGGGTCCTGTTAACTCCCAAGACATGGCTTGTGGCTCTAACAGGTCATTATGGCCTCCATGAGTGTCTTGAATAGGAAGAAGATGACTCCAGGGATAGCATACGTAGAGTGTGCCCGTGGCATTGAAGAGCCAGTCGCCCTGGTCCGTCACGAGCGAGCTGAAGTTGGTGAGCACGCCCTCAGGTGTGAAGTGCATCTGCGTGCCGATGACATAGGGATGCGACCCCTTGGCGGAGATCATCTCTGTGTACGTTGTGCACTGCACCGTGTCGTGCAGGCTGCGGTTGAAGTCGATCGCTAGCGGCTTAATGAGGATTCCCTTAGTTGCATCCGCCTTCTTGAACTGCTCGAGATATGCCACACCCTCAAGCGGGCCCAGTGCCTCTGGCTTTCCAGAGGTCTGCGCCTCAAGAAGTTTGTTCGTTGCGGCTACAAGCGTCTCGCGGGCGCATTGGGCAGTTGCCAAAGCCGAGAACAGACTCGCGGCGAGCGCGGCGAGAGAGAAGAGACTCTGCTGCATTTTCGGGGTCGAAATGCGTTCACACTTAACTCGCTATCACACGTATTCGAGCTGGAAATGCGAGATTGGTTCGCACCTTGAGAAACAGCAGTTCCTCCAGTGATAGATCCATTTCCATCTTCGAGGGTTGGCTGTTTAATAGCATGCTCGCGGAGCTATGGAGGCGACAGGTGTGTCGTACCGACGAGAATACCCATATGAATTTCGAGGGGCTAAACGGCACTTGAGCGGCTGTTCTTCATCACATCGAGGGGCGAATGAATCCCTGAATGTTGCTTGAGGCTATTATCGAAATACATGGGTAAATGAGGAGAACTGGAGATTACTAGGTAATTGTATCTGTGTCAATGGCTATTATACTTATTACCAAAGCCATACCATAGTCGCTCTTGTTTCCTGGACTACTCAATACCGCCGGTTCGTGTGATGCGAGTTTCTGATAATATATGTTGGGTTTCCGGGTTCTTCCTACCTCGTATCACCAGCGCTTGGTTGTTTGGTAAGTGAAGCTCCAGAGGTCAACTCTTCGCACAGTGTTCGAAGGAGCCGCTGGTAGTAGTTTAGGTAGTGTTCTGGCCCTCTCTGCTTTTTATAGCGTGTTAGATCAAGATGATAGTACGTATCTCGGATCCATCGAAAACATTCCTACCTTGTCTGATCTCATCACCTTTCGGCCTCGATATTGTTGAACCTACTGCCCTAATACGAGACTCCTCAAATTCTCGCTTTTGTCCCGGCCGTGTATGTCGAAACCCTGCTACACAAGCAAGCAGTGTAGAAGCACGACTAAGGGGTCTGCAAGTCGATGAGCGAAGATCCGTGCGGTGGTGATCAGAGACCCTACTTTAGCTAAGTAGCTAACTACATACCTAGTAGGCGTGCAGCCGAGTATGTAGCTTACATGTTCTGGACAACAACTGGGTACAATGCCACGTGTGATAGACCCCAAATTAGCAGTACAAATGGCCTCGCCATGCTTAGCCATGCCATGCGGCGTCTGTGTTCGCGAGGTTGCGGTGATTCACTCTCGGGTTAGCGACCGGGGTCCCTGGCGACTGGGCTCCAAGTGCATACCCGAATCCGTTGGTGGCTTGGACGAGTAAAAGCAGGGGGATTCCTCTGAATCCATCAACCTCCATCTATCCACCAGTTTTTACTGTATCTCCTATCGTGACAACTGCGCATCATTCAGCGTTGGCGTGCTTGTGGCCGCCGTCCATTCTTTCTCTCGAGTATTGCATCGTGTGGTAAAAAGGGGAGAAAAGGAAGAGGACATGGCCGTCCGGCAATGACCTCAACCCCAAATTGAAGACAGCTTATCTATGGCGACGGAGCAGCAGCAATCAACGGTCCTTGCTTCCCCGAGGGAGCCACGGCAAGCATCACCACACCTCCAAGAGCCCGGCGCACCCGGACCTTCGCAACAAGTCGAGTTCCGTGGCTTCGATTTCTTTGCCCAGCGAGACTTCAACGAATACAAGGACGCATCGCGAGCGTACTTTGCTGGGAAGAATGGTAACCCTTCGTCGTGGCTCGGAGACGCAACACCACCGGCATCCGCTCACCCTTCCCTCGATGAGTCTCGGCCCGAGGAGATTCCACAGCCGTCGAATGAAAGGGAACAGAAGAATGCAAAAACAATATTGGGGCTTCGGAGGCCTTGGTTTTGGACAATCCTAGCTATAATTATAGTCATCGTATTCGTGGCAGTAGGCGTAGGTGTTGGCGTAGGAGTTACCTGAGATAATAATAGTCCGAAGAGTGCAAGCGGTGCTGATTCTGCGTATGTCGCCATCTGCTAAGTCATGTCCAAGTGCGTCCGCTCACTAGCTCACAGCTCTGATACGACAAACACGAACACGAATATACCGGCCACAGGAATGGAGACGGCAACTACATCTCCCCCCTCTACCTCGACTCACATAACGACGACATCGACGCAACGACCAATGCCCACACAAGAGGTTAAGACAAGCTGCCCGAAAGTCAACGGCACTGTATACGAAGTGCCGGGCTCGACCAAGAAGTTTCTGCAGCTCTGCGGAATCGATTATGGAAAGGAGGACGGCGCAATTGATCTACGAAACGTCTATACGGATACTGCGGAGGACTGCATCAATAACTGCGCGGGGACAAAAGGATGTACGGGCTGCGGATGGGGGTTTATCAACGGCGACCACGGCCCTCCGTTCCGTTGCTGGTTGAAGAGCAAGGTGGAAGGCAGACCGCACGATGCTAACACGACTTGGCATTTTTCTGTGCTTCTCTGAATACTTGCAGTGGGATATTACGAGCACGACGCATACCGACAACCCAGTCGACTACTTAGTACTATTTGATAATCGTCATAGTTTTAATACCTCTCTTTATGCTGTTACTGCCTGCCTCTTTTCATCTGACCTCACCACATTCTCTTCATATAAAATATCCTCTGTGTTCTACCTGGCCTTGAGAATTACTGCCCAGGTACAAACCTCACGCAAGCAGATTGGTGGAAGCAGCCACTGACTCTTGCAAATTGATACTCGCAACATTGAATGCTCCAGCCTGATGCGTTTTCTCAACGAATAAGGTACTATGGTTGGCAGGCATGTGGTAAGACTCTTTGACACATTGTACTGTAGGACTCAAAGAAACTGCGCCATTGATTAGGCCGAAGATGTCAGCCCTTACCGTTCATCAATTGATATCTTATCACATTAACAAAGGTATTGTTCCTAATTGTTTTTTTGAGCTGAACATAGCGGTGCTTCAACTTCTAGGTATAGTATCGCACTTAAATATGGGAAAATCATCTGCGAAGTCAATATTGTATCAAATTCCGAAAACCACATATCCCCCGCTGAGCTCTATACCAGCATATCACTATTACAAAAGAATGAAGTCACTCTCAATCCTAGGTCTTGTCGCCTCACTAATTGGATCAGTGCAAGCTCACGGTGTTTTCTCTACCCTCTTCATCGACGGGGTTAGCCAAGGAGACAGGAAATGCCTCCGAACCTCGCTCACCATTGACAAGATCACAAGCCCCATTACAGAACTTGACAGCCCTGACATGGCTTGTGGCATTGCTGGGAAAACCCCCTCACCCGACACTTGTACCATCAAGGCCGGCGCAAAACTCTCTTTCGAGTTCCGACTCTGGGCAAGCGGTTCGCCACCAGGTACCATAGACAGTAGCCATCTAGGAGCGATGGCGATCTACGCAAAACAAGTTCACAATGCGTCCGAAGACCCTGCTGGCGCTGGGTGGTTCAAACTATGGGAGTATGGGTACGATGAAGGTTCTCATACTTGGGCTACCGAGAAACTCATCGCTAACGATGGCATTGTTTCTGTACAAATCCCTGGCACGATGCCGACAGGTCAATACCTAATTCGCCCCGAAATACTTGCCCTTCACAACCTAGCCGCAGGCCCGGCACAGTTCTACACCGGTTGTGCTCAGATGGAGGTCAAGGGTGGTCCCTCAAAACCCCTTGAGATCCCGGCTGGCCAGCTGGTGAGTATTCCAGGATACATTAAAGCTAGCGACCCATCTGTGAACTTCAATTCGCATCCCGATGCCGTGAAAAACTTTCCCTATATCCTCGGCGGGCCGAAGGTATATGAGTTCCCAGGTTCGAAGGAAAGCAACGATATTGTATTTGGTCCTCTTGGTGGTGATATCGGTACTGAGCCGGCCCCGCCTTCATCCACAGCCACTTATCCTGCAGCATCAACACCAGCCTCAACTCCCGAGACTAGTAGTTTACCTTCGTACGGTGCAGTTGACAAAGGTCTAGCGGTTTCGCCTGATGGTACCTGTGGTGTTACAGGCGGATTTACTTGCCTAACCTCCGTTTATGGGGACTGCTGTTCATCAAAAGGCTGGTGTGGTTCCACCCTATTGTACTGTAGCAACGGTTGTCAAGCACAGTTCGGGGCTTGCAAGCAATGATAAACGCTTGTTAGGGCTCTGGGCATGTACCTCTATCATTGTAACGTACAATTAGACCTTCAACTTCAAATCGAGATATTGCATGGTAATATCTAGTTCTCAGAATGGCTTTATTCATAGTCTGTTCCGTAGCTCATATAGATGCCCCTATTCATATATCACGTAATTCACCGACTTGTGCTATACCTACAATTTCTTTTCCCGCATAAGCATTTCTTGTCCAGGCCTCTCCAGTACTTATCAGAGTAATCAACCGTAATCTCTGTCCCAGCTTCGATTCCCTTACTCACTAATATGATCCTCTGCGTATCTAGCCAAGTGAACCGTTGATACTGAGCATTAGCGTTACAGCTATGATTAACAAATCGAGTAAAATTCCCCTGGCGTCCTTGCCAAATCTATGAAAAGCTGGGGTTAGCAAGTGGGATACGTCAAAGACTAAAATGCGTTACGTGATTGTTGGCTATAATAGAGTAGAAACCATCAGGTTAACAAAAGGATATGGTGGACTGACCTGATAATTAGTAGAGCCCATACTCTCCATTACGTCGACGTCTCGTAGGCCCTTAGTTATGAGACCGACGAACTCACCAACGGCAGTGCCCCTTTCAAAAGCACATAGAGCCATGAGCCCGTTGTTACGCCCATCAGGAGTGTGGAATACTTGGACGGGAGATGGCGTCAGTGTAGCGCATCCAAATAATGACGGGAAACAGTAGCAACAATTCCGTTTAGGATCATCCGATTGTTCATTAGTGCAATCCTGGCATATAAACAAGCTCGAGATCCGCGTCAACGCTTGCGAGGATGGGGGTTTCCAGCGGGGATCATTACTACCCCAAATCGACGGGTCGATAACCGACTCCTCGATATGCTTGTATTCGAAATGAGGATCCCACTGTAGGTATGTCTTGCGCAGTGGTATTGGAGGGGCGCCATCTAGACAGATGACCCAGTCATGAGGATGACCAGAGTATTTCGTAACCGGCGACTCCCCAACGATGGAGAGCAGTCGCCGCCAATTAGGATTCATAGTGTCCGCTGCGACCTCGAGCGCGGGACGTAGGTTGTGTAGACGCTGCATGCTCTCGGTGTCGAAGCCCACGCGGTATTTGCAGAAACGATAGATACCCATTCCGGCAAAAATTAGTGCGGCCCATCCACCGGCGTCTCTGATTTCCTTGTAACCGCGCCAGATAGCAATTTTATTTCGCAGCTCCTTTTCAGACCAACCGAATGCGCTGGATGCCTCCACTAACGCGGCCTTACGGTGCTTTGTGCTTGATATCTTGGGGTCACTTACTCTCAGGTGCTCGACATACGTATCAAAGTGTTCGACCCATCGTGCTTGAACAATTACCTCGACTGATCTGCAAGTGCGGCTAGCCTGTGTGACCTTGCGGCAGAAGACAGTTGTATCATTGAAATGTCGGCCAGGCCAGGAATTAGTACTCGTCTCCGAGACCGAGAAACTCGACCTGGGTATATCCGGTGAAGGGCTTATAGCGTCTCCGATGAGCGGCGGTGTCATGAGCTCTCCTAGTACTGCCACAGGGTCTATGCTCAAGCCGTTGTGTAGCTGCTCCCAGATGCCAGTGATAAGCTTATCCAGGGTCGACGGTTTCATAGCGTACCCAACAACATCGGCTTTCCGACGCTTGGGAAAATTCTCGTTCATAACCTCCATCTGCCGCTGCGTATTGTCCTCCACGACTGGCATACCGCGGCAACTTGGTCGCAGACCACTGATTGCCATTCTTGAGCTATTTTCAGTACCTTCTCTGTCATAAGTCTCGCCATCTTCGCGTATGGTATCCTGTTTTCGTTGGTCATCTGAAGCTTGTTTAGATGCACTATACGATGCGACTGGAGTACAGCTACGTGACAAGGGCACGATGGTCCCAGAACTCGGCTCAGAACTGCGCCGATTCCTGCGCTGCCCGATCGCATTTTGCTTGGAGGCAGGTTGAGACAATATCAGACCCGTCAAGTCAATCACCTGCTATTAGGCAGGTAAATCGGGGTTAGCATACTGCTGCCACTCCTGCGATGTTTCTAGGCAGACAAACCGAGATAGACAGGCGCGACAACGGCCGCCGTTCCGCGGACGAAGCAGCTGATTTTTCTTGGAACTCAGCTTCAATGTGCACGCTCGGTTCAGAAAGTTGATCGAAGGACGCCCAATCAATATTGGCCCGTGTCAGCTGGTCAGCAATTGCGTTCGCCACCTGTTGACGGAGCACTGCGGTCTGTTCCTCCGACAGCATATCCACATCGTGGTGACTGTAGGAAGTAAGGTCTTTATCCCGATGATTGCATATGAGAGGCTACGCCACTCCTCTCATGGTGTGCGTTGTCAGAGTGCATAATGCAAGACGGGCTGTAGCTCAACGAACCCGGCATCCCGGCCGAGTCTGCCTGGGGCAGCGGTGGCGCTCTCGCTAAGTAAGCACGATATCGCGATATCGAACGGGTCCCGCTAACAGTCCCTCCCGGATCGGCGTTACACTACCCCCAAATGTAGTGTACAATGTCATCACAGGCCTGTGCTTTGTCAGATTCATAGAGCACTATACATGGATTGCTGTGACGATAATAATAGGACTATCAGAAGCTACCCTTTCGTCACGTGGACACACGGCAATCTCTCTGTTGGCTATGTCTACTGTAGGCTCTTAATTATGTTGCAACATTTTCTGATAGCTTCCATAAACTCATTTGAAGACTCCGTATAGAGGATCTGAAATTCTTGATCTTCATCACTAGCCTGGAAGCAACACTGCCGTGACCATCACCACCTGCTCTCTACTTCTGAGCCCTAGCCCTCTACGCAATGAGAACAATTAATGATTTACTATACGTAGGTTTGGGTTGCAAATATACATCAGGCTTAGCACGGTAGGCCAAGACTAAGGGTGATGGATATATACGACCTCGACTCGACCTCCGTACACGACATCTGATGTAGCGGTCGAGTAATTTGTTAGATCACTTCCATAGATTACAGTTAATCATGATGATGTATCATTGACCTCGACAGCATACTTAGTATTCATGTTAGTCATACAAATGTATCTGCGATATCGAACGTCGCTAGTAAGTATATTGAGCACAGGCGGCTCTGAATCCGCACGACGATTTCCGGGGAAGATTAGGAAGGTGCTGCTGAGTGGAAAAGTCGTAGTCGACCCAGGAGATGGCGAAGTCCTTTTCCAACATCATATCATAGTGTAGTAAAAAAACAGCAGCATCTGCTACGGGGTAGTGACGAGTAGGTACTCTTATTGTGATACGGCAAACGTGGGGGCGAATCCTTCGAATGCTACAATCACGATATCAGATCATCTCGACCATTTCAGTCAAACCCCTTCTCTAATGTAGCATGGATCATCCGCGGCTACCGGCATAGTATTGCATTACACTGTATGGGGAAACTGACGAGAGAGACGAGCTCAGCCTGCCTACTGTGACTGCAACCTCTTACTACCTTGGCAACTACACAAAATGATGCAAATGTACCAATGAAAGGCCTTCATGTGGATTACGTATACTACGTCGATAATATACACTTACGACGCTTTTCACGAGACGTGATGTTGTGTAATCTCATTTCGTCTCTTACTGGAAGCTGACCTAAGTATGTTGATTGAGTATGTTAAGCTTAAGGACTAGATACTTACCTCAACTTCATAACCGTGTAATTTCTATCATCCACCCCAGCCTACATGAAACTGGTTGGGGTCAGTTTCCTTTGTTATGTTGTGTACCTGCAGATAGGACGCCGAGGAACATGACAGCTATAGCCGACGCTCAGGCTACGACTTTGAGAGGCTCTCAATCCTGCCAATACTACCTCCCCGTTTTTGCTTGTGCAAATGGTACATCGCACGATAACCACGTGTCGCCTTTCATTAGTCTCGTTTACTGAATATGGAATAAGTTATTTCTTACGCAAAGGCACTGATAGGTACTATCCCTCGGCGATTCTCCACGCCGAAACAGGATGAGACGTAAGCCACGGTGAGCGGTTCGCACTATTGATGATGTGCATATCAGTGGCTATATTACGCATGTTATTTGCTAGGATGAGCCCTACACCTACACTGCATGTGTACGTGAATACTCTATACAGACGCTTGGCTATAAAGTATCTACATGGAGGATAGCATACTGAGCAATTGCCCAACCCTGCAGGAGATACGGTAGCGTACTCCGTAAAGTTCAGGTGAGTAAGTCTCGATGCATTGCGAGAAGAAGGAAAGCTGCCACTTTTTAATTTCTAATCCTATTATTACCTGAGCTCCACATAGAATTTCTTCAACTATAACGCTCATGACATGATCGAGGAATTAATGCATACCATTACGAAATGGAAAATTGAAACACAATTGCCACCGTTGGCATACTGCACTGCACGACCCTCATGATAGGAATCGGCGGCATCTTGCGGCTGGGCTGAAAACGAACACGGATCATTACCAAGCCGGGGAAGGTGAAGACACTGGTATCAATGCATTACCAGCGGGTAACCGACTGAAGCTACAATTGCCGATAAGATCAAGAACGCAGCCAAGCGTTCTGAACCGACTGAGCTCCCATGCACACTTTGGACCGCATTGGCTGAGCCGATCTGGCGTCAGCGGAAAAGAGACAAAAAGGCAGCGGGGTTCAGGGTGTCATAGAAACGGCATTTACATACATACCTAGAGTAGTAAGTATCAGCGTTCTATCGACACACGCCCCATTCTCTTTCTGATACGACGGCGAAAACTGTCAGCATCTCATTCCATGCATGCATACACAGTCTGCACGGTATTACTTAGCTTGTCCGGGTGGGTAGTATAATGCACCTTTTGAGGCATGGTACTTACGTCTTAGGGCCACATGATACATCCCCCTGGGCAATATCTAGACTCTTGTCCATACAAAATCTACCTAAATATACTACTCTAAACTTGTGGCATATGTATGTTGTAGGTTCTGTGGAAATTGACGCGTGATGAACATACAGTAAGTTTGCCATGTTTAAGGGCTCGCTACGTGGTAAACCACCGGATCCAACCGCTTGGGAATATAACGAATAGCACCGCTATCAAGGATCTGGCTGCTATATAGAAATGAAAATGTAGCAGTGTTACCGTTGGCGATGGCGAAGTGAAATCATTGGAAGGTAATCACTCAAGGTGATCTAGAAATGGCTCTGGTCTACGAAGAGCGCCAAGCATGTAGGACTGGGTATATTGTCGTTGGTAGTAGATCAGCGTATCTCCTGAAGGAGCTCACTGCTACCGTTACTCTCAAGATAATGGCATCCCCGCTCCGCCTCGATATCAGATCCCGCCATTTCGTCGCCCGTCCACTAGAATACAACACAGGCTCCTTGATGCTCCCGGAATCATGACGGGCAGCGTCCCCTCTCAGTCGCTGGACACTTCGCCATAGCTCATCGTCCAACATTCATCATGTCTAGCTCCATTGACAGTATTGAGCATCGTGGGTTGCTCGAAGACGATCTCGAAGGAAGTAGGCGTGGCGAGAAGTCTTTTATTCAATCTTTATCTCGGTCCTACTCCGAGAGCCATATGCCAAAGAGCCTTCTATTCATGCTCTTCGTATCAATTGCGATCAATGTTCTCATCGCAGTGCTGTACCTACAGCCATCTCCTCAATCTGAGAAGCCAAGCAAATACGCTCACCTCACACACGTTCGCGAAGAGCCCTATGTCATAACGACTCCATACGCCAGTGATAACGAAACCCTCCAAAATGAGCTATGGTACAACATTAACGTCGACTCGGCCGTCGTCGCCCTTTCCGACGACTGGGTTGCCCGACACGAGCTCAGAAGGGCCCAACGTTTCCCCTGGGATCAGTCCAAGGGGATTTATATCCTGCACGGTTTCCACAATTTACATTGTTTAAAAATCGTCTATATCTCCTTGAGCGAGTATCGTCGGGGCATGCCCCAGACCCGTTCGTGGCATCATATCAGTCACTGTCTCGATGCATGGCGCAGGCAGATCATCTGTGATGCGGACGACACGCCAAGGGCCACTGACAGACGGGTCGAGGTTGTTAGCGGCCTACATCAACATCGTCAATGTCGAAGTTGGGAACAATTAGAAGCTTTTGCGAAGCAGCATACGGCATGTTACAAGCGTCCCGAAACCCCTGATGAAACGAAGGCATCAAAGTTAGATAGATTTAAGCATTGCCCTCCTGATAGCGGGTATGTCGTGACGGACGACTATGTTCCAACCGAAGAACTTATGGAGGGCCTTCCAGAAGAATCTATTCAGGATCAGCTATGAACAAGATGGTAATTACTTAGGAAGATGAAAAGCGAATCGCATGTCTTAGCATGACGAAGATTAAAGTAGTATTGACTTATGAAAATACCTTTAAAAAGAGCCTCGCTATGAATTGACATTTGATGGCTGTTCATTGAGTTTCCTTTAGTGCGATGTGAGGACCGTGACTATGGGATGTACTGTAAGACAGCTGTTGTTACACGAAGGTTTGAAGCCTTCAAATCCAGGGCCGTATTCAGCGAGTCTTTTTGCCTGTGGCCTTAGGGCCGTGAAATTTAAATTTGAAGTTAATTCCAACTATTCGAAAACGAGCCATTCTGCCTGAATGGTATTCTCCTCCAGAGGCATCTATGCTATACGCTACAATAGACACATATCGTAAACAAGGTCGTGCCCACTAAGCAGATTATAGCACGGCCAGTCAGACACATAGAAATAAGATAAGGCATATGTTTGGATTGATCAACAATTTCAGCGACATCCTATATATCAAAATGAACGAGCCCTCCCAGTTGAAGCCAACTCATAACATAACTCATCAACTTGACACAATTTGTGTCACTATCCTTTAGAATGCATCGGCAACGTCGATCTCGGTTTCAGCACGCTTAAAAGCGTCTGCAACATCGACCTCTGCCTCGCCACGCTTGAAAGCGTCAGCTACATCAATAGCAGATTCATGACGCTTGAAAGCGTCTGCAACATCGATCTTTGCCTCGCCACGCTTGAAAGCGTCAGCTACATCAATATCAGATTCATGACGCTTAAAAGCATCGGCAACATCGATATCGGCCGCATCTCTCTTGAAGGCATCCGCAACGTCGATATTGGACTCGCCACGCTTGAAAGCGTCGGCTACATCAATATCAGATTCATGACGCTTGAATGCATCTGCCACATCAATGTCCGCCTCGGAACGCTTGAAAGCGTCGGCAACGTCAATGTTGGCTTCAGCCCTCTTGAAGGCATCGGCGACGTCGATGTCAGTCTCAGCACGCTTGAAAGCGTCGGCAACATCAATGTCGGGCGACCCTAGGAGTAATAAATCAGCGCAAGCATAGTTAACTTTGTGATGTTTGGATATACCAGTTGGAAGGGCGCTTGTCAGAGTAGACAGCCCGAAGAAAGCAAGGATGGCTGAAGATCGCATGGTTCTGTGACTCCTGGTAGTATCTTGTGCTAGTTTTGAGATTTGGTCATACGATGCCTGTTTTCTCGAGATCAATCTAGGGCCTACGGTCTCCTTATTATCACCTCTCGTTCATCTTCAAAAACTTCCTCAAAGGAACTACGGTACACCATTCATCTGTTGACTACGACGTCGGTATGCAAGAATCTTGGCCTGCAGCACAGCCTGCCTCTGTTGTTGCAATGCAATGACAAGCTTACACCACACGTGAGTCTACAACTCGTGATTATATTGGGCCTTGACCCAACACAGCATGGCCCGTTCAGATCCGTTCATATCAGTTTGCTAGCGAAGCATGAAACTTTGGTCAGCAGGATCTACCCCCCTGCCTTTGGCCAAATACAGTAAGTATACATCCGGAGACATACGCAACGTTGAAATTCTGGGGCAATAACATGAAGCTCTTCAACATACTAGGTATCTAGTGTACTTAACAATGTACAGCACGGACATCCTCTCGTTGTTTTCGTCCCAGTCCTAGCGTATCGTGGGAGTGGTGCATTGGTATAATACTACAGTCCTACAGTGCTGCAACGTTATTACAATCACTGTAAACGTCAGATTAGGAAATACAGTATGTATGCCGGTGGCGCCGGGCAAGAAGGATTCGGTGTGTGTAGCATTCCCCGCTAATGTGACTTCAAGCTCACCATATGTCGGCAACTAATACGCTCACGACGTGATTGAGAGTACATTCCAACTAGTCTACGTGAAGCACACTTGGTTATCACCAATGAACTTGGTATTGATATGACAAGCCGATAGGTAGTAATCGATCAGCAGGCAGAGTGTCTGGCCACCGAGACTTTTTCTGTGTTGATTCCTGGCAAGATTGGTAGACAATTCTACCCATTCATTCTGATGACTCCTACTGAGTTGTTCAGACAAAGTTTAAGAATTCGAGAAAGAAGTCCCATCACGCTACGATGGAATACATTCGGACAAAAATTAGCTATCACCAACTTGCAAAGGATGAGGAAGGCCAGAGTGCTCTGGAAGCAGATGACCCCAAAGGGTCGTCTTCTTCTAGAGAATTCACGTACTTGATCATGATAGTCTGCTGTATATTGGCAGCAACAGGTGGCTTTGTTGTTGGGGCTTTCTTCCATTCCAATCGTTCCTTTTACGAAGATCACAATGCGAAGGGGACTATAGCGCCGCGCATACCAGCTTCGCAAATCATAGGGGAATTTGTCTTCTCTTCTCCTTTCTCTAAAGAGCCGCCGCAAGATGATGGCGCAGGAGACATATCTGAGCCAATATGGGATGCTCTGATACCAAGTGAGTCGCCATACACTACACTACACGAGAAATGGTAACTTTCAACATGCTCTTCTGATAAAAGATACTAATCAACTACTGCCGACAGATGGGCTGGGCTACTTTAAAGACCACAATCTCGCACCAGTAATCTCTATCCCAACAGTCTTCCACCAACTTCATTGTTTGTATGTTATACGTCGTGCATACTATTCACAATCAGCCGAACTTCAAGGTTTCGACTTTGGCAAGAATCGAACTATCCACGCGGCTCATTGCTTTGATTATCTCGAGCAGAGCATTACCTGTGCATCAGATAGTACAGTTGAGCCGGGCGAAGATGACCCCAACGGATTTCTTGGTCAGTACACAGACTCTCCTTGTGTGGTCTTTTGATAGGCTCCGAGACACATTATAAGGGCAGTTTATGACTCGCCACTCTACAATCTCTCCCTTCTCTTCATTATAATAGCCCAATAACTAACCTCCAAGTCACTATACAGGCAGCGGCTTCCCGAGACAGTGTCGAAATTTTGATGCAGTAAAGCGATATGTTGAGAAGTGGAGGGTATTCAACGCCACGGGTTTTCTTGCACATGGGTTAGATCACGGACAGGCTCATGTAGGTAGTAATTGAGTGTGTGTAGTAGTACTACACTCCTATCATTACAGCATCATCCCCCCGCATTGAGGTATCTATGAAGCTTGATCACTTCCGCTTGCTCTAGCGAGATGTGGCCTAGTAAAACAGGCAAACGCAACGGAGAGAGATAGAAAGAGATCGCATAGCGGAACACGAGGGTAAATGTCCGGCCAATACGACCCTACACAACGACACCACCATAATAGTGGTCGAAAAAGACTCTCTCTGGGGCGTGCAGGGATTCCGGTGAGGAGGGGAGTTTACTGTTCTGTTGAACATGCGGAGTGCCAAGCTGAGACTGCAGGAGAATCCTTCGTGGTCAACCATGCAACCATGTGCGTACAGGGATTCGAAATCCTCCAACGGAATCAACCCGGCTCAAGAACCCAGATGAACAGTACCTAATACATGGTTTGGACACTCTACTCTTCACACTTTATATGTATATAGCGTGTAGAAACAGTATGCTCAGCCGCGTTTCAAATTTCCCAGCTGCCCCTTTTCAACACATGTTATTTGTCGGACCATGCGTCCACGTGGTATGTATGCTGTAAAACTATGCGATATAAGATATTCCCGCCCGACGTAGGATGGGATTGAATGGGCAGTGAGATGTAACTACAACGCTCTGGTTGCAACCTTTGTGGCATTCTCCAGAATCTCTATCACACAGTACCTAAAGATCTACGGGTTCTAAGTCGGTCTTTTATTTCAATCATGTTGTTTTCTTCGGGCGCTTTTGGCGCTATCTCCTTCCTCAGACTAATGTCTGTTGTTCCTGTAATTGGTTCAAGTTGTCCGACAGCCACGGCCGAACCCGCCCCCGCCTTCAGTAACCTCCGCCCTCTATTATCCTCTGGAGCCGATCTCGTCCTCAAGGGCGATCCCGAGTTTGACACTCTGACTAGCAGATGGAGGGAGTGGCACTCGCCCAGCATCAATGCCGTGGTACAAGTTGCCACTGAGAAGGATGTACAGGAAACAGTGAGTACTACCCAGTTTTCCGCAATCTCCATATCGTTCAACTACTAAGCGATGGGAGGTACGATTTGCGAAACGTAACAACGTCCCGTTCGTCGGAAGAGCCGGTGGCCACGGCGCAACCGAGGCTCTAGCAAACGCGAAAAACGCCATTCAGGTCGACTTTCGCAAGTTAAATCAAGTGACGCTGAACGCAAATGGTGAGACTGCCACAATAGGCGGTGGTGCAACCGTGAAACAGATCATAGACGGACTTGCAGCGGGAGGAAAGCGAGCCGGTACGTTTACGAGCCTGGCTTTGAATCTGTTTGACTGGCTTCTCACTACTCTTCAGTGACTGGCATCTGTGAATGTGTCGGCATAACCGCACCTATCATGGGAGGTGGCCACGGGTGGCTCCAGGGTCAGTACGGTCTTGCCGCAGACCAAGTCGTATCGGCCCGGTTGGTGCTTACCAATGGAGATATTGTCACCGTGTCCAACGAGTCAAACAAAGATCTTTTCTGGGCCATTAGAGGTGCAGGGCACAATTTTGGGTTAGTAACGGAGTGGGAGTACCGCGTTCACAATACGAAAGAGAACCAATGGTCTTATGAGATTTTCATCTACTCCCAAGATAAGCTTGAGAGCCTTTATGAACTGGCCAATTCTATGATAAAGGATCAACCAGCAGAGGCAATCCACTGGGGATACATCGTCAAGGTTGATGAGATCGATGCCAATCATGTAAGCAGCAATCCCCCCGCCCCCCAACGGCAATGCTCGATGTCGATCTATCACTAAATACTTTTCAGCCCATCTTGTGGTTCGGTGTTATCTATGATGGTCCAACCGAAACGGCACGCGAATATGCTAAGCCATTCCATGGTCTCGAGCCTCTTATGGTCCAAGCTGGTGAGGGAACCTTGCACGATCTCGCCGTCATTACGTTTCAGGACAAAAACGGTGCTGGCTGTGCCTATGGGCTGACATCTCTCCGCTACCCTATCGGATTGAAATCATTCGATGTACCCGCTATGCGCAAGGTGTATGACCACATAGATGAGACATTCCGCAACACCCCCGAAGTTGCTGGATCGTTCTTCTTACTCGAGGGTTACTCAACTCAAGCTGTAGAAGCCGTTGATGCAGGCTCCACGGCCTACCCACATAGGGATGACAAGATCCTGGTGACTTCATACGTACAGTACCAACCCAACTCAACTATCGACCCCATCGCAGAAAAGTTTGGGCAGACACTACGCAACATTTTGCTCGAAGCAAGTGATGATCCAGTGCACCTTCGCGCTTACGTCAACTATGCCAACGGCGACGAGCCACTTGAGGCCGTTTACGGCTGGGAGAAGTGGAGATTAGAGAAGCTGAGGCAGCTCAAAAAGCAGTGGGATCCCAATAACAAGATGAAGTATTATGTGCCCTTCGTGTAATCGGAGCCAGCGAACAGTGCGGTGGCGCCCAGAAAGGCGTAAGACTGAAAGTTATTCCTCACCTCGTATATTCGACATTTTCGGTTATACGTAAACATCAATGGGAGAAATAATTCGTTAGTTAATTGATTCCAACTTTAGTCTATTATATCCATGAAGAGAATATAGCCTAGGTCAGCTCTCGGATCCTAATTTACAGACTGAGGACGACGAAACCATAGGGCATGAAGGGTCTACAGTTGCAAATATTTGCGCGCTTCTGCAAGCAGGCTTTCTCTTAATGACACATTGCCATAGGGGGTTTGTTACCCAGCATAGCCTTCGCAGCAGACCTTTATCCTAACCCTTTACGACTTCATAGCCGGATCCAACTTGATATCCCTCTATAAGCATTCTGCTACTCAATTTATTGAATATATAAACTAGTTAATCATTTAAATAATACCCACGACAGCTAGTCCTACTTAAAAATTCGTATATTAATAAAATCTAACCCTGAGCACTTACATACGATTCCTATAGTAATCAACATCTATAAGTATCGTTTCATATACTAGGTTTAGTATGTAACTCAGAAAACGATCTCAGTTCTATGAGGTCTGCATGAGAGTGTTGGAACAGACTAATATAGAATTAATGCTCATCGTGGGTTGAAGCCGCTTGAGATACCAGTGCCATTAATATCATACGTACTAAATGCACTGAATATAACAAGGGCAGATAATTTGGCTTGGAACTTGATGCTATTCAGAACAACGATCAACTAAGGCTGCATGAGTCCTTGACCAACCAACTCCTTCTCGGCTGTTAGTGGCTTGACTCGGCTCTATATACAACTGGCCTGCCAGCCCAGACCGCCTGGGTCTCTAGGGTCTGTTTCAAGAAGCGAAGTCTGTATAACCTCACTTTCCAATATTGCCTGCATGTCTCTGGATGGTCATGACCAGCCCGCAATGGCCTTTCATACGACCGAAGCGCAAGGTGAACTGCATATTCAGCTAGTACAGCTTGCGCAGCTTGTACGCGTGTAACACCACCCGATTTAACGGTTCGAAAAGACCGCTGAATCCATGACAAAGCTCACAGCGTGTGGCTCCGTGTTCTTGAGCTGGCAGCTAACAATATTGTGAGGGAACAGTTACCCTCTCGCGACGATAAATACCTAATATTTCCTCTTCCCACCAAGTTTTCTGAGCGTCTCAATTAGGGAATACGAACAGGGCCGAACCAAATTCAATGTTCAAATCGGCCTACCAGGCAGGCGTTCTGTATGCACCATCTCGTCATCTCGCCTAGGGCCTGGCCTAGAGTGTTTACGCAATCTCGTTCAGATCCCTATTATAGGGGTTGTCGAGTTCCTATAAGAGGAGAAATGAACAAGAGCTAGCGGATCTACCGCATCGCATATGCGATTAATATCGTTAGTACGTGTACACCATCTCTGAGGTCTGTATGAGTGGCAACCGGGTTAATGGAACCCGCCAACCATCTCCTTCTTCTGCGACCATGCGCCCTTCGGACATCACAAGGCAACCAAGAGGACCAGGGCCGATATGCCAAAGTTTATCGCGCAAGGCTGTTGTGGACTTTCTCGGATCCAATGTGGATTTAGCCGGCGGTTGCTCTCCGTTTTGGGTAACACGGAACGACGCCGCGCCGGCGGCGATAACTACCTTTTTCTCCGACGACGTGCGGATGACCACTCCCGGAATAGGAGTCGCGTAAATTAGCTGCCACCAAGCATGAAATAAATGAATGCGGCGCGATCAGTTACGTCATACTTCGGCTTGAAACGCAGTCCTGTATATCAGATGCTCCTCCGGCCATGTGATATTAGATTCGGATATACTGATTGCCAGGTTCAGGGAATATAATATGCCAATAATATATATATGCTGTGATTCCCAAGTTCAGAGAGATCACTTTGATCCTCGTCAAGTCCTGTAAGGAACAGTTAGCGCAGTATTATTGCCCATTAGCCATTCCAGATCTCACAATGCCTTCTCTCGCTACCGTCGCAGCTTTCTCTCTTCCCCTGGTGCAACTGGCGTCGGCTCACGGCCATGTCGCTGGAATCACGGTCAATGGGGGGACATGGATTCAAGGGACCGACCCGAACTGGTACTATCAGCCCGAAGGCAGTGCTCCTACCACTCCTGGCTGGCGAGCGTTGAACCAAGATAACGGCTTCGTGGCACCCGACGCTTACACCTCATCTGATATTGCCTGCCATAAGAGTGCAACACCTGGGCAGACATATATCGAGGCCAACAGCGGTGATACACTTACACTATACTGGAATACGTGGCCCGATAGCCATAAAGGCCCAATAATTAACTATCTGGCTCAGTGCAGCGGTATGTACAGTCTTTAACATAGGGATATTCTGGTCTCAACTGGACTTGGTAATACCGCTTGGCGGTGGAGAGTTTTTAGTAGCATTTTCACAGCTACTTAGAGATTATGTCTAATACATCACGCAGGGGAGTGCACGTCTGCGACGGCAGGCAGTCTATCATTCACCAAGATTTCTGAAGCCGCTTATCTATCTGGTAGCAACCCTGGAGACTGGGTTACAGATACCATGATTGCACAGAATTTTACGTCAGATGTTGAGATTCCTGCCGGTCTCGCTCCGGGCAACTACGTTCTCCGACACGAGATCATCGCGCTACATAGGTACGTCCCCAAGATGTATCTCAAAGAAAGCTATACAGTACTAAACACGCCCCTTTTACAGTGCGGGAAACCAAAATGGAGCTCAGAACTATCCACAATGCATTAATAGTTCGTCACCCAGAACTCCGAAGCCGCGGTTTGAACGCGATAGTCAGACTAACTCAATAATATAGTCAAGGTTGGCGGCAGCGGATCGAACACGTTGCCAACGGGCACGGCCGCGACCTCCCTTTATACCCCGATGGATCCCGGTATCCTTTTCAGCCTCTACGGGTCTTTCGACAGCTATCCTATTCCTGGGCCAGAAGTGGCTACTATTTAAGCAATCAAATTTCTGCAGAGATTTGTTAGTTTCATTGGAAATGAGTGTGATTATACCGCCCTGATCTATTATAGAACGCCAAGACGATGATGATCTTAAACCAAGCTTTCTGACTACCACAAGACATTGCACAACACGTAGACGACGCTGCTGTATATAATTGGGAGGTTCCTCGAATAGACGTTTTAGAAGTTGTCGCAAATATATATTCCTTTACCCATTCATGCTATGGTATGCCTGGTAATTCTATAACTAGTCCACCATATTCAATCCGTGAACAGTGAAAGCATAATTAGCAAAACTCGACTCTGGATCCAAGATTCATAGAAAGCATTGGCATTACATTCATATCCTTGTAACTAAGCGCTACTTATGAAACCTTGCTTTATTTTCGGGTTATAAGCCTGATGAGGCTCCCCGCTCCAATGGGAAGATGAATGTGCACGATGCATTAGCGATAATCAAGTAAATTCCGCTTTGGAACCATGCACAGGAAGGGATCAGAATCAACGCGCATGTCGTCCAGCCTAATATAGAGCCTGAAATAACTTGATCCTCGATAATAAAAAAACATTATAATAGATCTTAAGGCTCATCCTGTATTTTTTTTCTGCCTAATAATATGATTTTATTCTTCCTTTTGTATTCCGATTACAATGGATATCGGATGTGTTCAGTCCTTATACATATCTTAAAGCAAGTAATTGGAGACTGCTGTATCTTCACGCTGTTAATGATCAACGCTGTCATCTTGTCAATGCCTACCTACCCTCTCTTGGTACAGTACCTAGTTCAAAAAAAAAAAAAACGCTCCCAATCGAGTCGCCAACGCTTAGACTGGCGCGGTCATGACGCGGGGTTATGTGGAGGTGATGCTAGATAGTTTGCGGGGAAGGATGTCTGATAGCTGAAAAGAATCGCACCCTGAGGCGATCGGGCAAAAGGAGTGATAATAGTGCTGGTGATTAGCTATTTTCTCTTTTAGGACATGTATCTAACCTGTTTAAATATGTTGGGGTTGCCAGATTCTCCAATTGTAACTCCTTCACCTTTTGTTCGTCATCCATAACGAGATTTACGCCTTCACCCTTGACCTTTTCATCATGACTACTACTGGCAGTTGTATGTGCGGCAACATCCGGTACCAGTTTACCGGTAAGTGAATTCACCTAGGAAAACTCATGTAGGCGTGAAGTCTTGCAGCTTGCTAATGCAGACATAGGTGAGCCTGCGGTGACCGCCCTGTGTCATTGCGTAGATTGTCAAAAGGTATGGTATTTCGGATCTATGTTCAGGGATACTGGAGATACCAATTACCAAAGTATAAGCCCGGATACTGACCACAATTACCCCAGTGGACTGGCAGTGCCTTCACTTCAAACGCAGTGGTACCGCGCACCGCATTCTCAGTCACGCAAGGTATGCGCGTCGTAAACATATCAGGCATCTAGAATCTCACTCGTCTTAGGAACCCCGAGCTCATATGATGTCACGGGAGCATCCGGCAAGATCAACAAGCACTTTTTCTGTGCCAACTGTGGCTCTAGTCTGTACACTGAACTCGAGGTGATGCCTGATATGACATGCGTTAAAGCCGGAGGGTTGGATGGGGGCGCTGCTAACCTGGGCAACAAAATCGGGGTTGAGTTCTATGTCAAGGACCGTCCTCAGTATCTGAAACCATGTGATGGAGCGAAGCAAGAACCTCAATTTGGGTAATACTATGCTTAAGACGATGCGCTCATCTCTAACTTCTGGGTCTGGGACAATTAGTAGTATAGCAGTTCGATTAATTGTGGTATCTAAGTATATTGGGTAGACGAAAAGTTGCACTTGATGCTGCAAACAGTATTAACTACACCCGCCGGTCCGTCTCCATAGATCTACGCGCATGCAGGAGGTATGTATTGTTAGGTACTGAGCGTTCAATATTGTAGCTGATTTAATGGAGTGTTGATCGAATTGATGACGCGTCGTAATGCCAATGGTACTGTCTTTGGGGATATGCAGGCAGTGGTATCGGTAATGGGGGTTGACTCTATCCGTCGATCATGACTGTACGAATATGGTAAGTAATTATGACACAGCCCGTGACCTATGGATAGGTAGAGTTGGCCTTGTCGCCTGTCTATTCCCTGTCTGCTATCTCGGCTTTGGATGAGGAAATCCCATGAAAACAGCCGAGCTGTGGGGAAAGACGTATGGACTTCTACCCCCTGAATTGTTTTCTTTCTCAACTGTCTTAGTTAGCCACATGTAAGAATTCTCCTTCCTCTCTGTAATTGGAGTGAATCTGGGCATATCAATACCATCGGCATTTTCGCTGATGATATTACTTGGGCATGGCAATGAGGCTTGATCCAGGTCAAAGTAAAGCTCAATCACCTCACCAGTATCCTCAGTATGAATTTGCGTCATCTGGGACATATTACTTACATACGGAAATTTCCACTTCGATTACGGCGCCAGGAAAATCGCGGATGTGTATGACGTAGAGGGATAATAGTCTTTGCGGTGATCGAAATAAATTTCATTTAGATCTCATCACCTATTTATGAACTAGTCAGTGATAAAAGAAAACAACAACGAGACAAGGCCCTTTTGTGCCAACCCAACAGCATCTTGTCTCAGATATAACAAATTTTTGTTTGTTTATAGCTATAAAGAAACAAGGGAAATGTTTATGTACATATTGATTCTGACGTGTCACCTGACAATATCTGCAGACTATCAGTCTTTCCAGTTGGCTGACTATTGCTGAATATAGCGAAGCTCTGCAGGTCGCAAATTAATCCTTAAAATACAATGCAACAGATCGACAACACTTCGTGCTCCCGTAGAAGTGAAGAGATGAGTATATACAAAAAAAGAGGCAATACTTGCAACGAAAGGTAATGCATATACATATACATATATGTATATATATATGCATGTAAGAAGAAGAAAAAAGGAACAATCACCCAATTTTCTTATAATCCAAGCCCATATACGATACACTAAGTTTACAACTCCCCCTCTATCGTACCATTGCCTGCTAAGAGGTTGTTGATATCAACTATACCTCCAAGCTCAACTCTCTCTGCAATCTCCTCGGAGGTGAGAGAGACCCGAGAGCTCTTCAACCATTCATCCATGCTCTCTTGATCCGGGTTCTTGTAGGTTTCAGTTCGCGCCGGCAAGGCTACGGTACACTCGGTGAGTTGGTTGATATTGTTAACGCCGAGCAGACTTAGACGAATATATGCTCTAGCATAATCCTGTAGATGATTTTAGTCAAGTCTTGCCTGTACACATAATATGAAGCAGATACATATCAGTCACTCACCATATTCCAGTGACCTTGTCCTCCAGAGCCAAGAAATGAAACCCATTCAGTGGCCGTCACGGAATACTTGGCTAGGGCTACGTCACTCGGAAATTTGAACACCCGATCTGGTGTGTCGACTGAGCCGTACGTCTCCTCGTAGTCTGCCATTTCAAGATGTGTTAGTCTAGTTCCTTATTACATACTTTCTAGAACTCCACAGATGATGGCGGTCGCGTTTCTGGACTAAAAGCTCACATACTATGGCAACAGTTAGCTCTCAAAGACAATAGATCTTTTCTACTAAGCCTGGGTCTCACAACAGACACAGTAGGTTTAAAACATACAATTATCCCATACGCCCGGTGTACTATCCTGCGGATCGCCTGCTCTAGTAACATTCGTGAGCCGTTGCTGACTTGTTGTATGAGCGCCGATAAGCGCGACGAGAGCGTGAGGGCTGATCGTCTTATCCCGAAAGAGCCGGATGAGGTCTGCCGCTTCGGCAAAGGGGCTAGGTAAGAGCTCTACTCTGTTCACAGCAGCAGAATCGACGCGGCCAACGAAAGAGCGGACACGAGGACCAAGGGGACAAACCACGGTGGCAACATTGGCACCCATTTCTAAAACTTCATTAGCTCTAAGTCTTCAAGAGCACGGGCATCAATCATTCTGAGACTGTAGTATGAAGAAAATTTGCTCACTGTTAGACTGTTAGCCGTGACTGTGCTATGTCTGGTGAGATAAACCGAAAAGGGGGCGTGGGGGAAGTTGTATTCACAATACGCACCGGATTAAGTCGGCCATGGAGATGTTGAAACCCTTCTGGTGCTTCCATTCGTCATACCATGTGAGCATCTGAAGGCAAATGTCTTCTAGACCTCCGTTCTCTGGAAGAAGATACTCGTCCGTGAGACAGATGGATCCGTCAGCGCCTCCACCTTGATGAGCAGTAGCCTTGGACCAGGTTCCAGCATCATGAAATCCAAGGCGGACTGCCATTCGGGCCCATTTGGTACATCGACCTGATTCTCCTCGAAAAAGAACAGTCATCTCATCAGCTATGTACTTCCAGACACAGCACGTATCCTCGGTGCAGGCCGTGGAATCCAATGCCGGGACATCGATGTAGGAGACGTCGCTCTCGGGGTTATCAAAGTTCATGAGCAAGTTCGTGATGTCGCGACCTACTTTGGTCAGGTCTGCATACCTCATCCCGACGAGGTCTCCAAGTAGCTCGAAGGAGTCGTCGCCTCGATCCGTCCCTGCATTGTTCAAATCGGCGGGGTTCAGAACATCGATCTTCAATAGCTGTTTGAGCTTAGGAAAGCCAGGGAAAGCATCGACTGGGATCGACGCAGTAGTTACACCTAGTGCTATAACGAGAGTATAGTATCGCATGGTTTCTTCTTCTGCTTCTTTTTCTGTCAGATCTAACACTTCCAAGATTCGGAAGACAAAACCACACTAATGAGTGCAAACTAAAGCGAGAATGGTCAAAGTTAGAGCAGGTGAAAGCATGCGATGAACTCTATATATCATACCCCTCAATAGTCGATAGTCTTAAAGTAGATCAGAGCAGATGTCAGTTACAGATACTTGATCTATCTGATGTTGAACTTCCTGGTCTCAACCCATCATATCCTCACTATCAAGGATCACGAGCGTGTAATCATTGCCAAGGGAGACTACGCCAGCACTTGAGAAAGTGTGTGTCGTCGTCTACCAGCCCTCGCGCCTCAGACTATTAACTATCGAGGCGCTAATTTCATGGCATCATACTGGTTCAGCCTTAACGCCGGTGATATAGGAGGGAAGAAGGCTACGCAACAGAGAGAAGCGAGCTTCCTCACCTGCCGCATCCGCGATGCAGGGGTTGTCAAGCCTCGTGCCGCTGATGGAGAGTGCTTAATCACGAGATGCGATGCGCCTTGATGGGCTACTGTAGAAACCGTATCCTAGTCGTATGTAGTCTTCTCCTCAAAGCCAAGCGCTCTCGAACGGATCTACATGCTATTTTCTGGAGATAGTGGCTACCGTTCTGATTGATAATGATAAATGTTGAACAAGGGTGTCATGAGGTCAGGATTAATCAGGCAAGCTGGGCAAAGCCTCCTGGATAGCACCATCATCTGCAGGGGAAGAGGCAACGCTACTGTACGAACCATGCGTACCACACAATCACGTAATGTGTTCGTCTGGGTATCCCTACGCACTGGGACGACACTAGGAGAGTATTTCATGTGTCGGAAAGATATGACGATCTTTGAATACGATCCTTCTCTATTTTACGCATAACAACTTGAGCCTACGATAGGACGTGTCAATTTCTCCCGTCTTCTCGCTTCCCTTCCCAATGGATACTGCCTACATCGCCTACATCAAGCACACCCTCTCGCGAAGGTGTGTAAGCTGGGTTAGCCGTCGGGCATTGGACCTATCTAGGAAAAGAGATGGCGATGAGGTAGGCTGCCGACGCTGCAGCTAAGCCGGTACACGCAGAGTGCAGCAGATCCCCGTCTTGGCACCAACACAGGAAGCTAGCAAATATCAATCTCTGTTCATAGCTCATTATTGATCACATTGTCAATTTCATAGGCCTGGCTATCTCACTCAAAGGTTTCAGCTCACTTTTGAAGTTGTTATCACCGTTGAAAATGAAGATAGGCACAGAGCGAGTTGTCAGATTAGGTGACGAGTCTACCCTAACTACCCCTCTAACAGGTAGGCCTGAGTATGGCTCAAGCATAGCACATGCTAAATCGACTTTCCAATAGCTTTGACAGAGCAGCGACTTATCTTGTTCGTGTTTATCCAAGCCACGAATTTACGGATGTATGACCCTTGGCAGGTAAGGCCAGGGATAGGACCCCGCAGGGTACGGCGGGAGTACGGGAGGCTCGGGAGGCATACTAACTTTCGGGCACTAAAATGTAAATCGATCACATCGTGGAGCTCATGGAGCCTGGCCGCAGCGGCGCCTAGAGCATTTTGGGATCAGCGAGTTCGGGCCTCATATAACTAAGCGGCTCCTCTCCTATGGGTCTGTATGGGCATCACATACCATTGCCAGACATTGCCTTCTCGTCAGAAGACGGGGGCGATCACAGTGTTTGCAAGCCGGCTTGCATCGCCTTGATATAGGTGTGGTCTGCCGAATCCTCCCCTAGGCTCCACCCCACTGTGACGAAGTTAGCAATTATCGACATAAGTCGTCGCGTTGTTGTATATGTGGCAAGACGTACTGATACCACCCAGTCCCTTTGCCTTGACGATCTGTTCAAACTTCTGGGCGACGAATTCAGGTGTATCCCAGGTCCAAAAGTAATGTGTTGCGGAATCCCAGTACCACTGTCCACCCTCACTATCATCTGCCCGGCCGCTTGCAAGCACTGGGACACCTTCTAGGAACGTCGTGGCGCCAGACCGGCCGGTATCCAGGCCGTTGGCATCTTCGAGGAGAACAGTCTCACAGCCGACCGGTTCTGTGCATTCTTCGTTGGTCTCGAAGTATTTGGCGTAGAACGCAATGCCCAGGTTCATTTTGGCTGGGTTCATGCCTAGCTCGATATACTTCTCAACGGTGCTCAGCGACCCTTTCACGGAGGAGTGGTGCTGAGTCATGTTATCGCGCCTTCGTTGAGTTAGTTACTTTATTAAGACATCTCATATATCAGTAGACAAGGCCCTTACCTGTTCATCAAATCATATGTCAAAAGCTAATTGCTCGTTAGAAGCGTTTCCTTAGTTCCTGAAGTCTTCAGTAACATATACTCACATTCACGACATCGACAGCTTCGTTGATCATGGGAACCTTCTCAGCAGTGAAAGCGATAAAATCCCTCTCCAGGCCAGGTACGGCAATACTGAGCTCCTTGTCACCGATGGCATCCTTGATCGCTTTCAAGAGTAAGGGATAATTATCTATCTCGTCAACCTTGTTCGAGTTAGGATTTGCCTTGTAATCGTTTCCGTTTCCGCCGGGATATTCCCAATCGATATCTGCATAGGATCAGTGACGACTCATAACAGTTGATCAAGTTCCGTTCAGAACGCACCAACACAGTCGTATCCATGGACATCTAGAGTTGCAGCAACGTTCTTGGCGAACAGCGCCCTGGTCTCTTCACTTTTCTGACCAGCGGAGAAGCCGTCCGTGTAGCCCCAGCCACCGATAGCCAGGCACATCCTAGTGCTCTGATCAAAGGACGCGCGCAGGCTGCTGGGGTCTACGAAAGGAGTGTATGTTCCAGCCGGGCTCGTTGTAAATAGAAGGGGGTCCGCGAAGGCAGTAAATACGTGAGTGATTCCCGCTGTGTTATCCCTCGATGGTGACACTGTATGCCACTGGTCATAGTATATAGCAAATCGAGGAACAGCAGCAGCAGTACCAGCCATAGTGGCTACTACTAAAGATATAGGAACATGCATATTCGGTCAAGTAGATTAGTGTGAAAGAGAGAGGCTGGTGTAAGACTAAGAGATCACCTACTCATGAGGTGTGAAGGGTTTAATAGTTCAAGATGAGGCCACAGGCTTGACAGTAAGTTTCTCTTGAGATGTTTTCCTTTGCAGGATATATATACTCTCCCTGAGCAGTATCTGACAAGGACGGCGTTTTCCCAAGGGCTTGCTTGTTAGTACTACTACACCCCCCGCAGAGTGGCATGTGCCAACACTCATCCTACCTGACCTGTGCCGCGAAATCCTGTCCGATCAAAATTAGCATCATGCCTTGTGAGACAGTCGGTGGCAGTTGGGTTCTACATGTGCCTCTATCATCGGTTTCAGCAAACATATCGTAGATCATAGCGAATTGCGGCTTAGCTGATCTGCTATTTGATCCACTAGACAAAGTCACTATCCTCACCACCAGCTTGGATTAAGGTGTCACTTATGTATGCATTGCTACTATCCGTCACGACAGTTCATTAACATCAAACGTACTCTATCTGCATTCCAAGTCCGAGGCACACTCGACAAAACGCCTCAGTGGCGCGACGTAGCCACACAAAGACTAGATATGGAGGAAGCAGCATAATTAGGTGGCCAAGTCGATTGATTTCTGGGCCTGAGCTGCCTATTCTGGCCAGCCAAGAATCCAACGTTACTCCCGATTCTGCTCAGTAGCTTTGTATAATCACTGCGTCTTGATGTGCAAGATAAATACTCGAGTGGCTGTTAAGATTCGCATAATGATTAGAGACCCGAAGCTTGGAGATGAGTAATTACCTATCGGTCCGGGGACGTGGTAGTGGTAGTACCTAGTACTACTAGTCTATCGGTTACATACGTGAAATAGGTACTATCATAACCCACCATGATCGCCCGTCGGAATGTGGCATTTGCCGAACATTTTGTCTACGCTTTTAGAACCAGACCTCTTACTCTATCTTATCCACTTTGACGATGTGCTTTGCCTATACAGCCATACATATATGAAGGAGATGGGATAATTCGACGACGTCATACGTGATATTGGCATTTGCATTTGGTTAACAGTTGAGATAACGACACATATTGCCACTGTTGAATTTAAGTGTTTATCTTAATTCAATTTTTTAAAGCTTACTTGCTGTTACAAGGGTATCTAATTCAATCAGCCTGACCCGTGTCTTTTAAGAAACCTTAACGCCCTGTTCCATGCCACAATGGCAGACGCACGCCATTACCTCCTGCTCCCTTTATCGGTCTCGATCTTGAGTCTCCGGGTAATAGCAACCGCCTGCAAGGACAAGGTTCATGCGAGTACACTGTACCTTTAAGACTGGCGTCTTCTTTGTCGGAAAAGCACTAATTTGATCAGGGGTGATCATAACATCCTTTCCTTTCTTCTTACCCGTGCCCGGGTTGCTGGTAGGTTGAGTGGCTGTCCCGGATTGCTTACCCTCACCTGGTGCACCTGCAGCTACTATAGTTCCATCACTATCTTGTTGATTCGTCGGTCGGCTGCCTTCGGCTGGCATTTCAACGTCCCACACACGTACTGTACTATCTTGACCGCCTGAGACGAGGACAGTGCTCTCAACGCTGAAACTGAGAGACCAAATGCCGCCCCGTCCGTGTCCACGGCAACGCTTGATTCGAGTTGCTTTTTCAATATCCCATAGGAAGATATTGCCGCCAATGTCGGCAGAGGCAAGAATTTTGCCATTCGGTGCGCATTCGAGCGCCGAGATGTAATCTGTATGGCCAGTGAAAACTCGCACACATTCACCCTTAACCATAGACCACATTCTAATCGACTTGTCTGTCTCGTCTGAAGCGGAAAAGACGTAAGTTCCGTTGGGGTGCCATGTAACTGTGGAGATAGGAGTATCATGGCCCACAAGAAGTCTTACGGCAGAAGCATGATCTTGGGCCCAGATGCGAACGGTCTTGTCCCAGCCACCCGTTACGAAATAATGTCCATGGGGGCTCCATGATAGGCTAGTAACTGGGCCGTCGTGGCCCTTGTAGATACAAAGACAGGCCCATATATCTAGAGACCACAATCGTACCTGGCCATCTGCCGAACATGATAGCAATAATTTGGAGTCAGTTTCCGGTTTTTGTTCACCTTCGTAGAGGTTCCGCTCCATGTTGCTGATTGCATCTGAGAATGCCACAGCATATACTGGAGCAGAGTGGCCGATAAGTTTCCGGTTGTTCGTCCTCAAATCCTTTTCTGGGGTTAAAGTGGATTTAAGAAGTTTCCCGTCAAGAGACCATACTCGAATGTAAGATTCTGTAGTGCCTACTGCCATGAGTTGCTGGTCTTTCGAAAAGTCTATACATGAGAAACTGGTCGTAACGTTAGATAAGATGTATATTCTGCGAATGAGCCGATTCCCAGACTTACCTGCCAAGATGGTTGTGTAATGTGAACATGCATACAGAAAGACCAGGTCCAGCACCACCAGTGCGACCTTCGATCCGGAAGCGATCACGGTTTTCGCGCACTTTTTGCATTTCCACCACCACATCTCTAGCACGCGAAGGCGGATATGGTATATCAGTTCGTTGAGGGGAATCTCCAGCCTCTTTCTTAATGGGATGCATGGAATTGAACTCGTCAACAAGTGTTGGGATACCATCTTTGGGAGGGTGAAGGCGATCTTCCTCTTCTAACTCGGCTGCTATATCGTCCCGCAGTTCGCCGTCTAAGGGCAAAGGTCCTAATCTTAATGCTGCTTGGTTCTCTAAAACATCACGGTTTGCGACGCCACTGCGACTCTTGAGACCAGGTATTCCTTCTTGAATATCCACATCATCGAGCTCTTGGTTTCGAGCACGTCGATAAATGGCCTCGAAACTGAATGGTTCGATGGGACCACGATCAACTGAATCCACACGACAGTGCTGTTGGATAATATCAAGAACAACAGCACCACATTGGTCCAGCTCTCGTTCCAGAAAATGAAAGAGATTGCCGGTCAGTGACTTATTGATGGGGATTACATAGCGATTGTCGCGATAGAGCTTTGCCATCGAGTTTTCTTGAACGTGAGGTGCCAATGTTACAAGCTCTAGCCCTCGTAGTTCGTCGATGCGTGCACTCTCGAAACGGCCACGGCATTTTTGCATAAATTCTTTGGCGTGGGCAACTGATCCCTGTCCTACAAGTCGCAGGTAGGAGTAAACAAACAGCGGCCACAAGATCTTGCCGAGCTCGAACTTTGAAGATGTCAGGAATGGGATCTATGTGAAAGGTATCGAAGCTGAACTCACCTTATATAGATCGAGGCCATTGTCGACCCATTTTTCGAAGTGCTTAAAAGAGCTCAAATATTTGCCCGCGGGAAATAATTTTTCAGATACCGAGCCATCATTGTGCTGCCGAGGGCGCCCGCTCTCGTCTAGGTCTTTCACTTCCTGACGAAATATCTCCTCCGTCCGTTTGTAACCTTTTTTAAGCAGATAATCTGTCACCTAGTGAGGGCTTGGTTAGCATGCCAGGCTCATGTCTATTCCAGCACGAGGCTAAAATGCTCGTCAAGCGGGGACAACAAGCAACGGAGTTGCATGCGAGGGGTGTTGATATGACTACAAGAAGACACGCGGCTGGGATTCTATTAACATTGTCTTATCCCGTCTCTTTTTTCGAGCAAGCTAGCTCCTGCATGTAGATGTGTCGGCCCCACACTCGTGGATAGAAACTGATGCCCTGGGCAGTTGCTGGATATGCTATGATGTCAATTTTGATAGAGAGCTTCGCGAAAACCAATGCCGCACTCCCATAGTGATCATGTGTTTCATCATTATTTCCGGACAGGCTTACTCCGAGAGACGAGGCCATGTAAAATGTGATCGCATCGGCAGACACAAGTCACTTACAATCTGATTCAGGTTTTGCGGGTTACTGGGCGGCGGGACAACAGGCGGCGGAATTGCCGTTGTTGATGTGGTTGGTGTTGTTGTTGGCGGCGCTGTGGTCGGGACCGTACTGGAGGCCGCAACCGGTGCCGGCGTCGTTGAAGCAGCTCCAGGTTGAGGTGTGAAGCTGGCACCGGAGGTAGCGCCAGCTCCTGCGGAAGGAGGTCCAGTGCCGGACATGTTGGGGGAAAAGGTGAGTCCCTAAAGGCCGGCCTCAATTTTCGAGCTTGAGCAGGGCACAGATAACGTGTTATTGTTGGCGCTGCAGAGGTTTGATAAGCTATTGAGCTGTTGAGTGAATGAGAAGAGGCTGGATTGAAGTTGAGAATCACCTCCTAGCTGAGGCTCACGGCGCTAGTGCTAATTTAGTCGCGGTACTTTGACGCGTAGCTACCATGCTTAGGTACCTACTTAGAAGGCTACCTACCTATATGTAGGTACCTATGTCCCACCGTACCTAATAGTACCTAGGTTGCCTGTTGATGTAACGGAGAACTCAAATGGAAAAGAAATCATATTAGAGACTGAAATTTCTTCAACAGCTTAGATATCGTCCTCTAGACAATATAAGATATACCTAGGTGTTTATTTAATACCGATTGGGTACTATCATCTAGTGTCTATCCGACAATACGTACCGAGTACTTCTATTCGACTTGGGGTCCGAGATGCTCTATGTACTCTGGCCGGCCACAGGCCTTACGCTTCGGTACCTCCAAGTACCTCCAGGTACCTCCTACATTTATCTGAGATTACTTACTTACTCAGTACTGAGAGTACATATAATTGTGCACCTAGGAATGTTCCTTTGTTCAGGCACTCAATGATTCGACTTCAGTGCCATTGTTGCATCCTCACTTTCGTACTCCGTGGCTTAGGGTTGGCCAGGCGTTATATAGTGCTCGAGACCTTTGCTGAGGCACGCCTCTAAGCTACAAACTCCCCGCGCTGATCGAGATGGAAACCAGTACCCAACCATCGACTTTTGTTCCGTTCACCAAGGCAGAGCGAATCCAACAGCTCGGCGATATTGACAAGGTTTGCACTGAGTGGCTCACAACAAAGTTCCTTTTTTTCTAACGGCCGCAGAATATTGTCAAGCTCCTGCGGTATACAGCACAAGCTGTACAATGTCTAGGCAAAAGACCAGGGCAGGATGAAGACGTCAGTATGGTCGACACCGACCCAACCCAGCAATTCAAAGATTCCATGGATGAATTTGTGAACACGCTGCGAACAGTGAATGTCGGCATGAAGCGCCAAATTTGGGGGCTAGAAGAGGCTGGCATCATCTCTCTTGGCAAGAAGGAGCTCAGTACTAGAGAAGAGGGAGGTGAAGTGCAGGCAAGCAACGTCCGTAATGGACTTCTCGAGCCAGATGGAAGCGGAAAGATTGGTGGCTTGGACGTCGGCTGGCTTAACAGCCGAAGTAACAAAGTAGAAAAGGACATGGAGGCCGACCTATGGGAAGAGGCCGAACAGACTCTCCAGCGACTTATTACACATCAGCGGCAACACGCAGGTTAAGAAGTCAATAACAGCGCATCGCTCCGAAGAGCAATGCCAATCAGCCTACATTTACGACGCAAAATCACATACCAAATTCGCGATTCAAAGCAGGAGCTATGCGGCATTGACAAAAAAAAACTTGTGGCCGCTATTTCGAGCTCATCGATTCCAGCACGATACACAACGTTTCAGCTCATCTCATCTCTGTTCACACAGATAGAGAATTGATTGAATCCAATGCTATCCTCCGTGCCGAGTCAATTTCCAGAATTTTCGAAAGTCTTGGGCAAACGGTGATTACACACTAGTCATAGCTTAATGAAAATGACAATTGCAATAGAGTTATCTTCCTTCATGAAAATTTTAGCAAACCCGTGTATAACATAAGGGCGCTCAGTCTTCGTCTTATGAGAGAAGGATTTGTCTAGATATATGTGACGTTAGTAATACGAGGTACGAGCTTCGGCGCCGATGAAAAATAATACAGATACCTGCGTACCTATTGCAATGAAAATCAAGGGAACTTAGCCATATTTGTTCTAAGCAGCTATCCTTACTACTCACGCAAAGCTGTGTTACGAGGCTGTGGGTATGTGACATGATCCGGAGGGCCAGGATGGCACTAACGTAAGCCGCTTCCCCTCCCCAACAACACGGTCCCATCCCAGGACTGTAATCAGCTTCGCGATATGTGAAAGGAGTCTATGGATCAAATTTACTGTATTGAGAATTGTCGCGGCGCATTGTGCACAGCTAGCTCTAGAGACTCCTATCTCGACCAACCCTCTGATGTTGTGCATATCGTGCCATACATCCTCTACCAATACCAATAAGTAAATCCCTATGTAGGTGCCTGGGAACAGACTGGGAACAACTAGGCACAGGACCACCGATATACCTACAGAGGTACCTCATCCTTCCTACACCGGGAGCTGCTCCTGCACCTTCCGAAAAGTAGGCGTGCGTCAGTTAGCATCAGTGGCTATCTGCAGCCTCCGTCCACTGGCCATTTACTACCCTTCGCCTTCAATCCGCCGACAACACGACGTCCACCTTCGCCTCTCTTCCAAAATACCGAGCACTCAAAATTTTATAGAGACATGGATTTAGGAGAAGCAGGCGACTCGCCCTGGGGTGGTAATTTGCCCTTTCAAGTATCCGTCTGCCTAGTGAGCTAAACGTCCTCTAGATGTTCCTTCGCAGTCTACCTCAAAGCCCGCCGCACCCGACTTCTCTCAAGGTCTGCCATGCATACCCCTTGCATTGCTATTAAGGACATCTACTAATGCATCTGAGCTCTATAGATAGCTCTTCCAAACCTCAGGATGCTGAGACCTCCCAGCAATCACAAACTTCGGTCAAATCGCCCGCGGGCCGGGCAACAAGGGGCCCGGTGCGCCGACTTGTTGCTCAGCCTACACGACTTGAAGCTGTCGACGACCCCCTAGGCCCTCTAGGGCCTCTAGGAGGTAATTCCGGCCCAGGCGCGGATTCGCAGGCCGACGAACCTCCAGCGCCGCCCCTAAAAGAGCAGGTTGTTATTAGAACCACAATGCCGCAGCCTTCGCAGCAGAAGCGGCCTGGCCCTGGGGATCCCCATCGAATTGACGACGATGACTACGACCAGCCCTCCGGGCCACGACCACCACCTCCTGTACAACCTGCGCAGCCAAGCCCTGTGCGAGCGAGCGGCCAACCAAGCGTTAGTATAGAACAAGCTGCAAAGCCCAGCTTCCATATCACCGTGGGAGACCCCCATAAAGTTGGCGATTTGACGAGTTCCCATATCGTCTATTCGGTGCGAACAAGGGTATAGATAACTGTTTCTCTATTATGTGTGCACGTGCTGATTTGGGTCCTTTAGACCACATCCAAAGGCTATAAACAGCCTGAATTTGAAGTGAAGCGAAGGTATCGTGATTTCCTCTGGTTGTATAATACAATGCATGGAAACAACCCAGGTGTCGTGGTGCCCCCGCCCCCTGAGAAACAAGCTCTCAACCGCTTTGAGAGCAACTTTGTCGAATCGCGTCGAGCTGCTTTGGAGAAGATGTTGAACAAGATCGCTGCGCATCCAACCCTACAACACGACTCAGACTTAAAGCTTTTCTTAGAAAGTGAAGCGTTCAATGTTGATGTCAAGCACAAAGAGAGAAAAGAGCCTATACCGAGTGAAAACAAGGGCATGCTAGGGTCTTTCGGTATCAGTGTCGGAGGAGGCAGCAAGTTTGTCGAACAGGATGATGTGAGTTGAGCAAAGCCGTGTCTGTTTCATACGGTGTTTAACTTATAAATCAGTGGTTCCATGACCGTCGTGTCTACCTGGATGCTCTGGAAAACCAATTAAAGGCTTTGATGAAATCTATGGACACTATGGTCAACCAGCGCAAAGCCATGGCGGAATCAGCAGCAGACTTTTCTGCATCACTACATGCTCTTTCAACCGTGGAATTGAGTCCCACTCTATCTGGTCCTCTTGATGCTTTGTCTGAGCTACAGCTCACCATACGCGACGTATATGATCGACAAGCCCAGCAGGATGTGTTGACATTTGGCATCACTATTGATGAGTACATTCGATTGATTGGGAGTGTAAAGCAGGCTTTCTCTCAACGCCAGAAGGCCTTCCATTCATGGCATAGCGCAGAGAATGAGTTACAAAAGCGCAAGGCCAGCCAAGAGAAGTTGCTCAGGCAGGGCCGGTCGCAGCAAGATCGCCTCAACCAAGTTGGCGCTGAAGTTGCTGATGCCGAACGTAAAGTACATCAGGCGCGATTGCTTTTTGAGGATATGGGTAGGCTCATGCGAGCGGAGCTTGATCGATTCGAGCGCGAAAAAGTTGAAGATTTTAAGTCTTCGGTTGAAACGTTTCTAGAAAGTGCAGTAGAGGCACAGAAAGAGGTAAGTCGCCTTTTACTCCCTTCCTCAATAATTTACGTTCACAAATTTAACAAGAGAACAGTTGATCGAAAAATGGGAAACTTTCTTAATGCAACTTGATGCCGAGGACGATGAAACAGTGTTCTATCGTCCACCGGTTATACAGACCGCCGACAAAATCGCCGGTCGTGGAGAGACTGCCGTAGATCGAGCCAGGGCCACTATTGATGAAGATTCAGACTAAGCATGCAGACATTTGTAGTTGCCAAGTGTGCGACGTAGAGGTATATTAACGGAGCGCTGGCGGGTCATAGGAAGTGAACGGACGGAGATGAAATCTAAACAGGGTTGTACATATAGTCACACAAAATCCTCAATGCGCCTAATGAACAGACAAGAAACTTTAGTCTCAATGTCATCATATGCCGGACAGGTTACATCGTGAAGTGATAGTGAACCACGAGTTACGGGACCGGTTATACTGTGGTCGAACTTTCAACTTCCATGATCGTCGTAGTCATCTGGTTCTGCTCTAACCCAGTGGCTCAACACCGCACCGTTGTCGCCGCCTCATTTCTTCTTTGGAGAGGAATCAGGCACCCCAGCCGCGTAGCCTGCGATCAGATCTGCCAGAGCATCCTCGCTTCCGACATCCTTTTTAGCACTAGCAGCAGCAGCACCACCACTTCCCTTCGCCTGGTCTTCCTCCACAGTCTCCGTGCCAGCATCCCAACTTCGCCCAAAGCGCGCACGGAAGGCGGCCAGCTTTCCGGCCTCGTCGACCTCGACGTTCTGCAAACTCTTATCATTAGGGTTCCAGAGCGCGTGGTTCCGCGTGTCCTTGGTGCTCTTGTACATGCCAAGTGGGGATGACGTCCGCATCGTATACGTACTGCCGTCCGAGAGTTGCACCAGCTGCGTGAACGAGTACGGACGGCGTGGCCGGCGGATGAGCGTCGCGGCACGGCTCGGCGTGCGCGAGAGAGGCGTGTGTGAGGGCGCTAAGTACGGCGTCGATATGTGTGTGTTGTTCAGGGGAGAGAAGGGGAACGCAGTCATAGGACGCCGGGGAAGGGCGCTCGGAAGCCTTGTCGCCATGTTCGTAGTGTTGTATATCTTTTTATTCGGTCTGGTAGGTTAAGGATGAAGGAAGGTAGGTAGTTTCCAGGTTATATTAGCCACCTGCTAGGGCAATTCTATTGATCCGGGTCGCAATACTCGGTAGAGAGGGCAATGACACTGAAGATTTTTAGGACAATCTTCAAAGCGCCAAAACTTTCAGCTGCTCTTATTGTTTCTGAGAATTTGTGTTGAAAGTCCAATGCATAATGCGCATATGAGGAATGAAGCTTGTAGACCCAGATACATCGCCAAATTTCTAGGCTTTTAGAAAGTCGGCCCGCTAACAGCCGCCCACAGTCTCCGGCAATCCTAAGAGCAGGGGTCCTTGTTACCTACAATCCCTGTACTACCCGATTGACATGGATAAGTACCTACTTGTTGTATATCCCTGTCCATACACAGTAGGCAGTCCTATCAAAAAGTTGAATTTCTGACTACATTGAGCCTCGAAGCTCTGTTAAATAATTCAATCCTACACGTTAAGCCTTGGTTCATCTATTCTCTTTGCCATCCATGGCCTGAGATGCTGAGTATTCGTGGCCTACGGCGGGCAATTCCGTGCAAAAGTCCACGATACGCTTTTCTTCTTTGCCCATCCCGTCGCATCGGGAGCTGCGCCGCTCGGCGTGGTGTAAACCAGACACTACAGCCCTCTACAACTAAACGGCTAGGTGCACTCCCAGAAGACATTGAGCATCATGTGGAAACAAAACCTCAGAAGCGGCTGGCCTATATGTCCAGAGAAGATGTCAAACCTGCACCTGAAAATGCCAATGGCAGCAGAACGACCAAGGTGAGGCTTGAAAAGCCTCCCGTCCTCGGAGGGTCTGCCGACAGCAAAGACAACACTCAGGGACACCAGGACCTTTGCACAGCTGTAACAGCTACCATGGCCAGGCTCCCGCACCCAGCTGTGGTCATCACTACCCTCGACCGAACTTACCATGCGCAGGCAGCTGCCGGTGTGCCAGTCGAGAAAATGCAGCACCCTATAGCGCGGGGAATCACCGTTTCCTCTATCACGTCTTTATGTATCAGGCCGAGACCCCACGTCATGTTTAACATGACGCTCCCTAGTACTATGTACGAGGCTCTCGTCGCTTGTAAGGACTTTAACGTCCACGTCCTGACCTCTGATGAACCCGGCGCACGCATTGCCAGAGTATTTACGCGCGGTAATCGCTTACCTCCGCCACGTATTGAGGCTGCCAAGTCCTCCAAGGATGACTTGGATGTTGATGCTGATCTCGGCGTGTTCGTAGGACTGAAAGAGGAGGGGTTGCCACACGTTGAGATCTTAAATCGGAATGCGTGGCATAGGCAATATCAAGATGCTAAGGAGAGAGATCTTACAAAATCCATGTCTTTCCATGATATAGATTCGATGGTGCAGCATTCTGAAGGCACCGAGAGTGTGGGGCAAATGCACCATGTTCCTCACTTACATTCTCGCGGAATCATAGAGGTGCTGAATTGTCGTCTGGTGCGCACGATATATCCTGAACTGCCGAACGCAGGGCAGAACATTATCCTGATAGGTGAAGTCGTTGGGGTGACAGCCCCTAAGAAATCCAACAAGGAGCCTGATCACCAAGTCTCTGTCGCCTTAGGCTATGCCAACAGGAAGTATCGGTGTGAGGGCGACGCCATCCATTTGGCATGAGATTCGCAGAGGACACGCTACAATCAGACGCAACTGCAAAATGGACTATATGGTCACCATCAACATACTGGGAGTTGACGTGGGAAACGAAATAACAGCTAGGTACAAGAATGGAACGCATACAGTGAAATAAACGTGAAATGGGGGCGTTGTCTAAGGAGGCAGTGGCCACCGCCATGTTCTTGATCTCTCGGCGGTTCAGATATAACACCTCAACATCTAACTCTGTTGATCTAAATGTTGATTCCGACCCTAGGTGTTGAAGAAGTTCTGGACAACATCACGCAACACCCAGCATTATCTAGATGATGAAGGGTACACTGTGGGCTTAGTGGATAAGGCAAGCGCGAGAGCTCTCTCTGTGATTAATGAGTGTCATATTGATAGATGCGCGGGCATGGGGATAATCACTGTATAATTCCGTGTAATATTCACACATAGACGGTTCTACATAGAGGGGATTACTTTTCTCTAGGAAAAAGGAAGGGCATAGTCATTCATATCAGTACTTGCATTAGCACCGCACAGGCGTGACTACAAATAAGATGAGGGCAGTGGATCAAAAGGTATAGAAGCATTCATTCGATAAGATGGCCATTGCTCGACAGACATGAATCATTCTGGATTTTGCAAAAGGTTGGCGATGCCAGGAATCGAACCTGGGTCTATTCGGAGCCGATGTGCCAGAAGCCACAACGAATTGTACTCACCACTATACTACATCACCGATGCGTTACCACTATGCTAGGAAGATCCTGAGCAAGTGGATGGAATTTACTGCCGCTATACAGAACTATAGCCATAGCGAGCAGTGGCTCCGGGTATTAACCCCGCCTATCATGCATGCCGTTGTGAGCCGGACCCCTCACTACTAGATCACTACCTACCTACTAGATAGCACTAACGAGGACGCATATTACGAGTCAAGTACAAATTTCGATGGCCCCCATGGGTACAATTAGAAGTCTGACCTCCCCTCTGCCGCCTCACCACTAATTGTGCGTACCTGGTTCGTCGCAGCGTTGCGGGGTTGACGTCATCATTGGTTATGCGACATACAACGTCAAGGTGTATAGTGATCTATGATCTGAAAGCGGCCTCTGAGCGGCCTTTTAAGTAGACAGGTGGCTTAATTGGGATGCGAAAGCAATCTAGATATAGTTAGGTTGATATTTAGTACAAGGGGTTAACTTTTGGATTTCGGTATTAACCAACAGCCAGTTGAGCTTGCCATGTAGCAAGGATAGCCCAGATAGATGAGGATGCTCGAATTCGCCTCTTTCTACGAATGGGACCTGACATATTTAGTTAGGTAACGTCTAGAATACTACTTATTACTAACCCATGTTACCAAGTTGAACCGTACGTCTCTACCATCTCATGCTTCCCTATAATGAAATCAGTGTTTGACTTCTGTTTGCTCTAGGGCACTCTATTGTTGTCATGGAACCCAAAGCTAGATATGTAACAGAGCCGAGGGATGACCTCGCCTGGGAGGAAAACGATAAGCAGGATGAGATTTGGGAGAAATCACTTTATTCAAACGAAGTTCGGCGTGCTGTCGGCAACCTCATCTTGAGGTATAGGCCTGGGGCCGCCGAGGTACTTCATAGGCCGATTAAAGGGGGTTATAACGTCCTCTGGCGCCTAGAGTATAAGGATGGCTCATCGACAGCATTGAGAGTCCCCTTCAAAGGTACCGAGCCAACCAATGTCTTTCAGTTTCCATGGAAGAGGGTATTGACGGGCGCAGGTAGCGTCAAGTTCCCCGACGAGAAAACTCGCTACGAGGCGGCCACAATGCGCTACATCGCAGAGAATACAACCATCCCAGTGCCCAAGGTATATCACTACGGGACTGCGGCAGAAAATCCTATCGGGATTGGACCTTTTATCATTATGGAGTACATTGAGCATGAGATGACAATGTCCGAGGCCCTAGCAGATCCTCTAGACCCTGACGAATACCACGTCTTAGATCCCAATGTTAGTGAGCACAAGCTTAACTTACTTTATGGACAAATGGCGAACATTCTCTTACAGCTTTCTCGCCTAAAATTCCCTCGAATTGGTTCATTGGTCGAACATAAGGATGGGAAGATTTCCGTGTCTGGGAGGCCCCTCACACAGAACATGAACTCATTGATTCAATTGACTGATATGCCTCCGACACTGTTGCCGTCTCCATCTCAAACGTATACAAATGTCGACGAGTGGTATACCGCCCTAGCTGATATGCACATGGCACAACTTGTGTTCCAGCACAACGATGCAGTTGAAGACGAGGACGATGCTCGGGACAAATATGTCGCTCGCCAACTGTTTCGGCAGCTCGCGTCTAGTGGACGACTTACGTCTGAAGATAAGCTAGAGGGGGACGGCAAAGACTCAGCCGGGTTTCTCATATACTCCTCTGATTTACGCCCCTCGAACATCCTAATCGACAAGGACCTTCAGGTTGTCGGTATAATAGACTGGGAATTCGCCTACGTTGCGCCGGCTCTGTTTGCTTTTGACCCCCCTTGGTGGCTTCTGCTGAGATTACCAGAGTGCTTTGATGGCAAGTACAAGGCCTGGATGAAAGCATACAAGCCTCGCCTGGAGACCTTTCTCCGCCTGTTAGAAGTCGAAGAGGAGAAAATGCAAGCCAGCTCCGAACTTGCCAGCAGCTTCAGGCATCTAGCCCTGTCGGACGCCAAGAGCCCGCCCCTTTCAAAAATGATGCGACAGCGCTGGGAGAGCAAGGCATGGATGATCAATTACGCCGCTAAGAGCAGCTGGGAGTTCGATGCTCTTTTTTGGCGGTACTTGGACCCTAAATACTTTGGGCCCAATGAAGTAGCAGACCATCAAGCACGGCTTAGCAGCCTCACCTCGAAGGAAAGTGAAACTATGGACGCTCTTGTCAAGACCAAGATGGAGGAGGCTAAGGAACGGAGTCTAGTTCACTGGGATCATGGCAGCGCGAAGGCCCACTTGGCTAGATTCATGGCTTGAGAATTATGTATATACCATCAGCAAGCGATTATTTATCCCGATAGCGTCGCGATTATCTATGTCTCATCAACTTGCGCCCATCTACTCGTAGAGTTAGTTATAGAGACCTTTTAGTTCCTTAGCTGCCATGAGCCCTGAAAATCAACGACCTTATTATATCAGCACATAAACCGCAGGCATGCGGGGGTGGTTCTACCTACCAATGTTACCTCCTCATCTCGACCTGACTCTGTTGGAGGCTAGTCGTAAGCATTAAGCTAGTTGTGCCGAGGGAGTGTCTCTCTTTGTCTATTTCAAGTTAATTCCTACGATTCCGTCTATTTACCATGCAAGTTACGGGTAAGTATATACCCTACACTATGGTGTTGTAGAATTTGTCCCGGGTATCTATTACCTGCAGTCTTTTAGCAACGAGGATGAGGCTGGTTGCGTAGCGCAGGGATGACCTTGGGTGAATAGGCGGCGTAAGACTTACTTACTTACAACACCTATGACAATTGAGCCAAGTAGCGAATACCAATAGCGCTGAAAGGAATCAAGCCAATCTCACTACTTGGCCCAGTCAGTACCGTTGGGACTCCACTTTCGTCGCCAATCTTCCGACTTCCAGTGGGATCTTTAACTCGAGAATGACCAGTCGACTCGAGAAAATCCGGCGGTACTTCCAAATTGGTACAATTCCCACCAAAATAGAAGTAGTTCCTGTTTTATACACATGCACGCTACATTCATACTTCTTATGTGAATGCCAAGAATATCGCCACCCTTGCTGAAATTGCTAAGTTAGCCAATTCTTTGAGTTCGCGTCTCTTGAGGTAAACAACTTTATATGCATTTTATTAGTAATTCTGCTGCTGCGTAGATTGAACAGTTGAAGGTGTTGAAGTCGAAGGTGAAGGTATTGAAGGTATAGAAGTGGGGAGGGTAAGTGGGCTGGAAGGTGGTTGCCTAATTGAATTTCTTAGCTACCTATATTCAAGTTTTTTAATCGTTATGTAAAGCGAAACTGGTTTAAGCAGAGCTACTTCCATTTTGGTGGTAATTGTACGTATTTAGAAGTACCTTTGTTTTCTCGAGTCGACTAGTCATTCTCAAGTTAAAGACCCCAACGCTTCTACTGGAAGTCAGAAGATTGGCGACGAAAGTGGAGTCCCAACGGGTAAGTATGACATACAAACTGCATCTCGGAGAACTAGGTATCTTGAACAGCCCTCGACAGCTACCTTTTGCTGACCAAGGTAAGCATGCGGGTAATGCGGGATATTACAGTAGCCGAGCGTCCATGGCGAACTCTCGCAGTTTGTACCTACTGTAATGTTTCATCGAGTCCCTCGGCCACACTCGCTTCAAAATTTGGTGTTTAACTTATCTATCGGTCCCATCCACTCGGTCCCTCCATTAGCTGCTAGAGATCCTGCGGTTTCAGGGTCCACACCACGTGTTTTCATGGTCGGCTCTGCAATCTTGCGATCCCGCCATTCCTGACCTTGGTGTCACCGGCAGCATAGCGAACACGCCTCGGTGCTGCTGTAAACGGGAACATGGCATCGACAAACATCGAGACCAATGGCGGAGCTCACGATCATGTCTTGCGCCCTCGCCCACGCAAACCCCAGCATGCCCAAGTTGCCGAGCTTGCCAGGCAAAGGAGCAGCAGCTCTATTGACGGGATGCTCGACGCACCACAAGAGCTGGCCTCGAATGTGACAAGGTACGCGCTCGCTGTCATCGCCTTTGAGCATCGACATTTGCTAACTTTCGCAGTGGCCGTTCAACTCCCGTACCCGACAACGCTCCAGCCTCAACCAAGGCTTTATCGAGCGCACGCAAACAAGTCCGCGCCGAACAACGACAGCGACGACGTCTCTTCCCAACCACCGAATTCGCATCGCGCGTCTCCCACTTCGATCCTAACTCCGACTACCGCGACTTCCATGGCTTCTTCAATCTGTTCTGGGTTGGACTAGCCATCATGGGCATCACTACCATGTTGCGCAACTACAAAGACACTGGCTATCCCTTGCGCGTGCAGATCTGGGCCCTCTTCACCATTAAACCGGGGCACTTGGCCATTGCCGAATTCTGCATGGTTGGGAGCACTGCTGTCAGCTTGCCTCTGCATAGGCTGTTCAGAAAAAGCCGTGGCTCGCTGACCTGGAACAAAGGTGGCATGGCTGTCCAAAGCATATACCAAGTAGTATGGCTGGCATCTTGGATTGCTGTGCCTTTCATTTTCAGCTGGACATGGACTGCTCAGGTTTTCTTCGTGCTGCACAGCATGGTATTGCTCATGAAGATGCACTCTTACGCCTTCTACAATGGACATCTCTCGGAGACTGAGAAGAGACTGCAAAGCCTCGATCAGCCTGGTAGCGCCTCCAAAGAGCCTGCTTACACGTATCCCACCGTCGAAAATCCAATGGGCACCCGCAGGCACAGCGAAGTAGTTGCTGACAGCGACAGCGACGGCGAGGGCCTGTCTCAGCTGCGTGATGATCTCGCTCGTGAGTTGACAAGCCCCATTGGAAACGTCACCTACCCCAATAACCTTTCTTGGGGGAACTACTTTGATTATCTTCTGTGTCCCACATTGTGCTACGAGTTGGAATACCCGCGGACCAAGTCCATCGATTGGACCAATCTTGTGGCTAAGATCGTGGCAACATTTGGCTGCATCTTCCTCTTAACCGTCATCTCGGAAGAGTTCATCCTGCCCGTCCTGCAGGATTCGGAAGTGCGGCTCAGTAACACTACCTCGGCAACAGAGAAGCTACTAATCCTATTAGAGTCGATATCGTGGCTACTCTTCCCCTTCATGTTGACCTTACTTCTTGTCTTCCTCGTCATATTTGAGTATGTTCTAGGTGCCTTTGCCGAGATCACGCGATTCGCAGACCGTCATTTCTACAGCGACTGGTGGAACTGCTCGGACTGGATGGAGTTTAGCCGCGAGTGGAACGTCCCTGTGTACTCATTCCTGCGCCGCCACGTGTACGCAACCTCAAAACCCAGTATCGGCCGCAGTAATGCGACTTTTGTTACTTTCCTCGTGTCCGCCATCGGCCATGAAATCGTCATGGCCTGCATCACCAAGAAGCTGCGCGGCTACGGCTTTGTTTGCCAGATGTTGCAGCTTCCTATCGTGATGTTACAGCACACGCGTTGGGTCCGCGCCCACAAGACGGCCAACAATGTGCTCTTTTGGATCAGTATGATCTTGGGACTGAGTCTGGTAAGTTCTGTCATCGTTGTGTGTATAAACGTCATGTTTGATTTCCATTTGATCCCATTGTATATGACATGTCAGTAAAGCTAACATAGAAACAAAACAACACAGATTTGCTCGCTTTACGTTTTGTTGTAAATCAATAAGCATTGTCCTGTTGTTCGTACATGGTAAGGAATAGTAGCACCGTCAATTCGAAAAAGATCTCCCACCTAGAGACTCGACGACGAGACTAGACGACCCAAGCTGTAAATACTAGCATCCATTCACCCTAACCGTATTCCATATCTATTTTTAGCCTTTTTCTGTACAATTATCATCGCGCGAAGATACCACCTTTATACGAGAGTTTTTTTTATAAGCTTTTGCAGATAGGATTCAGCCGGGATGTCCCATCTAAACGCGAGATAACGTAGATGGTCAAGATAGTTGTATTGTATATGCAGCCCACGAGATAACCATCTGTATGCGTGTAGATAACCCGAATGATTCACCTATATACACAAATTCATTAGCCTGTTTGTTTGTGCTAGTAGCCATTATTGTAACCCTCACGACCAAATATTCGACCCCCATAACGGCATTTCAAAGCAAAGCAAAGCATAACATAACGTAACATAACAAAATTATCATAATGCACTGGCACACTCCAAATCCAGACGCGCTTCGAATCGGACCATGTAGAGAAACAAACAAACAAACAAACATTTCGCGCAGGATAGATAAATACCAACCTCGGCATAACTAAAATTAAGGGCTCTAAGACAAACTATACATGTATACCTACTAACCCAGGTACCAACAGATTATAATAGGTAGTTTGTTTCTCTTAATCCTTGTCCGGCAGATATTTACAGTAGATATATACTATGTATAGATAGCGCAGTGAAGAAAATGTCTCGGATGTTGTTTCCTTCATGAACACGATAACACACTAGTTAGTTAAGTCCAGAGTCTCGGTTGACTACATCCCGGGCAAATGTCTCATACTAGTATATGTCTCATATATATCTATAGAAGTCTATCATCTATTGAACAGTCCATCCCTGATAGGTACATAGTCTATCGCAAACCAAACTACGTGGCCTGTGCACATTCAAACAATACCGGCGTTCCACGTCACAATTTGAAGGTTACGAAAAAAGAGAGGAGTAGTAAATGCTTGGTTCATGACTTCCATTCATTCATAACAGGGAAAACATAGCATCCTCTGCGGGGTAAGGGATTTAGAGAAATAACCCAGTACCGCGCGTGCTGAGACCATATGTGCTATGTATGTATGTATGTAATGCGTTATGTACGTTGCGTCGAGACTCCTTGTGTGTGGAGTGAGGCTTTCCAGACAGGAAGAACTGGAGGCCATCAGAGGGTTTCTTCTCCCTCGGTTGGTAGTATCAAATGAGTGTAGCGGAGTCAATCCCGACGCGCCTCCTATTTCCCCTCTCTTTCGCCTCCCTTGACGTAGGCTAAATGAATCCCGCTTCCTCTTCATGAAACTCTCAAAGCGAGCGCATCGCAAAAATCAGACCAAACACAAACATGCCCACTAAAACCGCCATTGATTGCGCCCACAATGAGCCGTCCGAAAACAAGAAGCCCTTCGTCCCCGTAGATGCAAATGTAATTGTATATCGTATAGCTGGCGTTGCACATGACGCAATAGATAAAAAAATCCAGAGAAACAACAAAAGATACATTCATTGGGAAAACAGTGTATGATAGACGTGATTTCCCGTTAAGTATTGTCATAGCTGTCGTTGTCCACATGCTATGAACAGCACAGTCCGCCATGTGGTGTAGCATACTATACTTCAGGAAGCAGGAAGCAACGCTGGTATTGCAAGATAACCCCAGCAAGGTAAGGAATATCCTGTATTGTAAACCACTTTACAATCTGTCGTGTAGCTCCAGGCAGGAGGTCGTCAAATCGTTACTGCATTTCATCAAATTCTGTATGTGCAAATGATATCAAGTGGGTTAAAATGCCCAGAACGCCAAATCCCAGTTTCACGGGAGCAAGAACCGAAAATGAACTCCAAATAACGCCAGATATTAAACGACAAAGATACGAGATATCTAAGATAGTCTCACTAAGCGTATACATCTGGTCGGTATGACGACCCCTTGTAGGGAAGGTCGCTGTAACGAATGTCCTGCTCCTTGAATTGCGGCGCATATTTAATCCCTGGGAAATGCTGGGGCCGATCCTCTTCATAATAGTCACGGGCATATGCTGTATGCCCGCGCTGTACGCGGGCTGAGGAGTTCGGCATGACATAAGCCTTATTTGTTTTGTAGGAACCACGTGGCGGTTGCTCGTGGTACTGTTTCTGGCGTATTGGAATGCTCTTAGTGCCACTACCATCCACACCATATCGAACGTGCGGTATGGGCTCAGGGGATTGAGTCCGTCGGCTGCGTCGATGACGACGTTCTCGATCCTCCTCAGTGTCCTCCTCGTCCGTGTATGCGGGTGGCGTAAGACGCGAGCGACCTCGCTCATGGCGCTCGTGTTCACGCTCCGTTGATGGGTACCATGTTTCTGCGCGACTTAGATTTGGTACAGGAATGGGGCGGGAAAAGCTTTCCGTATGTGCACGAGGGAGTGAAGGAACCGTTCGAGGCGAGCCAGCCTCTACGATTATGGGTTGGTCTCTGGAAGAGCTTGACTTCTTGTGTGAAGATGACTTCTCCCTTGATGTTCTTGGCGTGTCATGGGACATGCGCCGACCAGATGGCCGTGCCGCAGACCTTCTAACCTCTTCTTCCGAGATTTCTTCTGGCTCGTTCGTTGGTGGAGGAGGCGCAAAAGGCGCGCCTGCCGCCGGAGGAGGCGTCGGGACCATTGGATTGTAGAGCATGGAGGAGCCCTCGGTGTATGTGTGTGAACGACCAAATGAAACTGGTTTAGTGCCCGCCTTTGTTAGATAGCGAATGGCGCTTTCCATGTTACCAGAGTACTTCCTAGTGCGCTCTGTCGATGGCCCGTCTATGTCTTCTGGCTTGCGGCTACTACCCGACTTCTTCCTATCGGTCTTGGATGGCGGCGGTTCATAAACAACATCATCATCCTCTGACGAGTCAGGCACATCTGATGAATCCTGGTCTTCAATGATTGGGTGCCCTCTAGAACGATGCTTCTCGGCTGTGGCATTCTTCCGCTCCTTCTCACGCTCTTTCTCGCGATCGCTATGCGCCTTTTTCTTCTCTTCTTTGCGCTTCTCTTTCTCTCGGTCTTCCCGGTCCCGTGCAACCCGCTCCTTCTCTTCCTTACGCTCCCTAGCTTTTCGCGCCTCTCGCGCTTCGCGTGCCTCCCTCACTTCTCTCAACTCTCTTTCCTTCGCCTTCTCCTTTTCGCGAGCCCACTCTTCTTCTTCTTTGCGCCTACGACGCTCTTCTTCCCGTCTTGAAGGTTTTTCTTTCTCATAGCTTGCAGTTTTCCTGGCATGGCGTGTAGCTTCTTCAAACAGTCGTGCCGCGGAAGTAGTGTCTTCCCAAGACCGGGGGGGTGTTCTTCCGTACGGACTCGATTTGGCAAATGTGGTGGTTCGTGGAGAGGCCTCTTTGACATGATAAAAGAGGGGAGATTCTCGTTTAGGTGTCGAAGACGTTGTCCTTGCTGCAGAGGTCTTGGCCCTTTCCCTTTCCCGCTCTCGTAACTCAAATGCCTCGGCTTTCCGGTCGTATTTCTCCCGTTCGACTTCGTTGCTAAGTAATTCATAAGCTTGTTGTACTTGCTGGAATTCTTTTTGTTTCGCCTCTTTCAAGGCGGGATCTTGAATCTTGTCAGGGTGGCATTTAAGGACGAGTTTCCGGTGAGCGGAACGGATTTCTGGTATTTGAGCATCTTTAGAGACTCCAAGAATTCTGTACGGATCGGGAGGGAGAACAGTCATGGTGATTAGAGGTGCGGTCGTCCAGCGAGGGCTCTAGTTACTAGCGTTTCCGCTCAGTAACCTAGTTTCAATTGTCACGAAAGCGGTAACGAATAAGCATAAGAAGCGCGCGTGGTGATCAAGCGGCTGGCGTTTGACGCACGTCACGAGGAAGAAGACGACGAGAAGGAATCGTAAAATGAGGTAATACACAGCCTACAAGACGGCAGGCTTTAGAAAGACGAACGCTGAGCCAGATTCAACTAAGAACTGGCCCTGGAAGAAAGATGGGACGTCTAGAAGAGACGGTCCCAGGGCAGAAACGCTAGTTAGAAAGTCAATCGTCACGATCGACGTTGCTTAGCGCAGCGCAAAAGATCAATGGGTTGATCGGAGCAAGGTAGTGACGGTGATGGTATTACTAGGAGGATGGATATTTCGGATTGGGATAGACGGTCGGGATGAAAGGAATGGACAATGGTAATGGCCTAGTGATAATATCACGAAACAGGAACGTAACGAGGAATAAGAGGAGGTCGGGGCAGCCAGCAAGGACTGGAGAAGGAGGAACTCGATGGAGGGAGGGGGGCATATGCAGTATTTGTTTGGGATGGGCGTGCGAGTTGAGTTTGAGGCCTTGATGGGGGCGATTTGGGGGGGGCATTGGGATATGGGGGGGTTTCTTTCGGAGCGCTCTGGTACACTGCTGTGTCACCAGCATGTGCAGGGAATGGGTACCTAGGTACATCCACTTGCCCGCTACAAGTACAGAGTAGGAGGTCAGTAGTAGTAAGTAGGTAGTGTGTACACGTAGTGACGGTACCAGCTGCTACTCCTACCTCGATGGAGACACCTGGTGCACCAACCGATGCTACCGCGGCAGCTTATTCGGCCATTCCCAGGGACATGTGGGTAGGATGTCCCTCCACTATTGTGTGTGATTAGAGCATTAGGTACCTACTTTCAGCATTACTTAGGGAGTGAAGTATATAGGACTTACTTTCCTAGTACCTTCCTACGGACCTAGAGCGGTAGCTAAGATAGGTACCTAGCCCAGGAGAGAGCGGAGAGGTGGGATCTTGGTGGGATGGGGACAGGCGACGCTGAGGTGTGATGCGGTCCCCTGCCTGAGATAGGTATGCCTTTAGGCAGGTACTGTACCTCGAGTCTGCTCGAGTACTAAGTTGGTAGGTAGATACATACCTCCTTGGGACCCAGACGGCATCTACCATCTACATACATACATGTATGTACCTACATATGTACCTAGGTACTTAGGTAGCCTCAGCAGTGTGCGCAGCTGGAACTACATAGATAGATACCACGCGTTCTCGCTGCTTCTGGCACATTCAAGGGGGATCTATCAACAAGTTGCCTCTCGACAACAACTACTCTCGCTACTGTAATCGGTTGTCTGTTAGCGCATCTAGTTGCTTGGAGCGTTCGCTGTATTCGCCTCGCGCGGCCAGTGGGCGGTGATGGGTCCTCTGGAAGGGCCGCCGCTACCCCCTAAAGTCCGCCCTAAGCATCTGGGCGCGCAGGAGACGGACCTCGCAGTACTGCGGCGGAACCGCCTAACGTTAGACTGGCCAGGACAAGGATCGGGTGACCTCGCTCTACGCAACGACTGGCCGTGAGTCCAAGTACCCGTGGCTCGTATCCCCTCCTTACTACTTACAGTATACTTAATACCTATTTAGAAGTGCAATCAATGGCAAGCAGAGTGATAGTTACATACTGACATACCTACAGTGGCTATGGCCCCTTGGCGGCACTCATTCTGAATCCGACTTGACGAATACGCGCGTCTATGTGTGTACATAGTAATTGTATGTAGAATAACGAGGTAGCCCGAGTCCCGGACCGTGTTAGGCTGGACGCCGGACTACATTGTTTACTGCATACTTACTGAGTGAGGCATGTGGGATTATGGGGGCGACGGAGAACGAGGGCCCCGTCCATTCGACTCGGGCAGTGCACATGACGTGTATACTGGCCAACTATTTCAATTCAATCCCAGCTCAAAACAATAATAGCCGGCCAACAAGGTGAGGAAGGGCCGCTGTTGACAGTCCATGATCAGTGATGATTAAAGATGAGTCCTTGGACGGATGGCTGGATGGATGGACCGATCCTACTGCGGATTTGATCTCAGCTAGAGAGCCCGTTCGTATTCATGCTGACGAGACCAAAAGGAATACAGCTGTTACGTGCACTACAAGTCAAGAGAGGGCCGTAGCACCTATTGGTATTACATATGCACAACGTCGGAAACTCCAGAAACACACACCCAACTCCCAGCGGGTGCTTATCAAATCAGAGCACGACTGTTAGGTAATACTACACAATCATCGGCGAAAGCCTGGTTTGATGAGATGAAAAAGAAAATCCGTCCTACGGCGAAAACAATAGACAGGCAGTCCAGCAGAGATTATGAATCTTTATAATACATGTAATAATCTGGTAACGCTCCATGCGCGCGGGGACGCCTTGCCCTCGTCTGCCCTCGGTATGAGCGACTCGGCGCGGCGGAGGGTAGTAGATGAGTAAGACAACGGGGCAAGTGACAAGCACCGAAAGAGAAAGAATATTCCCCGGACCTTTAGCCGGCAGTTGAGTTGTCGATCTTTTGGGATTTGGCGAGCGAATCGCACGAGCAGCTGCTCACGAGCCTAGGCGACGGCTATCAGGCAGTCTCGGGTCAAAGAGGCAATGGAACTTCGGTTCTCGACAATGAAAGCATGTGCCTGGAGCGAAATAGGCAAGTTGGTATGGACCTGCTGCACGAATGCGTTACGAAGACTCTGAAGTTCTGGTCCGCAACAGGCCAATGGGCATACAGCCCAGGCAGGCCTGCTGGGGCAATAGGTGCTCTACTGTCTAGCCTATTTGGTATGTAGAACCGTGGGGATGAAGTACAGGGGCGAGTTGTGGCGATTTGCGACTTGATGATACCTAGACAAGTAGTCAATGACAGGCTCGACAGGCAATGCAGGGTCTGTCTCATCACGGATGGATGGCGAGCTGGACTTGCTACAGGAGAAGCTAGCTCAGTAGTTGACGGACGATTTGAAAGTCGGATACCAGCTAATTGGATACCTCTTTTGATATGACACGAAATGAAAAAGTCGGTCGGCCATCTCCCTAGAAACAGGACGTGTTGTTGTGGAGTGGTACCCGCCGTTTGTTCTCAAAGGTCTAAGTGTGTGGGCGTGTAACTGAGGCAGCTCGAACAACCAGCGGTGAAGCTGAGGGTTTTAGATATTGTACCAACCGCTGCCCCTTGGCCTCTTGCACCGTTAGGGCACTTAAAATCGTTGGCCGGCCAAAGAACGAAAACAGTCCTCACCGAATATCTGTTGGCCCAACAGCAGAGAATTGTCAAGAAAAAGGTTTACTCAACCAACGATTCAAAAAAGGTGCGTCTCTACTTAGGGAAGGTATTGTAAATAGTGTACGAAGCTCTAGGTATGTGCATCACACATGTGGGTTGAGGCAACCTGCAAAGAAAGTAGGGCGTTGTGGTGTGCCGCAAGTCGATGAAATGCGTAGCATTACCTATGATAAGCACCTAGATTAGGGAGGTAGAGGTAGATAGTGAAATATCTTCTAAATCCTACCACTTCACAAGGTTGACGAACTCTTAATCCCAAGTTGTCACCTGTATCGCCAACATGGGCTCGATGAACGTAAAGTGGTAGTAGGGAGAGTAAATTTGGCATCCAGTGCCGACACCTGCAGGCGACACCTGCGAGGTAACCTACTTTACTCTGTGCGTATCCGGCAGAGGACCGTATATTGGCATTCAAGAATGCACCCATACCTACATCAAGTATGATAGGAGGGCGCCATGCTATCCCTACCGCCTATTCAGTTGAGTTGATCGAGGGTTTTTATGTTTTATAGTATATCTATCTGTATTAGTTGTCGATCATGGTTGGGCGAGCCTTGGAAGCGCACAAGGCTTTGTAACACCAGTGCTCCCCTTTCAGATCATGAGATTCGTTGTTCATCGAAACTCTTGGGATAGCAATCATCTATGCCGATTGAACGAAGCATCCAGTGGATGTCGTTTACTATCATGCACACATGTGCCCATTCGTGATGAGTAGCAGCATCGTGGCACGAGTTGGCGTTGTGTTTCGAAGTCTTTCTACTGGGCATTGTCGCGCGAAAACCATGCCTCTTTGCCATTTCGAACTTTGCGTGCAGCAGCTGATCTCCACCGTGTACTATGTAGTCTTACTTATGGATGCATCTGACCCTTGAAAGTGGTAACGGCATGCATAGCAGCATTCAACTATTGGAGCGAAGGGGTCCCCGGTTACGCTGTTGGTAGCCATACAGACCGACTCGCCTGCATAACCCCCTCAGCCAACCAGATTCGGATCGAAACCTTCGATGCATCAGCACCATGTACAGGCCCTCTTGCAGGTAGCCAGTCACAGTTGCATCTAGGTGCAAGGCCGATTCTGAAAGGTTGGCCGAGAGAGACGGAGCCACTTGACCTGGCATGAAGCAGGTACGCTACACATACACGGCTTGGTCGATGGCATCAGCGCTGCCAGCGTTGCCGTCACTCGTCGACCTTGTTACAAGGCTTCCCGATCACGCTGATACTGTTGCCTCGTGGTCTCATCGTTGTTCGGGTCTTCGTTCTTTGGCGCTCTTTCTGGCGTAGACTCGCATGAGGACAGTTCCACGAGGCCTCAGCACCTGGCCGCGTGCACGGCAGAGCGCGGCAGAGCATGGATGGTGTGGACGCTCTTTCGATCGTAATGGGTTAGGTCAGTGTACCTACAGTAAAGTAAACGAAAAGGAGGGGCAGCAGGAGAAGCTAAAAGGGATCTATCATTTGGGATAGAATCGAAGCCAATGGGTGTCAAGCAGGTGGGCGGCAAGATTTGTGTCAACGGTGCCAGATTGCAAGCTAGCGGCCACACATTAACTCTGTTTCACTGTGCCATTGAGTTTCTCAAGCCAGTGAGGTCTTCATCGGACGATGCTGACCCTATTAGCCAAAGAATAAACACTTCGTCCTTACACAAGTGACGATAGGATGGGCACCCAATGCTGACACAGTTCGACAGGGCGAACCGTCACATTGGCCGTGACGCTCGCCATTGATAAGATGCAATTCTTCTCCCCTATGAGGTAGCTTATGTAAACTCCTTATACACACTTACTTACTTCCAGTATC